ACGCACAGCACCACGTGCCCGTGCACAACCTCCACCGCTGTGCACAACAACGCGAAACCTCCACCCCCACCGCACCCTACAGCCACAACCACACACCCTAATACGCACCCACACTCATCCACACACCAATACAAAGCCACACACACCTCGATACGCAGCACCTACCCCCACAAGCTCCCCGACGCACACCGCTGCAGCCGCGCAGCAGGACACCTGCACCCGCCTTGCGCAAGGGGGAAACGCAGCCGCGGTGACGTCATCGCAGCGCTCTCCGCTCTCAGGCTGCAGCCTCCACGAGACCCCCCCCAATCCCTCTCCCCATCCCCCTCCTCCCATCCCTCTCCCCCCCAATCCCTCTCCTATCTCCCTCTCCCCCCCATCCCTCTCCCATCTCCCCCCTCCCCATCTCCCCCCCTCCCCCATCCCTCTCCCATCTCCCCTCTCCCCCATCTCCCCTCTCCCCCCATCCCTCTCTCCCCCCATCCCTCTTTCCCCCCATCCCCTCTCCCCCCATCCCTCTCCCATCTCCCCCCTCTCCCCCATCCCCCCATCTCTCTCCCATCTCCCCCCTCCCCCCATCCCCCCATCCCTCTCCCCCTCCCCCTCCCTCCTTCCCAAGCCCCCCCCAGCCTCCCCCCAAAGCCCTCTCTTCCAAATCCCCCTCCCCAAAGCCCCCTCCCGGGGGGGCACGGTGCTGTCTGCCTTACGGCCACTCCGCATTTCCCGCCCAGGCGCTCACACAGCGCTGCAGCTGCTGGGGACACCCAACAACCCCTGTGCCACTGTCCATGTGTGTGCCCATGTGCCACTGTTCCTGTTTCACTACCACGTGTGTCACTGTCCCTGCGTCTGTCCCTGCGTCTACCCGTGTCCCTGTGTCACTCTGCCTGTGTGTGTATCCGTGTCACTGCCCTTTGTGTCACTGTCGTGCCTAGCCCTGTATCTACCCGTGTCCCTATGCCACGACCCCATGTCCATGTGTCACGACCTTTGGTGTCACTGTCATTGTCCTTGAGTCTATCCCTGTGTCTACGCGTGTCCCTGTGTCACGATGCTTGTGTGTGTATCCGTGTCACTACCATTTGTGTCACTGCTATGTCTATCCCTGTATCTACGTGTCCCTGTGCCACTACCCCATGTCCATGTGTCACTACGTGTGGTATCAATCTCCTTGTGGCTATCCCTATGTATCTGCCCGTATCCCTGTGTCACTGTCCGTTATCCCTGTATCACTACCCTTGGTCTCACTGTCCTTGCATCTATCTATCTTTGTTTAACCCCGTATCCCTGTGCCACTAACCACCCCGTGTGTCAGTCTCCCGTGCGTTTGTGTCACTGCTCGCCGCGTCTTTCTCCCCGAAATCCGAGCTCTTATAGGAGATGAAAAATCATGAAATCACTACTCAGTTCAGCGGCGCGGACAGAGCTGGGGTGGCAACGGGGGCACGACACTCACAGAGACACAGCGACATGTTGCTCAATTTCCAGACCACCAATTCAACAGAGCCATTCCCCTAGCGCCATGGACGTCAGTGTCCAGGATCAATCCCTGCATCTCTTTCCAAGGCTCATCGGGAGAGTGACCGCCTCGCAATCGGAAGGCTGCGAGTTCAAATCTTGGTTGAGGCTGGTTGAGGCAAACCTTCATCCCGACGGGGTCGATAAAGTAACGACCACTTTTGGGGAGAGACAACAGTGGTTGTCCCATGCATAGACTGGGCCCCGACATAGGAATGTGGAATTTCCATCACTGGTTATGTAGGGCTGTAAACAGGAGATGAGTTTCGATGCCTCCACGATCATTTGAGCAGCAAGAAGTCACCTTGGCCCTTAACTTGCCATGGCTGTGTAATAACCCTGTGTAATAAGACACCCAAAACCCCACACCAAGCAGCTTCGAATCTGCTCGGCACAAAACTCGGTAGGTGCCATCAACCATCGTCAGGCCATCGCCAATTCATCACCCACGAGCATAATTAATCATCACTCATTACCACCAGCTTATCAGCAGATATTACCAACATTACCAACTGATCAACATCAACTCTAGATTTGAAGTTTTCGTGACTGTAAGGATTCCTACTCTTTGTTTTTTTCGGTAAAGTCACGTAGGTAAACAAATTAAACTCCTCGCCAACCAATATTACCCGACATCACTCAATATCACCAGGACATCATCATCACGAGACAACACAACCATCGTTCTATCACCTGCCGTTACTCAAAATTATGAGCCACCACTCAATGTTGTCAGCCAACACCCATCACCAGAAAAAAATCCAATATCGCTATCCCAGGCCCATCAACATCCATGCTCATCACCACGCCGCCCCTCCTCGTCTCACTCAACATTACAGAGACACGAAACATTAATGACGAGGGCCAGGGCACGGCCACCACCGCGACACAGCAGAGGGGCCCTGTCGGTTCAATCGAATCACGACAATCACCAACTTACCAACATCGCCGCCACCACCACCACCAACATTTAATCTACGGGTGAAATTATATATTACTAGTACGACTACATAATGGATATAATTATCACCACCACATTTACTATCATCACCATAAACTACCAACTTCATTACCACGATCATCATCGCCATCACCGCACGCGCTTTGTGTGATTGGGCAGGTGAGCGGATCTCATTGCGGTGCTCGTTGGCGCATTAACGGGCAAACCATCATCACCATCATCACCACATCATCACTGCCAACATCATAATTCCCATCACCACCACATCATCACTGCCACATCATCACCATCAGCACCACATCATCACCACCACATCATCACTGCCACATCATCACTGCCAACATCATAATTCACATCACCATCGTCACTGCTCATTATCAACAACCATCGCTAACATCACCACCACCATCACGACCAACAATCACCATCACGAACATCAGCACGAACATCATCACTACTAATATCACGAACATCACTAGCAACATCATTACCGTCACTCTAACCACCACTACCCATCATCACAACCATCATCATCATCAATATGATCTGCAATAATACCACCACCACCATTACTACCAACCATCATCAATACCATCAACATCACCATCATCATCACCACCACCATCACTACCAACAATCACCATCACGAACATCACCGCGAACATCACTAGCAACATCATTACCATCACTCTAACCACCACTACCCATCATCACAACCATCATCATCATCAATACGATCTGCAATAATACCACCACCATTCCTACCAACCATCATCATCAATACCATCAGCATCGACATCACCATCACGAACATCACCACGAACATCACTAGCAACATCATTAACGTCACTTTAACCACCACTACCCATCATCACAACCATCATCATCATCAATACGATCTGCAATAATACCACCACCATTCCTACCAACCATCATCATCAATACCATCAGCATCGACATCACCATCACCACCACCATCACTACCAACAATCACCATCACGAACATCACTAGCAACATCATTACCGTCACTCTAACCACCACGACCCATCATCACAACCATCACTACCGTCATCATCAATACCATCAGCATCGACATCACCATCACCATCATCCCCCCCCCCCCACGGCACCTACCCACGGCTGCAGGATTTGTGGCCGCCCTGGACTCACTTCGCGCGCCCGCAAGACGCCACGCGCAATGCCGAGGGTATCGAGTGGTGTCACGGTGGTGGTTAACGCGGTAACGGGGTTGCTAGGGTAACGGGGTTGCTCGGGTAACGGGGGTAGCGATGGAAACGCGCAGAGCTCCGTGCGCTCCCGGCTCGGCCGCTCGGCTACTGCGTGACGTCATCCCAGCGTGCCCCGCGTCGGGGTCACGGTTCGCCTCGTGGAGCTCGTGGTGCCAGATCGAGGGCACCGGGGCCCATGTCCCATGTTCCCCCCCCCCCCCCCCTTATCTCACGTCCACCTCCTCGGACGCTCTGTAATTCTCATCAGCTGGCCAAGGCGTTCCACCATCTATGGTGGTGCTCGGCCTAAGCAAGCTTAGCAAAAGCTAATGACTCCTATTGGATCGGATGCCCCAGAGGTATCACCTGCATTATCTAATGAAAACCCAATTATCATAAATACACTCATGAATCCCCTAATCTCTATCGTGTCCGAAGATATCTATTTTTTCGCCTTGCTTAATTTCTATCGGTGTGGGAACGAACGGCAGGAAACGTTACACGCACTTCAAAGAGAAGGCTGTACATTTGGGCTAGGGATAAGGGAGCAAAACAGGTCACGCGCAATACGTTCACTCAGCATTTGGAGACGTATTTCAGAAACAACTGGGAAACTGCAAAGCGCGCGTGCGTATACCGAGTCCTCAGGGCAGCTGTTGAACGCGTCCGAAATCACAGGACAGGTGCCCAAGAGGTGCGATTGCTTTTGGAAAGCTGAACTTGGTCATGAAAACACAGCCATGTGCGTCTAGAGGTATTTAATCAGCCCACACACTCCCTGCTGTGACGTATGGATCAGAAGAGTCAAGGCCATTCATGAAAAATACAAATGAAAGGTGCGCAGAGAAGCGTGGAGAGATGCACACTTGGAACGATGAGACGAGCGTGTGGATTAGAGAACGTACACAGGTTAGAGACATCACCCAAACTGTTTAAAAAGTAAGGTTTTGGCAAGACACGTCACAGCTGGAAGGGACAATGGGCAATGGCCAAAAAATAATAATTAAGTGGCAGCTGAGGAATGGAACACATTCGAGAGGGTGTGCAAATGCAGGAAGGATTGTTATAACGCAGGATCGTGGGTGGTAACAACGGAGTGGGGATGCCTTCATCCAGCAGTGGATTGATCATAGCCGATAACGATTTACCGTCAGCTCACGAGGAGCTTATGAATTGAAAGTTGGGCCTCCAATCATTAATCTGAATTCAGGTCTCCAATGGGTCAGCAGCAACAATTTTCTCCACCTTCTCCCCCCCACCATCATGAACAGCAGTGAGACAGACCGACGGGTTCAACAACACGCTCACTTTATTTCAATTACACGCAAATCCTCGAGCAATAAAGGCATAATGCACACTAAAAAAAATATAAAATATGAACAAGGTGCCCGTTCGTGACCTCGGCCCCCAACAGTCCCCTTGGTTCCCTTGCTTGTCTTCTGCTGCCCCCTCTACTCCTGCCCTCCTGGGCAACTCCGCTCCCTCTTGGGGGGGGGCAGCTTCCGACGGTCCCGCTGTGCATTGCGCTTGCGCTTCTGGCTCAGGAATTTGTCGACCTTCCCCGACTTCTTGAGCGCCTGGTACTTCTCTGCCAACTCCTGCTTGCGCAGCTCGGCTGTGGTGGGGGGGGGGCACAGACAGTGGGGGGAGGAGGGGTTAGCGTTCACTCCTGTGCCACCACACAGGGTAGGGGGGCATGTGTGTGGGTGGAGGAAGGATGGGGCGGCTCACATTTCTTGGTGTAGAATGGAGAGTGTCCCTGCAGCATGAGCTCCCGCGCCTCACGCTTCGCCTTCAACTCCGCCTCCTGACGTTTCTCCTGCTTTTGTTTTGCTCTCTCTTGGTTTTCCTGTTCCACGCGTAACCACAACCACTCAGTGCAAGCAACCACACAGATCAAGCGACTGCACACCCACAACCACACAACCACGACAACATGGCCACGACCACACCGTTCAGGTGACCACGCAGGCAGGAGTCTGTCTCTCCGCATAAAACATACATTTCTCTAGTCCAATAGGCAAGGTGTTACCAGACCATACAAAAAAAATAGCATTTCCTGGAATGTTTAAATGCTTCGTTTAAATGTTGCATACAGCAGCCTGTTTATGGCTGTGTACCACACGATGCTCCACAATGGCAGACGAAGTGTTTAAACGGTGGTGCGCGAGAATGTGCAGCCGTAAAGCTTGCGCTGCATGGGATGTGTTGCCCATCGCCCCGTCCCATCCTCACCATCCTTTGCAGCAAGTACTCCATCTCCTGCTTCCGATCACTCGACTTCACCTTCTTCAGCCCCTTCTCCAGCTCCTGAAGCACGTAGACACATGCACACAAGCACGCGTACCTCACGATCCAGTGTGCGCGTCTCTCACGTATCCCACTACACGGAACGGTCACGGTGTTGCCCCCACCTTCTTCTCACGCTGACGGATGGAGTCCAGGAAGCTGTAGGTGCTCTGGAAGATTGTCTCGCTGAATGTCCCTGACAGGTCATCAAACCGTGGGTCCCGCACAACCTGTGAGCAGAGAGAAACAGGTGACGCATGGCTCCTATCAATATGTGCATTTACCTATGAGAGCCTCACAATTTAAGTCGAGGCTCAAGATCTCCACATTCACTCTACCTATGACTGCGTCTCTCTTAAATATACACACAAACCCCTTGAGAACAGTGTCTTGGGATATAGTTGCATCTATACACTATACGGATTTATTGCACTTGTTGAACGAGAAAAGCCTCACCGAGTCCCGGGGCTCTTTTATAACGGAGCGATGTCACGATGCGTTTCCCAATTAAGTAATTTGGGGTGTCATTTTTCAAATTTGGCAGATTTGGACAATGATGCTGGCACACAATGGCCTACTCTTCTTCAAATGACAACACGAGATCTTTAATGCCCACTCTGAAGCAAATGGTGCATCTAATGTTATGGTTAATATGGCATATACACACCGGACTAATAACCAAGGCAGCCTGGCCACAAACCTCTGCAACAAGGGTGAACGCGATACTACTGGGCTGTCACTATCACCCTAAATTATACTATTATCACCCAGTGGGAGCATGGGGGGAAGACGTAAGGCGGCATGGGTGGCCATTGGGAGGGAGGGGGAACGTGGGGGGCGTGTGTCGTCACCTCCTTCTTCATTGAGATCACCTGGCGCAGGCGACCCACAGGGCGCTTAGAGGACATCTCCACGGGCCTGTGAGAGGCAGAATACAACTTAATGAGACACAGTGAGGTGGATGCGGCGAGGTGGATGCGGCGAGGTGGATGCGGCGAGGTGGATGCGGCGAGGTGGATGCGGCGAGGTGGATGCGGCGAGGTGGATGCGGCGAGGTGGATGCGGCGAGGTGGATGCGGCGAGGTGGATGCGGCGAGGTGGATGCGGCGAGGTGGATGCGGCGAGGTGGATGCGGCGAGGTGGATGCGGCGAGGTGGATGCGGCGAGGTGGATGTGGCGAGGTGGATGTGGCGAGGTGGATGTGGCGAGGTGGATGTGGTGAGGTGGATGTGGTGATGTGGATGTGGTGAGGTGGATATGGTGAGGTGGATGCGGCGAGGTGGATGCGGCGAGGTGGATGTGGCGAGGTGGACACCCTGGTAAGGCACTGGTGAGGTAGACACGACAGTGCGGGGTCACGGTGAGATAGACGTGGTGAGGTGTTGGGGAGATGTTGTGATGAGGTGGGACAGTGATGAGGAGGTATTGGTGAGGGACCGGTTCTTGTCGCTCCTCTTGGGCGCGCCCCCCGCTCCTCCTGCACGTGCCCCTGCACTCCTGCGCTCGAACTCCTTGGTGCCGATGGTCTCCCGCAAACGCTGAAGCTCCTCCAAGGACATCTCGGCCATCTCTGCTTGCGCACACAGAGACTCTGGGTTAGAGTGGTTAAATCGATTTATTTTGTACTATCGGTATTCGCGTTTTTTTTTTAAACTGGTGAAGCAACGATATGCCGGCCACATAGAAACGCCTGCAGCTTGCAATGCCCTTTAGAGCTCCCTCTATTGGAGGGATCCCCATCCACCAGCAGTAGCTGAGCGGGCATTTGCAGGGCTGCACCTTTTACCCGAGCAATTCGGGCAAATATTTACCACGCGGTGATTGAGGTCCGCCTTGCCGTGTGTGCGTTCTCACGTGGAAATCCGTGTCTTCATGGGCGAACGTTTCATTACCGCTGCCTGTTTCCGTTAACAATAGATTCTGTAAAAAGTTCATCGGTTAACAACCCGACGAACAAACTTAAGTCACAACACGCGACTCCTCACATCACCTCGCTTCCAGCCGCTGTCCTGATCGGCGTCGTCAGCGAGCTCCGCGTCGCTCTCTGCACTGCTCTCGTCTTTCTCATCTTCGTCCCCTTGCTTGACTGCCAGCGCCACACCTCCAGGTTGCCCCTCGGAGCCCTGCGCCACTGCCCGCTTCCCGGAGCTTTTGCGAGGGTCGGGGCCCGCGTTCTGGGGCCTTCGCTGCGGGGCCGATAAGCCTCGTCCTCGTCCCCGTCCCCGCCCCCGCTGCGGCTTCCCTCCCCGGGGAGGGAGACGCGACTGCCCCGGGGTCGTCCCCCTCCCCGCCCGGCGGGAGACGTCGCCTGGTAGCGGCATCTGGGGGTCTCGGGGGTCTCGGGGGCTCTCGGGGTCGCCCTGGAACGAAAACGAGAGAGGACCACGAACTATACAGTGCGTACAGTGCGGCACGTGTGTTGTCACGTGACGGTGGCGCGCTCTGCGCATGCGCGGTTGTGTGTGTGTGGGGGGGTGCAGCCAGGCGCTATCCACTGCTGAATGAGGCGGCCGTGAAACACCGAGACCAGCGCTCGAAGAGTAAAGATCACCCCAGATTTGAAGTTTTCGTGACTGCAGGGATCCATACTGTTTAGTTCTTGCGGTAAAGTCACGGAGGTAGAAAATAAAACAAAATAAGAATTAAATCGCGACGTTTCGATTGCAACACAAGCAATGATCACGTGGGAAAACCACAACAAAACTAATTATTACTGTGGGTTTTCCCACCTGATGATGATGTTTGCTTGTGTTGCAATCGAAACGTCGCAATTTCTTATTTTGTTTTCTACCTACGTGACTTTACCGAAAGAACCAAAAAGTAAAGATCCCCCCGTTGTAGCCTCGACAGACTGTAGGGGCAAGTGCTGTTAGCGAGCAGCACCTATGAAGGCCGGCACGGCACACGAGGGGACGGGTGGCCAGCCCCACGCCCGACCGCCTTTGTCTCCCCGATGTTTACAACACCGCACCCACGGCTCACCACACCCCCCCCCCCCCCAAATCCGCATAGACGCAGAAGATCCCCTGACTTCGATCTTACGAGCATCTTATGGCACAAACAATTGCAGCAGCAGATAATGACACTTGATAATGAACAAATAATCGATTAAAAACTCTCCGGTCAGTGTACGGTGATCCACCACCATGCAGCAGCATGGCACACGTAGCGACTGCATGCCAGATTTACAAATAACTTACGAAGGAGGCATCATTACAGCAACGATTCAGACACTCCCGTACTGCTGATGAAATTATCTGTCTCAAACCCAGTGCAATGTAAAATTACAGCTGCTGCTCTACATCACTCGTAGGCAGAACACTGGCATCACCCTCCATCACATCACAGCACACACACACGTGACACACACACACCTGTGACACACACCCTGTGACACAGCACACACACCTGTGACACAGCACACACACCTGTGACACAGCACGCACACACACATACCTGTGACACACACACCTGTGACACAACACACACAGCACACACGTGACAGCACACACACCTGTGACACACACACACCTGTACACAGCACACGCACACACCCGTGACACAGCACACACACACACCTGTGACACACACACACACACATTGACACAGCAGGCCCGGTGAAGGTGTTTTTGTTTATTTGCTGTAGAGAGCCAAGCGCCTCTCGCCGTGGTATAAAAACCCGAGTCGCATTATCATCACTGCGCTACTCAACTCTGACTCGCTGTATATCAAAACCCCCTCCCCACTACAATGCACAGTGCATATACAGTATACACTACAGTACACCTACAGTATGCAATAACCTACAGTGTACACTACAGTACACCTACAGTATACAATACATCCACAGTATACACTAAAATACACCTACAGTTTACACTACGTCTACAGTATACACAAAAATACACTTCCAGTATACACTACGTCTACAGTATACACTACAATAACCCACAGTATACACTACAGTACACCTACAGTATACAATACATCCACATTATACACTACAATAACCTACATTATACACTAAAATACACCTCCAGTATACACTACGGAATATACTCGTGCTCATACATTAAAACATTGCATCTAGAGTAAAATCTACAGAATACACATTACCACGAGTACTAATACATTATACAGGGGTAATACAATACTATAGTACTGCACCACGTGCCAGTAGTACTGCATAACCAGTACCGCTTGAGCACGAAGGGAGTGTCAGGACCAGTCCGGTGGCACGAGAATGCTGCAATGCAGTGGGCTGGAGAACACGGAACGGCATCCCGTGACCCCCCGTGACCCCTGTGACCCCCCGTGACCGTGGTGCAACACACGAGGGGACACGGCAGGACACACCGTGCAGCACAAAGACAAAGATCCCCCGTATAAACTTAACAGACCGGTGGGGCAAGTGCTGTTAGCGAGCACCTATGAAAGCCGGTACACGAGGGGGTGGGTGGCCAGCACCACGCCCGGCTGCCTTTGTCTCCCCAGTGGCGATGTTTATTACGCAACGCACCAGGTACTCATTTGAAGCGGAGTCGACCGAGGGGAAGCCCAGGAACCGGTTAAATTATTCGTCATCGGTGTTGGCCGTGAGCGAGAATCGAACTCGGGTCGCTGGGTTTATAGCGCAGAACGCACCGTGCACCACGCAGCACACAAATCACGAAACTCGCTCTACAGTCCCGAGTCGCGAGCTCCCAGTGAGTGGAGTGGTGCCACCTACTCCATACCTGTCAAGCCCTTATCAATGCCCTATCTTATTACAGACCAATTTAGACCCTTATTGGTCACCCCGTGCCCTTATAAATCTCAACGTTCAGTCTACAAATTTCCATCACAAGGGAGAAGTCACAGACAAAAAAAGTTTTTTGTTGTTGCCCGTATTGAAACGGCTATACGCCGTATGGACCTACAAACTCAATTTCCCCGTACAAGAATACGGGGTAAATCGTGTGGCATTGACAGGGGACGCGACTCTGCGAACGCAACGACTCTCACGGGGACCCTCCGTAAGCCACACGACCCCCGGATTCCGCACCCCGAGTCTCCCCACGAGACCCCACGCTGTGCGGCACAGCGCAGTCTGCAGATATTACTACTATGTGGCCTTTCTCTGGCTCTGCTATGAGGAAGAGCGTGAAAGGTCAACTATTATAGTTTCCCTTCTCTAGGGCAGTGTTAATGACAAATATGTTGCGTTTGGTGTTATTTGTGCATCGTAGCCAACTCAATATCGCAATTATGTGTTTGTGTGACTGATGAATCCCAGTGACGTCTTCTCTAAACCCTTGGCCCCTTGGCGTATCTGCGTTTCTTTACAATCCGCACTGGCCGGATCCTTTCACTGTGAACCCCCTCGATCCCTGCACAGGGCCCCGGGCCACCCTCGCTGCTCCCCCTTCCTAAGGGGCCCCACGAAGGGGGTCGGTCGCATGTTCGCGTTGGGTGACACGGCTCCCGCAAGATCCACTGCTGCGTTTAAACGATATTTAAATACAGAAAATACTTTCTAGTTATTATTGGATGCAAGGTGGCCAGAAGGTGGAAAAACAGAAACGAATTATTTAAACTCATCTGTGCAGAGCTTTGTGCGTAACTCAACCCCACATATGCGTGGTGGATTTTCTCTGGTTTCCTGCCACACGAAGCCAAAGGTTCATGACTGAAATACAGTAGTCCGAATGTCGAGGCTGTTTTGGGAAAAGTTCGCTGTTATTTGACCAGACGCGCTCTGTCAACTAAGGAGGCTGCGTGCTTAATCAACCCTTAACCTATCATACACTGGTAAATAACTCTACGCCTAACCATCCAGGCACGAATATTATCGAACTAGCATTTTGCCCGTCCAGTAAATCTGAAACATGCAAGCGAAAAGCAGACCACGACGTGATATTCACTGCATACGTGTGCAGTTTGTAAGGGCGCTGTGACACAGAGCTATTTCATTTTAAGGTTATAATCCCTTGTTCATCATGACGTCCTTTTTACTTTGATGTCTCAACAGCGTTACGGAGATCGTGTGACGTGAGGGTTCTGCCTTTGTAGTGAGGGTTGTAAGTTGACGCCGCTAATTATTATGAATGGGGGGGGGTCCATTTGGAGGACGTCACCTTATGATTATTAATGAGGGGGCTGTTCGATGTGGAGTGACGTCACGAGCGTTAAGGACAGACATTCCTGGGTGATTATAGCAGGTATGTTATGTATACCACCAGCCAACCAACCGCGGGTTCTTATTCCTACCGTCGAGCTTTAGCCAATCAACCAATTTTACAAGTACTTGTCCGACCCCTAACCTAGTGCTGGTCCTACGCCACTTCAAAAATAACCAGCCAACTACACCCTATTAGCCCTAACCCCAACTGGCCAACCAGACACTAGTACGAGCTCAACCCCGAACCCGCTCCCGACCCCGTGCTCTTCACTGCTTCTCGGGTTTGGAGGGAACAGGACCCTCCCCACCTTTTACAAATTCATCACCACTACCTATGGAGCAATCCCCCACGTGAGCTTCCTCTGCCTCTCAGCAGCAGCCTTCCAACACACACACAACCTCTCTGCTCACGTGCATCATCACAAAGCGCACTAAAAACGTTTGTATAACAACGAATATAAGATATGTTGGTTTAAACTAAAGACAACGACATAGCAGCTACGGACACAGCGGCAAACACGGCTGTGGCAAGATCTGCGACATTGCAGCAGCAAAAGCAGCAGCAGCAGCAACAGGAGCAGCAATAGGAGCAGCAACAACAGCAATAGCAACAGGAGCAGCAACAACAGCAACAGCAGCATGTGGACGCGCTGTCGGTGTTTGGATTCGGCCCAAATCCGCGCACCCCATCTCTAAACATTTAGGAATCGCGAAAAATATCCCTCGGGAGTGACGTCTTCCCCCCCTGTCCAGTGCGGTTACATAACGGCACTCCCCCCGACATAAGTGCTGTCACATGACGTCTTGTATGCGGGCAATGACGTCGCGCTCGTACAATGGGACCGCGTCACAACTGAAACTTTAGAGAGACAGAGAAAAAACATTACATTTTGGGACCTCCTTTGCCAGTACCAAAATATGAGAATAGGTTTTCCCCTTTTTTCTGGCAACAAAACAGGTGTTAAGCTCTTAAAACACCAAACTGAAACCTTCTACAAGGAATCATGTCTGCATTAACCAGAATACTTGTGGTCAGAATGCAAAAAAAACATACTCTGATAATATATGCATTGTCTTTGAAACTGATTGGTCCACACCAGAGACAGCTTTCTTTTGAACCTTGTCTCAAACGGTGACAGCTTTCTTTTGGCGTCCTCTGATCGAACACCTTTTGAGACGAGGTTCGAAAGAAAGCCGTCTCTGGTGTGGACCAATAAGTTTCAAAGACAATGGACATATTATCAGAGTATGTTTTTTTGTTTGCATTCTGACCACAAGTATTGTGGTTAATGCAGGCATGATTCCTTGCAAAAGGTTTTTAGTTTGGTGTTTTGTTGCCAGAAAAAAGGGGAAAACCTATTCTCAACCCATTAAATAATTAATATTAAAAATCATGATTACATTTTAGCGAATAAACAATGAAAGGAAATGCAAATGCGATGAATATAAATATGTAAATATGGGAATAAAATCCTAAATTGGGCTTAAAAATCGGAAACTTACCACAATACGGCAGAGATACAGCAGCGACAGCAGCGGATCCAAGCCCACGCCGCGCCCAAAGCCAACAGTGGGTCGGGCAAAGACAAACGAGTGGCCGGTACGACGATGAATGCGGTAATCAACTCAACGTGGGAGAATCGTGATGCGTCTACAGTCCGGCCCAGAGGAACTTCAGCCTAAAGTGCATTGCAGGGAGGGCGATGGTGAGGAATGTGTTGTGAGTGATCCAGGGAGAGCAAGGGGAAATAGGTATGAAGCGGCAAATACATCGCCAGCCCAACACTGAACTCCACACCGGCACGAGTCACTGTGAGTGCGGCCCTCTCGCCCATCATCTCCACCTCACCTCAAGCTCACCTCTCATCCCCAACTCACCTCACCCCTCACACCCCTAGCCACCCCCTCTCACTCACCCAGAACGTCTCTTGATCGAGTCGCTCACCCCACTCACCCCGGGTCGTCACTCGAGCGCTCCAGACAAGAGCTCCCGTGTGTATTGAGGGATGGATGTTACAGTTTCAGGGTTAGGACGCGACGTTACCCCGACGTTACCCAGCGATTACTGTGCAGCACTAAGGGAGCTGGATCAACACAGCGCGAGGAGTGCTAGACCAGAGCCATGGTGACTGCGATCTCACTCAACTCCTCCTGTTCAACTACCGTGCAAAGAGCGAGGTCTGTCAAAAAAAGCCCGGACAGAGTTTTTCAATGCGAATATTTCAGCAACGTTTTGATCATTTTTTTGAACCAGTAGTATTATATAAAAAAAAACTATTTGTATTCCACAAGGAACGACTGCTACCGCTGTAGCCTAGAGGAATGTGTGGCCAAATGAACCCGGGCCGTGAGGGTCACGAGGCCGCTCCTCCCTCTGCTCCGTTCTGTTCTCTCTGCCACGCGAGCTCAGCAGCAGCATAGCTGTGCAGTCACTATCGCACTCATTAATTGTCAAACATAACCACGTACTGCACAGCTTAACTGGAGCGCTGCTCACTACACTCACCTCGACATACTCTCACCCCATGCACCCTTAACCCTCTCGCCTCAAGTTCCCTCACTCCACCTCTCACCCCGCCACGTGGTGACCTCCAGATGAAAGGCGTTAATAGCAGTGTAGATTATTATTCGTACCCCACCATCACGAATACAACCACAAACTCTAGGTCGCCTCCTCAACCAAAACCACACCATGGGACCGGGGGGGGGGGGGGGGGACTATCCCACAGGCGTGGGGGCGCAACTCCAGTAGCCACGTGGGCCCTGTGCTTCACTTGTAGAAACCCCCCCGGGGCCCACTGGGGCCTCTGCCCCCATGTCCCAGAGGCCCCACTGTTCCTCATGAGTTCAGAGTCCAGAGTTGGAGATAGAGACATGGGGTGATTCCCCTAGTCCACGACCGGCACACAAGAGGTCGTGGGGTGGCACGCCCCCCAAAGCACGGTGATGAAGGGTCCGCAGAGGACCGGGGGGTAAGAGCCCCTCTCGCACTCGGCGCCGGGCAAGGTCCAGTTGTAGGGCGTGCAGGGCCCACACACGCGCATCGGGGCCCCCAGCACGAACACCCCCGTGGCGTCGTAGCCGTGGCCGCAGTAGCGCTCCCGGTCCAACGCCGCGCGGTGCTCCTGCGGGCGGAGAAGAGCGGTCCCACCAGGGTCCCCGGCCGCCTCCACCAGCATCGGCGGCTTGCTGGGTTGGGGCGGCGCCAGGCTGGGCGAGGGCCCCCCGCGAGGGGAGGCGCAGCCTGGGTCCGCGAACTCGGCATGGATGAGAACGCGCGCTGCGCAGTCCGAATGCGCGAACGTTGCGACCAGGGCCGCGTTCAGGGTCCAGCAGCCAGCGGCGTCTGCGGGAAACCGCAGCCTCCTCGTTAGGAACTCGCACGGCGGGGGGGGGCGAGGGGCCCACAGCGCCACCGAGCTTCTGGGTCTCAATCCAGGCAGCCGCATAGAATAAAGCCGGCCATTCCCCCACCCATGTTGAGGATTCGTGTCTACCAGACACTGTTTCGTCTCATCCATACTATATTCAGCCACCACACTGCAGGTCACTGTAGCTCACCTCACACGCTCAACCACTCACCCTCTTATACAATTGCCCACTCACCACACTACAGGTCCCAACAATTCTATCATCATTCGCATTGTTGCGCTTTGGAATTCCCTACCATCGTAGTCTCTTTTTCCCCCAGCTCCGATAACAATAACCTCACTCCATTACAATTCGGAATAACTCTGATAACAGTGCTGTTTTGGTCAAGAACAGGACATTCAAGTGATAGTCTTAACCCGGTTGCCAATGAATGCACAAATCCCCATCAGAATAACATTTTGTTCTGCACTTAATTCGGCTAAATTCCAGCTGTCATGATATATTGCCGGGTCGACTGTCATGCGACGAACATTATTCTCATATGCAGGGCGGATGGGCAAGTTCCGCCCTCGACTGTTTGGCGGTCACTTGAAGGGATCCGCGGGCCGTTTTTCTAACAAAAAGTCTTGCATTGCTCTGTGACAGATTCAGTTGTCACCACGCAACTCAAACTATGGACCATATATATAGCAAACCCCTGCAGTCTGCGCTCCTTCAACGGACGAGGAACAGCAAAACTACACGAAGCCCTCACGTCGTGGCTCGCAGGAGACCTCCATAATGCGCGTCTCAGCTACTGGACATTTTTGCTGCTGCTGTTGCCATCACTCACGAGAGTAGAATGGAGATCCTAATGCATTGTCTCGGGACGACGTGACGATGATGATTGCTCAATCGTGGACCGTTTGTCAGCCGGCTGCTGGACGAGCACGTGCGTCCTCGCGCCGTACGTTGTTTGCTTTTGGCGTTTCGTTTGTTGTCATCCCCCCCCGCACCTCTGATTAGCGCGGTTGGCGACGTACGGTGCGAAAGAAGGTCAACATACATTTATACTTGCAGGTCGTGGGGGTTACTTAAAGATACCTCACCACGCTGTTCAGTGCGGGAGTGGGAAGATGGGGTAAAGTGAGACAATGGATGTTGGTGCTCTTCCCAACGCCTGTATACCAGGGTAGTGTCAGTGCCCACTGTTTTACTCAGGGAAGACTGAGGCTCAAGACTCCCTGTCATGAGGGTGCTACTCCTACATTATCGATGTTTTGCCATTAATTACATCAGTGATGAGAGTTCGTGGCTTCGTGTGGGAGTGAACAGGAGAAACTTGAATAAAACCAGCAGTGCTGTGCACGAGGTGGTAGCTCAAAACTCGGCACAGATGGATTCAGGAATCACTTCCTGTACTGACATCTCCCGAGTAGCTGGCAGTCCAAGCTTAGAGCACCTAGTTTTCCTAGGCAGTCTCCCACCAAGGCAGTAAGCAGGCGCAATATGGCTTAACGTCTGACACATAAGAAAGAGTAGGGGGCCATGCACCAGGTGCTTAGTATGCAGGGCCGAAGAAGTCGAGGGGTTGTATGTATGATGAGCTTCTTTCGCACCCTACGCAGCCAACCGAGCTAATCGTAGGTGCGGATTTTCTGGGATCTAGGGGGTCCGGCCAGAACCAGGGGGGCCCAGGAACAGGAACCTTAGGATCTCGTTGTCCCCCTACGTCACGTGTTGTGGGTTCCCATCTCCATCACCACGTGGAGCACAGCGGGGAGACGAACCCCCCTCCCCTCTCCACGCCATCCTACTTTCTGCACTTCATTATATTGATCCCCATGAAAGAGAGAGAGAGCGCTGTGCCTTACACGGGTGATGATGTTTCGTGGGGTTGGAACCCGGGGACTACCCTAATTATAAACGCGAGGCAAATGGGCCCTGGTATTCATGTGCTCGCTATTAATACACGTGTTGCTGTTGCTGCTGCTATCACGGAGGGACAGAGATCCGGGGCAGGTGTGCAATCATCAAATCACCACTACCCCCGCCAACGTAATCATTATAATCAATCATTATCTAATCCACTGCTGGATGAAGCCTTCTTTACGTCGCAGCCGCCACTATCCCGCACGGTGCTGCAATGCCATAATCTATCTCACTCCTGAGCTGATCTCTGACTGCCCATAGAATTACCATCGGCCATGGTCTCTTTCAGTTTCCGTTTCATTTATTAGGGAAAGCTTTGTGAGCCATGCGGCTCTTGACTCGGGTACAACCTCAACATATGTCTTGCCCAAGCCCCACGGACTAACAGCCAATATCATGCCCCATATCATGCTGCAAACGTGCATCTCTCCGTGCTTCTTTGCACACATGTTATCTTTTCGTCTTGGCCAGTGTCTGCGTTCCCGAACTGACCTCACACCAGCAGCAAACATCCACCGATTGAAAACAACCCCCACAAATAACGCTGCGCCCCACGAACCCCCAGAGCTCCGACCTGAACCAGCCAAAGTTCGACTGCCAAAGTCGACCTTTGGGAGCGAGAGAGAGCGAGAGAGAGGAGGGGGGATGTGAGTCACGTCTGCATTCGGTGTTCGTATTCACCGTTACCTGGCCGCAGCGGGAAGGCGCTCAGTCTCTCCGACTCCATCGCGTGCGGGAAGTAGTGGTCCCGGAGACACGCGAGGAAGCACGGATTACGCAGAGGCCACGGGAGGCCCTCGTCGGGCGCGGAGCAGCGCGTCCTCGTCTCGGTGGGCCTGGCCGCGGCCCGGGGCCCCCGACCCAGCAGCAGCAGCAGCCCGAGGATCAACGCGGCAGTGACGCAGACAGAAATCCACGGCGGGTTCATGGTGGGGTCCTCCTCCTGGCACCATCACCACCGGCGCCGCCTCGCTCCGTTCCCCGAGCGCCGTGGCGCGCAGCTCCCGTGGACTCGACGCTGCGGCCAACGCGGCCCGACCAACGTGGGCGGCTGCTGGGGGGACGTGGGAGGAATGGGGGACGAGGGATGGGATGGGGGGGGACCCCGCACGACGACTGCGGACGGAGCCTGCGGCCCCCAGCCGCTGTGCCGCGCCACGAAATCCGATACGCGCCGCACGTCAACAACGCGGCGCTGGCCTCCATGCACCGGGCGAGGGGGCACACATCAAAGTTCGCGGTGGATGAAGTGGCAACACCTTCAGGGGACGCACCGTGGGAGGAGGACGACGACTGTGGGTGGAGGGGGACCGGGTGGTTTTTTGGGCGGGAGCTGGCACGGGGAGTTGGAAGGGTTGGAGAGGGAGCTGCGGGTCGGGTTAATTATCAGAAGAGAGTGGCTCGTGGCTGCCCCCCACACCCATCCCCCGCTGGGTGAGGATGGCCATTAGGAACCAACGTGGCACAAAGACGTGAGCGGGTCACCCCGTGCCACCTCGCAGGTAAACAAGGCCGAGCGCGGAGCCAGTTGTAGGTCCGTGCGCGTCGTCTTTGGTTGAGTCCCTACAATAATAGCCAGCCACTCACCCAGCCATACTTCCCCAATCTTTCACCCCCCCTACACACACGCACACACATGCACGTACTGTACCCCACACACACACACCCCACGCTCTACCTCACCACGCACAATCCCCGCATGCCCATTCACGTTCCCTGTTCCCTCCCCAGCTGCTGGAGGCGCCGAGTTCCATGCTCCGTGGCGCCGTGCTCCGCTCCGTGTTTTGGGTGCCTCTTTCTCCCCCCCCCCCGCACGGGAGAGGAGCGGATCGCGCGGTCGGTCGCTGGGAGGCGGAACGGATTCTCTGCCGCGGATTCCGGAGCGGATTCTCTGCCGCGGATTCCGGAGCGGATTCTCTGCCGCGGATTCCGGAGCGCAGCAGCTGCACCCGCTTGACTTGACCGGCAACTCGAGATTTGAAGCTTTCGTGACTGCAAGGATTCATACTCTTAGGTTTTTTTTTGCTAAAGTCACGTAGGTAAAAAATAATTAATACAAATTATAGAAATTAAATAATAAATCACGACGTTTGATACGGTAAATTTAGCTGTGACGGTCCCACCTGATGACGGAGACTTGTGTTGCCTCCGAAACGTCGTGCTTTATTATTTTATTTATATTATTTATTTTTACCTACGTGACTTTACCGAAAAAACCTGAGAGTATTGGACCGGCAACACCCCAGGGCTTAATGTCAGCCGGAGCTGTCCGGGACTGAGCTCCGGAAAATACTCTCCGTCTCCCACTATCCCTAATTAACACCGAATACGGTGGCAGTGGGATGGGTTTGAATGAGACACGTTGAGTTTACGGAATACGCGGCAGCTGTAGCAGTGCTCATTGCGTATTTACATGGAGCGCACGCGTGCAGGGGTGTGCGTGGGGAGCGGTGCCCTACGAACCCGGCCACCCTAGTCCAGTTCATGGTATCAGGATGTCTACTGCACCTACTAAGCCCTAAATGAGTACGGTACCTGCTACGTCTATCATCAGCATCAGGGCTGGTGTGGTTCTGGTGACACCGCCAACTTATGCACCGTGCCGCCCTTCGGCGCATCTCACGAATAGCAATTGTCCTAACAACCTGTGTAAGCTAAACAGGGAGTCTTTGTATGTGCCCGTGTCTCGTGTCTATGTGTCTTTACACGAGTCTATATGTGTATGTACACGTGTCTGTGTCTCTATGTGTGTCTCAGCGAGCGCAGTGGTGGATCATTCTGAACAATCCCACACAGAGACGCGTCTTCCGGTCCAATTCTGTTCTCCTTATATTTAAACAATCTTGAACTAAACTTAAATCACTCAGAATTAAATCTCTTTGTTTATGACAATGTCATGTTAGTATCAGGTAAATCTTCAAACGAAGTCAAATAGAATCTCCAACACAATTTTGACTCAATTCAATATCAATCTTCGTGACTAAAATTTTTCTAAATCCCCAAAAAAGGAAGATAATACTTTTATATATATTTTTTAAAAATCCAGTTTAATTCCCTTCAGCTGTTACGGATATCAGAAACATAATAATCGAACACACGGATTGTATCAAGTACTTAGATTTACTGATTGACTCAAAGCTTACATTCCAACCGTCATATAGATCACATCTCAAAGAAAATCAAATACAAAATGTGTTTTTTTTATAAAGATACAAACATTGTTTCCCCATTCGTTTGCACCTGCAAACTGTTCAAGCTATCATTCTACCACTTTTTGACTACTGTGAGACTGCTTACAGATCAGCTACTCATGAATCACTAAACAATCATTCTGCTCTTCGATTTACACTGGATGTGCCATATATACTCACCAATGTGACCTCTAATTACAATTCAATCTCACATGACTCGATACAAGAAGACATCTACATTGGGCCCTATTAATCCATAAAATCCTGATTGGCAAATCTGTGCCATACCTAGCGAATTCATTAATCTCATTGTTAAACCCGCTAAACCTAAGATGTCCATGTAATTGCTTTTTAAATGTCCCAAGAACAAGAATTGGAATAGGTGACAAAGCCTTTGCCGTTGCAACACCAACGTTTTGGAACAACCTTGTTTCCTCCCTTAACATCTTAAATGTTCATTTAACAAATGCTGAAGCAGATTAGTGCTGGATACTACAAACATTTGACAATTTGATATGTCATTTTGAACTTTCCCCATGTATCTATAATTACATTTGCATGTGCAATTTTATTGAGGGACTGTGTGTTGTCTTGGGGTGGTCTGGGATTGTTTTTGTTTTGCTGCCTTGCCCAAGATTGCATTGGGTGTTGAAAAATTAGCAGGAATTGATGTACTTATGCAATTTGTACTTAGAAACTTTATTCAATTTATACTTATAATTTATATTTAGTGACTTGCTTGGCTTTCCTGTACTTTGCACTCCTATACGTTGATGTATAATTTGTTATTATTGGTTCTTTCGGTAAAGTCACGTAGAAGGGAAATAATAAAAATATAAAACAATAAAATTCTCACGACGTTTCGACTGCAACACAAGCAATCATTTTATTATTTCCCTTCTACGTGACTTTACCGAAAGAACCAAGGATATGAATCCCTGCAGTCACGAATGCTTTAAATCAAAAGTATAATTTGTTGTTGAAACTGTCTGACCTGCCCCCACTGGACATGTGAAAAAAGCTTCATAGCTCATCAGATTATTCCAGTCTAAATAAAGATTCTGATTCTGGTGGTTCCAGGCAAAGCACCCTCCCCTCTCCCCCATCCTCCCCCCACCTTCACGTGGGAGGTCCCGCAGCCCTGAGGGACCGCATGCGGAACCGCGTGCCCCCCTGGGGGCCTTCGCACGATACCTCCTCCCTGATCATCGCCAAGAGCAAATCTGCGCACCAGTCTCGGTCCTGTGGGTCCTCGGGCCAGCGCACACAGGGCCGGCCCGCCTGCAAGTGGGCCCTCACGGGCCTATGCCTCTGCAGCTGAAACTCGGGCAGGGAGCCCAGCAGCAGCAGCACGAGCACATCTTGGCGGGTCCCAAGGGCCCCTCCGCGACCTTGCGCCAGCCTCAGGGCCTCCATGCACCAGCTGTCGGCTAGGAAGCGGCGTGTAAGCACGCAGAGCGTGCAGCGACTCGCGTCCACGGCGCGGACCAGGTTGTCCATGTGGGCCTCGCCTGGCACGAAGTCGCGGGCCTCCAGGCACACGGACAGGGGGCCTCCGCGACCCCCGCGCGAGTCCAAACGGCGCAGGAGCTCAGAACGGACCCACGGGAAATCTGCCTCGCTATGGCACACGAAGGTGTCGTAATAAAACTCTGCACCACCGCCACGTTTCTCGTTCGCCTTGGGGGTCGCCCCCCATTCCCACGTCAAGAGCAGCTCACGGAGCCGCGCGAGGCCGTGGTAGAAGTGGCGGCGGCAGCAGCGGTGTCCGAGCATGGCGACGAGGAGGAGCAGCACCGCAGAGGAGGAAGCACAGAGGAGCGAGAGGCGCAGGCGCCGTACCAGCTGCGGGTCCTCCTCCTCGCAGCCCTGGCTGTCGAGCAGCGCCAGCGGTACCGCCTGAAGCTCGGACGGAGACGCGCACCGGAGGGCGTCGGGAAAGGAGGCCACGGCGGCGCTCGCCGAGGAGTTCAGCCACGCGAGGAGCGGCATGAGCGCGCATGTGCAGTGGAATGGGTTCCCGCGCAGGTCCAGGAGCTGTAGCAAGGCCAAGGGGCCCAGGGCCATGGGGTCCAGCACCACGAGGCGGTTCCATGCCAAGTCCAGCACCTCCAGGCTGCGCAGAGGCTCCAGCGAGGCGGCACTCACGCTGCTCAGGTGGTTGTTGGACAAGTTGAGCGTAAGCAGTGAGCTCAGGCCAAGGAAGAGCCCATCCGGCAGAGCCGTGAGCAGGTTTCTGTCCAAGAAGAGCTTCTGCAGTGCTCCCAGTGTGTGGAACATGTCCATGCAGTGGCCACTGGCCCACACGGCCTCCATCGTGTTCCCGCTAATGTCCAGGTAGACGAGGCTATTGTTTGGGCTCCACGAGGTGGCCTCGGGTGGGCATTCCCTTAGGAAGTTATCTGCAAAGAGCAGGAACTGCACACGTGGCGACGCCATGGCCGTCCACACCTCGCCCAGGTTGTGCAACCGGTTGCGTCTCACATCCAGGAACACGAGGCTCTTTTCCATGGTCTGCAGGCCATACAGGTTGCTCAGGCGGTTGTCACCCAGCATGAGGTAGCTCAGCGAGGGCAGCTTTAGCTGCGGTAGCTGCAGGATCGAGTTGTCCCTAAGGTCCAGAATGGTGAGATTTGGGAAGCCCGCGAATGCGGTGTCCTGGATGATGCCGATGTGATTGTGGCTGAGGTCAACGTTGCCTAGCGGGGAGTTCACTAGGTCCTTGAAGCTCCTCTCATAGATCTCGCCGAGCAGGTTGTAAGACAGGTTGAGAAACACCAGGCTTTTGAGGCCCTGGAAGGCGCCCGGCGCGATTTCGTTCACCTTGTTTCTGCTCAAATCCAGGGAGTGCACGGCAGGGAACGCGCTGAAGACGCGTGGATGCAGCGAGAAGACGCGGTTCCTCGAGAAGTCCAGGACTTCCACGCCGGACTTCTCCAGTCCCAAGAACCACTCCCGCACCGGGTCCTTGAAGTTCATGAATGCAAAGGACCTGCCGATGTTGGGGAGGAAACACAAGTTTAGCTTCTTTATGGGAACCCCGCGAATACTCTCAAGGAAATGCTGCAGGCTGCTGGGGTCAAAGGTGGTGCTCGAAATGTCCAGGAGGCCGAAGGAGAGGTTGCACAAGGGGTTGCCACACTCTGTCCAGTTAAAGGCCGTGTCCTGGAACATCCTAGTGTCACTCAGGTCCAGCAACTCGAGGTGGTGTCCAGAGAGCGCCGCGAGGTCTCCCTCGCACAGACTTTTCAGATCCGTGTTTCTGCGGAGCTTGAGGACCCTCAAGGCCACCATGGAGAGGAAGACCCGACTGAGCCGTGCGCGCCGCAGGTTGTTGCCGGTGAGGTCGAGTTCCCGCAGGGAGGTGAGGTCCCGAAAGAAGTCGCCCTCCAGCACCTCATTCTTCAGGCCGTTGTAGTCCATCTGGAGCTTCTCGAGCCGATGCAGACCCCACAGCGCGCGGGGCTTCAGGACGAGGAGGCCGTTGCCTCCGAGGTCCAGCCAGCGAAGCTGGGGCAGCTCGGCAAAAGCCAGGTCCTCCACCACCACCCGACCCAGGCCCTGCTGCTGTCGGCCCAGCAGCAGCACCTGGAGGTAGCCCAGCGGCGGAAGCGAGGTGTTGGAGAGGTGCAATATGTTGTTGAAGGAGATGTCCAGGTTCGTGGTGTTCGCGGGGAGAAAGTCCCGAGGAGGCGGCTCCGTGAGATTCATGTTTATACAGGAGACGTAGCCGGAGTGCGGCTTAAGCCAACACGCAGAGGTACGCCCCACTACGACCACCACCACCAGCAACAGCAGCTGATGATGATGGTGATTCTGGGCTCGAGGTCTGGCGGCGCGGACGCGCCTCATGATTCCGCTATCAAAGCCCTGTGCGTCACCCACGGGACGCACCCTGTATGGTGGTGGTGGTGGTGGCGCCGCTGTCTCGGACTGTCTCTTGAGCTTGCGAGGCGCCCCGAGTTATCGGGGAGCGAGCGTGAGCCCAGTTAATGCCTCACTCACTCCCTCCACCCTCACCTCCTCTCTCCTACTGCTTTCACCTCTCCCTCAACTCCTTCCCCTTTCTCTCTCACCCGTTACCACTCCCTCTGCACACACCCCCCACCTCCATTCTTCATCACCGCCCCGTTTCCCCATCTTATCTCTCCTCCCCTGCCTTCCTCTCTCGTAACGTGGAAGAGGAGGCGCGGTTCTCAGGAACTCCGGGGGGGGGGGGGGTGCCGCGAGAACGTGCGCAGGGGGCGGGCATCGTCCTCTGCTCGGGGTCCCTCATGCCGAGTCATCATCATAATCATCCAACCCCTGGCAGCCGCTCGCCACATCCTGATCTTTCACCTATGACTCAAAGAGTTCAATCGACTCACGTGGCCGGGTTCGCAGCGCAGAGCGCGAAGCGTGCGCGGTCACTCGAGATACACTCACTCGAGATACACTCACTCGAGATACTCACTCACTCGAGATACACTCACTCGAGATACTCACTCGAGATACACTCACTCACTCGAGACACTCACACGAGATACACTCACTCGAGATACACTCATTCGAGATACTCACTCGAGATACACTCATTCGAGATACTCACTCGAGATACTCACTCACTCGAGATACACTCACTCGAGATACTCACTCACTCGAGATACTCACTCACTCGAGATACTCACTCACTCGAGATACACTCACTCGAGATACTCACTCACCCGAGATACTCACTCACTCGAGATACTCACCCGAGATACACTCACGCGAGATACTCACTCACGATACACTCACTCACGATACACTCACTCGAGATACACTCACTCGAGATACTCACTCGAGATACTCACTCACTCGAGATACTCACTCACTCGAGATACTCACTCACTCGAGATACACTCACTCGAGATACACTCACTCGAGATACTCACTCACTCGAGATACTTGAGATACTCACTCACTCGAGATACTCACGCGAGATACACTCACTCGAGATACTCACTCACTCGAGATACTCACTCACTCGAGATACTCACTCACTCGAGATACACTCACTCGAGATACTCACTCGAGATACTCACTAGAGATACACTCACTCGAGATACACTCACTCGAGATACTCACTCGAGATACTCACTCGAGATACTCACTCACTCGAGATACTCACTCGAGATACTCACTCACTCGAGATACTCACTCAAGATACACTCACTAGAGATACTCACTCACGCGAGATACACTCACTCGAGATACACTCACCCGAGATACACTCACTCGAGATACTCACTCACTCGAGATACTCACTCACTCGAGATACTCACTCGAGATACACTCACGCGAGATACTCACTCACGCGAGATACACTCACTCGAGATACACTCACGCGAGATACTCACTCACGCGAGATACACTCACGCGAGATACTCACTCGAGATACACTCACTCAAGATACTCACTCACTCGAGATACTCACTCACTCGAGATACACTCACTCGAGATACTCACTCACTCGAGATACTCACTCACTCGAGATACTCACTCACTCGAGATACTCACTCGAGATACACTCACTCGAGATACTCACTCACTCGAGATACTCACTCACTCGAGATACTCACTCACTCGAGATACTCACTCGAGATACACTCACGCGAGATACACTCACGCGAGATACACTCACTCGAGATACACTCACAAGAGATACACTCACTCGAGATACTCACTCGAGATACACTCACGCGAGATACTCACTCGACACTCACTCGAGATACTCACTCGAGATACACTCACGCGAGATACACTCACGCGAGATACACTCACTCGAGATACACTCACAAGAGATACACTCACTCGAGATACTCACTCGAGATACACTCACGCGAGATACTCACTCGACACTCACTCGAGATACTCACTCGAGATACACTCACGCGAGATACACTCACGCGAGATACACTCACTCGAGATACACTCACAAGAGATACACTCACTCGAGATACTCACTCGAGATACACTCACGCGAGATACTCACTCGACACTCACTCGAGATACTCACTCGAGATACACTCACGCGAGATACTCACTCGAGATACACTCACAAGAGATACACTCACAAGAGATACACTCACTCGAGATACTCACTCGAGATACTCACGCGAGATACTCACTCGACACTCACTCGAGATACTCACTCGAGATACACTCACGCGAGATACACTCACTCGAGATACACTCACAAGAGATACTCACTCGAGATACTCACTCGAGATACACTCACTCGACACTCACTCGAGATACTCACTCGAGATACTCGAGATACACTCACTAGAGATACTCACGCGAGATACTCACTCGACACTCACTCGAGATACTCACTCGAGATACACTCACTCGACACTCACTCGAGATACTCACTCGAGCTACACTCAGTTACGCAAGCTACAACTCACTCGAGCTACAGTTACGCAAGCTACTCTCACAACTCGCGTCGAGGCTTCCTGTCCCGAGCTCACTTCCCCGACTCACTGGCGAGGGTGATGTCCGCGATTTGTGTTCGTTCCTTAAACGAGAGAACCCCCTTCCACGCTTGTTCCATTCCTCGAGTTCCGTGGCCTCCGACCTCCGTTGCTTCCCTCTTCTGCAATCAACTCGTCTCCTCCCGGTTCATTGATCCCGGTCCGCCTTCAGCAACTGCCCTTGGGGATGAATCCGATTGTCTGCTCCGGTTGAGTTCCTCCAAGACGAAGTCGAGGGAACTGGTTCTGCCTGCCTTTTGCACCGAATTCATCTCGAGACCAGATGTGCAGCCTTCTTCACACATGCCCATTGCCGCTGTCGGACTGTACCGACCGCGGTGTTGTTCGGCATGTCCGACGTTTCACTCCCATGTGCTGGCAGCTTTTTCAGTAAACGTGGTTCAACTCGAAACCACATCAGAACTGGCGCGCAATCCGCGCGGCGCTCTCATCCTGCCCTACAGCTCAATGCTACGGGTACGCGATCAACTATTGATATCGTCACTGCTCTTGTGAATGGTAGCACCAATGTGTTTATAAACTCGATGACAATGTCTCTGCTGACCACGACGAGGGCTTCATGCGAGTTTGTGTAGGTGTGCTTTCTCTAGAGCAATTATACTATGAACGCGTCCCCCATGTTACATATTGCACTCCACATCTCTGATCCCGTGTCGGGAACATACCCTGTAACGTAGCTGTGAAGATCCCTGGTAACGTGAAGGTATCTTCACTGTTGTAAACTAAAATCACTTCATCAAAAATTTTGTCGACAAAATAGCAAGCCATGATCAATCCACTGCTGCATATGAAAGTCTCCCCAAGCAATTTCTCGTGATCCCGCGGTTTAATAATACACCCAGCTCCCACACACAAGCCGATTTCATTGCTATATCAGATGTATGCTAATTCCATAATTTACCTACCCTTAAACATATGAAGCTTTGGAGCAGGGGAAGTTCTTTGGAAGGGTAAACACATCCTCGAGCTATTCTATCAATTTTAATTTATGGCAAGCAGGGTGAACATTTGCCGGCCAGCATAGCGAGTGCGTGCTTGAATAAACCCCGTGTAAGTAATTATGTCCAGTCATACCTCGGAATACGACTGCTTTGGAATACGTCGAATTTGGTATACGTCGTGTTTTGACGAGAGAAAAATGTCTTGGGATACGACGTCTTACTTGGGATACGACGTGCTTGCTAGAACTTGTATGGGTCGGGTTGAGTCACCGCGTACACAACACTGTTATGGCTCTAACAAGCCGTAACAGTATTGTGTGGAATGACCAGACAATGTGACACTTCAGGAACATTCTTAGAAGGCAAAAACAAACTTCAATGGGCAGCTTTTTAGTAAATCTCAAACCTGGTGAGCCTCAACCAGATCCAAGTCAAGAAAAAAGAGGAGAAAAAAACCACAGAATTTCAGCTTCCTGAAGTTTTAATGGAAGGGGACTCTCCTTCCAAAAAATAACATCTCCTTCCCTTCCTCACCACCATCCTCGTAGGCTATCAACTCCTCTCAGCAAGGTAAAGTGATGTTACATTTTATTTAAATTTATTTATGCATTTATTTTATGTATGCAATTTAGTAATAAGTAGTGTCTAAATTATTTTATACAACCCCATTGTCTAATATGAAATATTTCTTATACTCTGGAACGGATTTTCTTTCCCTTTATTTATGGCAAAAATGTGTATGGTATTCGTCATTTTCGGTATAAGTCCTACCTTCTGGAGCGAATTAACGACGTATACCGAGGTACCACTGTACCGTACACTGCGTGGTTACGCAGTTGTAGACTGCACCGGTGTCAATGTTTACACCAGGCCCCCGTGGCAACAGCGCTGTCTATCGGTCACTCACGCGTAATGCAGCTCGGTACAAGCAGTGCCGGCCGAGCCAGAGCACAGCTCACAGCAGTGCAAAGCCAGATTGCAGACCGAGCTTCAGCAGTTATGGCAGCATACAAACTACACTGCCGAGTACGCTACATCAGTCACGTCTCGCACAAGTCGCAGTACAGCCACATCTGCAGCAGACAGCACCGTCCCCATCACACAGCCCCTGCACAGCGGGCCGCGTCACCACTCACAATGCGGACACGGGGAGCAGCATTTTCTTCTCCTTTATTCAAGAAATATCCGAGCAAAAACATCATTCAATACTCACGCTGCGCCCTCTCCAGCAAATGGAGCGCAATTGAACCTGCACGCGATTTACGCGAGCATCTTGCGGCGATTAACCGCGCTGACCTATGGAACAAAGCAAAGGGTGTCAACTGGCATGGAGGACACGCCGGATACGAGTCCACAAGCGAGAGTCCGCAAGTCCGATGGGAAGTTCGCAAGGAGCCACACTCTCCTGCTGCGGACCAAGCTCTCGGCCAGGATTCTGACCCCGCAGATGAGAACAGAATCCAAGGGTGGGCTCCGACATATTGTGAGAATAGTTCTGAGGGCTCTGGGTATAATGGTGAGTGGGTGGATGGGGGGAGCTTTAGCGTAGCCATTGGCGTGCTGCACCTCAAATCCGGTGCACGAGTTCGATTTCCACTCACGGCCAACACGAGTGACAATCTAAACTATTCCTGGGCCTCCTCGAGGTCGACTCACCATCAAATTAGTACCTGGTGCGATATGTAAACATCGTTGCCGAGACAAAGGTGGTGGTAGCCACCCACTCCATTGTGTGCTGTCGGCCTTCATAGGTGCTCGCTAACAGCACTTGCTCCAACCAAGTTTGTTAAGGCTGTGAATGGGTTTGTATGGGTGTAAGTAAATGGGTGAGAGCAAATGGGTGAGAACAAATGGGTGGCTGAATCCAACAGACCAGACCCAGTGGCTGCAGTGTCCTGTGAAGGCTGCGATAGGCAGCCTCCCCTGAAACACACAGCACCGCACGCATCTCCTCGTGATGCAGTCGCACCGCTGAGGTGTGCCGGCTGCTGCTCGTCCTCTCAGCGCCGCCGTGGCACCTCCTCAGCACATCCACCACGCTCCCCGCCCTCACCCCGCATGTGAGATCTGAGAGGGCAGGGATGAGGGGGGACCCGAGACCAAAATAGGAGATCAGAAAGCAGAGATCACAGGGGACACAAGGAATGGGGGCAGCAGCAGAGTTAGAGGTAGGAGACACGGAAACACATGTGGTTGCCGAGAGCAGAGTATAGGGGGGCACAACAATGCATTTTGGAGGGGGCCAACTGCCTTTGCATGCAAGGTGGTGCTATTTGTCACTCAGGGCGAGTTCCCCTGGTGCAATATTTCGCCTTTTTTGCAAAATACTTTTGATTTCTCAAATTTGGACTGAGGCCCGTCACACCTCCGATTAGCATGATTGACTATGTATGGTGCGAAAGAAGTTCAACATACATACAACACAATGGCCTACACTCTTCCTAGAATTGTCATGGGATTGCTAACGTGCACTGTGAAGGAGACGGTGCATATTTGAGGTTAATTCCCCCACGGTATTAGCTGTGACTGGCGGAAGTGGTGTTTTCCAGAGCAGCAGCTTTTCTCACAATGGCACTGGTCGCGTTTGTGGGGCCATGATGCCGCGGGCAGGAACTGAGAAGAGGAAGTGAGCAGCCATAACAGGCGCAACAGGGCAATTAGGACAGCCAAGACAGACTCGCTCACACACACACAACCCTCGTTCACCACTCTCACCGAGATCTGCTCATTAAGATCCTCTCACTGGGATCCCAACATCCCAACCCAACAGAGCTGTTTTAGTTAAACATGTCCTCAGTTAACCAGCAAAGTCACACTGTGTCTCAAGACCTTTTCAAGTGGGGCCTGCACTGGGATATTTGGCTAAATCCAAAAACAAGTGTTTGTTTGGCTTCATCCGGGAGGAAAACCAGAGCACATGATGAAAACCCATGCATGCACGGGGGTAACAATGAAAGCCCACAGCAATGGATACAATTGAATTTCTGCTGTGGCGCTTTTCTGCATTGTCACCACCTGGCCAGGAAAAAAAAATCATGAATGCAATAGCAGCAGAAGGCCCCCACCACCCCTCCATCTCACCAGCGGCCGAAACGCGGAGAGCCATGAGCTCACGGTATGTATTGCATGGTGGCTACCCCGGCATCGCCATCCCACCACCACTTCCCTCATGGCCCACGTTCCATGGCATGGCCACACGTGACCAATAACGTTGGCTCTGCGGCCACATGATAGGGAGGCTGGGGCCACCGTCAGGAACAGGAGTTTGGCTCAGTAAACGCCACCCCGACTGTTGCAAGAGACTGGGACCTGCTGGGTGCTGCCTCAAGACACCTGGTTATGTGCTTGCCACTGGGAGACCGGAGAAAACAGATGTGCCGAGTCGTGAGGGCCAGCCAGGACGTACAGCCTCTGGATCACGAGTGGAGGTGCCACAATTCGTGTACCACACTACACACCTGGCGATCTGCGTTTACTGGCCACGGATAACGAGCGTCACATACATATTTGTTTAACTTCTTTCCCACCGTACGTCGCCAACCACGCTAATCGGAGGTGTGATACGACACACAGCACACCTGACACACAAGTCAAACCCATTAGTGTCAGGTGATATCTGAACAGGTTACTGCCCCTCCCCGCAACCTCTTCCTTCACTATTTCACGAGGTGCAGTGTGAAATATGGTCATACACGTGTGATGACTGAATGGCATGGGAAGGCCTTCATCAAGCAGTGCATTGATAAAGGTATATTTATTATTGGTATCTACACCCAAAACCAACAGCCCTGGCAGCAAGGAGGCAGCTGCAGCTCACCTGCAACGGGAGCCCACACACCTTCCTCTTAATGCTGCACCGGGCCACGAGGTGGATACATTTCATGGTACCGATCTCTTCACATGGTCAAAGAAAGTGATTGGTGGCTATGTGGCAGAGCATAAACCCCAACCCTCGGACCCCCACAGTGGCTGTTCCATCAGCAGCCGTGGCATTTAGGTGATGAACAGAATCTCTCAGATCAGCCGTAATATTTGGGCACAAGGGTAGTCAAAATAATACAATAACCCGTGGGAAACTGACACATTTTAAACTTAAAACTATATGGTAGTTGATAGTGTGTTCATTAGGGTGCTAGTACAACGTAAGTTACATTAATTCATAGGCCACGATAAAACGGCAGTATGCACAATATCGAGTGGCTTAAGTTGTGGTAAAAGGTTTAAAGACCTCTGGGCACGTTTACTATAGCCACGATAACAGTACATAACCACCTACACTCGCCTAAATGTAATGGGCCCAACACCACCAATTCGTGAAAAACCCAGCCCCAGCGCAACACCATAAGTGTTGCATGTCCCCTGCGGCACCATACCCATTATACCAGCTGTCAGGCAGAACGCACCACGAGGCACACACACACAAAGACCCCCCAGAACGCACGACGAGGCACACACACAAAGACCCCCCCCCCCCCCCCGTCTAACCGTAACAGACTGGTGAGAAAATGCTTTTAGTAAACGCTTTTGTTGGCCAGCATGGCACATCTGAGGGGGTAGATGGCCAGCACCACGCCTGGTCAGCTGTCTCCCTAATGGTAATGTTCACACATCATACCAGGTACTCATTTACAGCTGAATCGACCTAGGGGAGACCCAAAAGGTTCAAATATTCGCTACTTTCGTGAGCGGGCATCGATCAGACCTTGCGTGCACTCGTACATGGGGCTGACAATATTCCAACGATCGCTGCAAGCATCACATCTGTTGTAGGGTTCGGTGTTTGTTGCATGTGAATTGCGAATTTCCTTTTTGCTGCCCCTTGGCATGTAGGCGCCTCCGAGTTTGGGTACATTTTATGCGGGTGTCGTGGTTAAACCGGTTTAAAGCAAAAACGTGACGTGTGCAAAATGGACATTTCCTTAATTTCAGTCCTGTAAACGAAACCCATTATACCAGAACCACACAGTACGGGTTTAATTTTTAAACGCCATGAATTGTTGGTCTTGACAATTCTGAAAGGCTTATTATACGGTAACCCACTCATTTGAAAAACGGTCATCACAAAATTCGCTTTTATTGGCCATATAAACAAATATGCAAAATATTTTTTTCAGCTTTATCGACGAGCACCAAAGTGAGTTGGTCAGGGACCCATCGCACCCAAGACACCTGAAAAATCCATCTTACCTGACACATTCATACATGTCAATCACCACGCCTGGCAAAGCCATCACACACCTGACAGCCAAACGCGTCAAAACCCTTGCACGTATTCCACCCAACACACACGCTCATCATTCACAACCCTCACGCACGCATCACACACACATGCAATACTTACCAGGGCCTGCAGCACTTGCCACCCCCTACAGCACACACGTACCACAGTAGCATGAAGCCACGCCACACACGCCGTGCACATGGAGCGAGCGAGCTCTTGTGCGCGAGGGGGTACGGGGGGCAGGCGCTTTCCACGGGCCCCTTGCACCACCACCACCACACGCCTATACCTGCCACCTCCTCCTTACCTGTGCCTCTCGGCCCTCCTCACCCCCTAACTCCAATCTTCCCTCGCACCCTCGCCGGCCGAGGCCCCACGTCCGCCCAGCCGCTGCGCCCTTAGGGGGTTCGGGTCCCCGCCGCCGCCGCTGCTGCTGCTACTCGATGCCCGCGTTTAGGGCCCCGGGGGTCACGCGAGATCGGAGGCCCACGGGGGGACGGTGTGGGCCCTGGGGCCGCTGCCGGTTTACGATGAAGCGAGACGGAGCAGGCCGGGTCCAAGAGTCGGGAGATGGAGTTTATTACAAACAGCGCGTACAGGGCCGAGCCGAGCGTTTTGTTTTATCCGTTTACCTCCGCCATGACCCGCGAGTGTTTTATGAATGTAGTTTTAATATTAAACAAAAGGTATCTTCTAAAATTATTAAAGAACATCCGCCGACAAATCACTGCAACTACGGAAAGATCGGAGAGATTAAAACGCAATTCTCACGAGAAACAAGAGCGAACCCCAACCTAAGACCCCGCGTCGCGCCAGCGGTGCCGCCTGAACCCGCGAGTCTCTTCCCGGGCTCCAACAAAACAAACAGCGCGGGGGGATTGGGGATGTCGGGGGTGGTGACGACGGCCTCACGCGTTAAAACACAAGGGGGTAGTAGACGAGAGAGAAAGGGGGGGTCCCCGCTCTCAGCTTAGACGGGGAATGAAGTCGTGGGGAGGGGGGGGGGGGAGAACGACGGCCGCGCAAATGCGGGCCCCGAGAGACGCCGCAGCCGCCACGTGGAAGGGGCGAGAGAGCGCGGGACGACGACGAATGTGGACCCCCCCCCCCGCCGAGCGAGTGACCCATCGTGGTCCCCAGAGGCCTCCTCCTCCTCGTCCCGCTAGTAGCCCCTGCGATCCCCGTTGAATCGGCCGTACGCGTCGTCGCGGTCGAGACTCGAGCCCATGCGGTAGCGCGCAGAGGGCCCCCCCCCCGGGCTCATGGCGCGCCGCGCGAACATCGCGGGCCCCCCCCCCGAGGGCCCCAGCGAGCCCCCCCCGAAGCCGCGGCTAAGCGGGCTGCGCTCCCTAGCCCCGACCGAGCGGTAGTAGTAGGGGTCTCGGGGCGGCGGAGGAGGCGGCGGCAGCGGGCGGCGATCGTAGTAGGGGTCGGGCGCGTACGCGGGCGGCAGCGGCGGCGCGGGCCGCCCTCGGGAGCCCCCGAAGCGATCGTCGAAGAAGCCGCCGCGGTCGCCGGGCCGAGGGCCCCCCATGCCCGGGTAGGGCCGCCCGAAGCCGCCACCCCCACCGGCAGCAGCCAAGTGAGCCGGGAGGTGCGAGGGCGGTGGGGGTGGAGGAGGCGGCGGTGGAGGCGGCGGGTAGGGCCGCCCGTAGCCCAGGTGGTGGTGAGGGTGCGGCAGGGGGTAGGCCACGAAAGGCGGCGGTGGTGGCGGTGGAGGCGGCGGGTGGTGCGGGTGGTGGTGGTGGTGATGGTGCGGCGGCATCGGCGGCATGGGGCCTCCGTTGCGGTAGCCACCGCCACCACCGCCGTCTCCTCCCTCCTCTCCTCGGTGCATGTGGCTGACGGAGAGCTTCACGTTGATGGTGCGGCCGCCCAGCAAGTTGCCGTGCAAGGCGGAGATGGCGTCCTCTGCTGCCGAGCCGCGCTCCATGTGCACGAAGGCGAAGTCCTTGACGATGTCGCACTCGAGCACGCGGCCGTACTCGCCGAACAGCTCCTTGATCTGCGTGGTGGTCACGGAGGGGTCCACGTTGCCCACGAACACCTTGACGGCGTTGCGCACGTTCGTGGTGGAGTAGAGCACGTTGATGCGGTTGCCGCCGAAGCTGGACTTGTGCAGCAGCTGGATCGCCGTCTTGGCGTCCATCTCCTTCTCCATGTGCACGAACGCGTAATTGCGCATCACGTCGCAGTCGTTAACCTGCCCGTACTTCTCGAAGAGCTCGCGCAGCGCGCTCGGCTCCGTGTCGGACGGCAGGTTGCCCACGAAGAGCTTCACCATGGTGGCTTCGAGGAACAACGGAGCGCCGAGAAGAACGAGTCAAGAACGAGGTGGGGGACGAAGCCTTCGCGACCACCTCCTCCTCCCCCGAGGCGCCCAGCAAAATGGCGGCGCGTGGCCCCTCCGCCGAGTCACGAGATGGAGGAGCGCGCTGGGTCGTGACGTCATCGCGCGGGAGGAGTGGCGTGACGTCATCGCGCGGGAGAGTCACCGCGCTCGCTTGTAGATGTGTGTGTGTGTAGTGTGTGGGGACGGAGCGACACGGCGTGTGTGGGGAAACGCGGAGACAATGCCGAGGGAGTGACGAACGGGGGCACACGCGCACACGCGCGCGGCTTGATCGTGACGCCTTTGTTTGAGATCAAGGTGGTGACGTCACAGCGGGTTCTGGTCGCGCGTGCAATGTGGGGGGTACGGGGTGACATGACGCGCTAGTCGCTTCGCGCGGGAAAACCGCGAGCCAATCGGAAGCCGCCGCCTGGTGCGCGACGGTTGAACGTTTCTCAGGGTTCACTCGCGAGCCGGCCTCGGGTCACGTGACGCGACGTGAGCCCCCAACCCCCGTGAGGCTGCGTGGTGCTGGGCTCAGTCGACCCCATGGACACTTATCGAGAGGGGGAGGCCCCCCACGAGTCCCTCACGTTTCTCCATGAGTACCAATTCGTGGCATGTCAAGGTGCACCTAGCCTGGCACGAACGCCGTGGTGAAGTCGCCGCCGCCGCCGATGAATGGCGAACGGCTGTCGTTTGACCCTTTGACCCTTGCGCTGTTGCACACCCTGCATCCTCTATAATCCCATCACGGAAGCCCTGCACATTCTATAATCTCATCACGGAAGCCCTGCACATTCTATAATCTCATCACGGAAGCCCTGCACATTCTATAATCCCATCACGGAAGCCCTGCACATTCTATAATCTCATCACGGAAGCCCTGCACATTCTATAATCCCATCACGGAAGCCCTGCACATTCTATAATCTCATCACGGAAGCCCTGCACATTCTATAATCTCATCACGGAAGCCCTGCACATTCTATAATCTCATCACAGAAGCCCTGCACATTCTATAATCCCATCACGGAAGCCCTGCACATTCTATAATCTCATCACGGAAGCCCTGCACATTCTATAATCCCATCACGGAAGCCCTGCACATTCTATAATCTCATCACGGAAGCCCTGCACATTCTATAATCTCATCACGGAAGCCCTGCACATTTTATAATCCCATCACGGAAGCCCTGCACATTCTATAATCTCATCACGGAAGCCCTGCACATTCTATAATCTCATCACGGAAGCCCTGCACATTCTATAATCCCATCACGGAAGCCCTGCACATTCTATAATCTCATCACAGAAGCCCTGCACATTATATAATCCCATCACGGAAGCCCTGCACACTATATAATCTCATCACGGAAGCCCTGCACATTCCATAATCCCATCACGGAAGCACTGCACATTCTATAATCCCATCACAGAAGCACTGCACATTCCATAATCCCATCACAGAAGCCCTGCACATTCTATAATCCCATCACGGAAGCCCTGCACATTCTATAATCCCATCACGGAAGCCCTGCACCTCTATAATCCCATCACGGAAGCCCTGCACCCTCTATAATCTCCTCACGGAAGCCCTGCACATTCTATAATCTCATCACAGAAGCCCTGCCCCCTCTATAATCCCATCACGGAAGCACTGCACATTCTATAATCCCATCACAGAAGCACTGCACATTCTATAATCCCATCACAGAAGCCCTGCACCCTCTATAATCCCATCACAAAAGCCCTGCACATTCTATAATCCCATCACAGAAGCCCTGCACCTCTATAATCGCATCACGGAAGCGCTGCACATTCTATAATCCCATCATGGAAGCACACCCATTCATGCTCGCATTAAGCCACCAGTGCGCCATGGAATTAAGCCCCCACGCGCTTGGAGGGAAATTCCACATTCCTATGCCGGAGGGCGAGTCCATCCGTAGTGCATCTGTTGGCTCCCCCCAACAAAGTGGTGCCAATTTTATCGACCCCAGATGGGGCTATATCAACCCCCACCAACCAGGATTTCAACCTTTCTGATTGCGAGTCACTCACTCAGCAGCTGATAGCGCCAACCTGACCGGTTAGATTTGTGCAAATGAACCTTATGGCGGGACCCCGGGGTCCCATAAGTCCCCGGCTCTCGCATAAACTGCGTTGCGACGTCATTTTATGTCTGTTGAAGACGAACGATACGGCGATCTATTCCTCTCGACGAGCTCTACACGATGCGCTAATCAAGGTTTCAAAGTTGTTTATGACTACGGCAATTTTGGCAACGACATGATAACAGGATAATCCGCGCCAGGTGGGTCGCGGCGTTTATGTGCGCGGTGGGACGGAGTCGCCAAAAGTAAATTAATCTTGATTTGAAGCTTTCGTGACTGCAGGAATCCATACTCTTTGGTTCTACCTACGTGACTTTACCGAAAGAACCAAAGAGTATACATTTATTAATTGCGATTTGACTTCCGTTTATTCGGGACCCGAGGGTCCAGTCATCAGGTTACACATTCCTGCGGAGGGAGCTGGTAGGAACGTTGGGTTGCTCGGTCAATGGCCAGGGTCAACGGCGGCGTGGTGTATTCCGCAAATATGCCCGACTGTGAGGGCGGGCACAAGCCGGCGTGAGTAGGTTAAACGTTGAGTTTTATAAGGGCACCACGGGGTGACCAGCCCCTCCCCACCCAGTCCCACCCCTCCCACCCCCCACCCTCCCCACCCAGCCCCTCCCCACCCTCCCCACCCAGCCCCTCCCCACCCTCCCCTTCCCACCCTCCCCTCCCCACCTAGCCCCTCCCCACCCAGCCCAGCCCCTCCCTGCACGACGGACACAATAATCCCCTGTGGGCTGGTGTAACCAGGAGGTTCCTACCAGTATTATGCCAATGCAGACGTGAAGTCTATGGCAGTGTTCTTCACAAATTTGCAGAGGGGGGCCGCTTTCTCCGATAAGATGTCAGTGTGAGGGCCGCCACACACTTGAATCCGCTGGGTTTGACAGCACGATGGGGTGTTTTTACATTTGTGTATTTCCGCACATCTGTGGCCACCAGTGGTCGGTGGGCCTTGCAATGAACAACACTGCTATGGAATAAAAACACAACAGCATAAGGATAGTGTGAAAAAAAAACACTCCACACATTATTTGGAATAGACTTTAAGCGAATATCCATTGTGGAATTCAAACGCTCAAATGCATGGAGACGATGACAGCACTTGCAGATGAGGCATACAAACATTGAAGCGCATACAGACTATGGAATAGAAAAACACTACACACACAATGGAATAAATAGACGCGGAATGGGTCCCCTCGCCGTGGTGACCCCACGCGAGTGGTAAGCACCGCGGTGCCCAGTTATGCGCTAGGACCTCTCGCTGGCTTTCATTCAGAGTCGGGTCATGGACGGTTTGAAAAAAAATCTCCTTAAATAAACGTGAGCTTCCCAAAACCTGCCCGCAGCCTCTCGGTCATTTGTCTCTCTCGCCACGGGTCATGGTCAAAGTATGTGCCAGACTGCAGGCCCTTTGCTCACTCTTTTAGGATGGGCGTCTCCTCGCCATGGCCTGAACTGGCCCCAGTATCCACCGTTTAGTAATTTAGCTCGGCGGGTGGCGACGGCCATCACCGCGGGTTTCTGTGCATGATGTAGGCATGCTCTCTAACATCCGTACTCCACACAGCCCTCTCAATAGGTGCCCATGTGTCCCGCCTGCCTCATGGGTATTTACATCTCGATTCCTATGTTCTAGGCCTCCACACCGTTCTCCACTTGCATCAGGTTTCAATGTGTCCCCCTCGGCGTGTCTCCAAGTGTCTCAGGTCCTCTGGTGTCAGGTCCCCCACGTGTCTCAGGTCCTTCACGTGTCTACACGAGTCCGAGTTCCTCTCGTGTCTTCACCAGTTCCAGGTCCTCCACGTGTCTCAAGTCCCCCACGTGTCTACACGAGTCCCAGCTCCTCAAATGTCCTCACGAGTCCCAGATCCTCCACGTGTCTCAGGGCCCCCACGTGTCTCCATGAGTCCGAGTTCCTCTCGTGTCTCCACGTGTCTCAGGTCCCCAACGTGTCTACACGAGTCCCAGCTCCTCAAATGTCCTCACGAGTTCCAGGTCCTCCACGTGTCTCAGGTCCCTCACGTGTCTCCATGAGTCCGAGTTCCTCTCGTGTCTCCACGTGTCTCAGGTCCCCCACGTGTCTACACGAGTCCCAGCTCCTCAAATGTCCTCACGAGTCCCAGATCCTCCACGTGTCTCAGGGCCCCCACGTGTCTCCATGAGTCCGAGTTCCTCTCGTGTCTCCACGTGTCTCAGGTCCCCCACGTGTCTACACGAGTCCCTGCTCCTCAAATGTCCTCACGAGTTCCAGGTCCTCCACGTGTCTCAGGTCCCTCACGTGTCTCCATGAGTCCGAGTTCCTCTCGTGTCTCCACGTGTCTCAGGTCCCTCACGTGTCTACACGAGTCTGAGTTCCTCTCGTGTCTACATGAGTCCCAGATCCTCCACGTGTCCTCACGAGTTCCAGGTCCTCCACGTGTCTCAGGGCCCCCATGTGTCTCCACGAGTCCCAGCTCCTCTCGTGTCCTCACGAGTTCCAGGTCCTCCACGTGTCCTCACGTGTCTCAGGCTCCCGACGCGTCTCCATGAGTCCCAGTTTGTGTCCACACGTGTCCCCACGTGTCGTCGTGTCACCCCCACCCGCCATTGGCACATGTCACTTGTCGGCGAGCGCATGCAGGAGAAGCGCCCGTTCCTCTTCGGGCGTGTGCCCGCCGTGACGCGCGCGCACGATGCACGTGGGCCGGTGCAGGTTCAGTAGGAAGACGAGCTGCTGCCGCTCCCGCCGCAGCGCCTCCATCTGTGAGCGCAACTCTGTGTTCAGTGCCTCCAGCTGCTCCGACTCCTGGGGCAGAGGGGAGGGGGGGGGGTCAGAGGGGAGGGGTAAATTAATCAATAAATTTATCCATTGGTACATGAGGGCCTTTCTTCCCAAGCTGCCACCACCGTTCACGATGTAATGATCCGCACGGTAATGAATACCTCAAGACGTTCGTCCAATAACACTGTGGTCTTCAAAGGAAATACAGTAGAACCCCTCTTAACACCACCCCTGTTAACGACGAATCGCTTAGCCACAGGCCTCCATAGAGCCCAATGTGTTCACTTCCCGACCATTCCCCTGTTAACGACGGGCTGTTGTAGTTATGTCTTGATTTGAAGCTTTCGTGACTGCAGGAATCCATACTCTTTGGTTCTTTCCGTAAAGTCACGTAGATAGAAAATTTAAACAAAAATTAAATTAAAATAAATTCTATTAATCACATGTATTATTTTAATTTTAATATATGTGATATATGATTTTTATTTTGTTTAATTTTTCTACCTCCGTGACTTTACCGAAAGAACCAAAGAATATGTTGTAGTTATAATTAAGATGAAATAATTCATTTTTTTACCGTGTTTTTATATTATGTGTTTATAATGTTGTTAGTATCTTTATGTATTAATAGCCACTGCTTAAATATCATAAAGTACGGTATTTTGGGTGAAAAAGGGTAACTTTCTATGCTACCGAAATGAATTAGGCCTTTAACATGTATTTCCTATTCTCGCTTAACGACCAAATCGCTTAACGACCGGTTTCATGGAACCAATTACCGTTGTTAAGAAGGGTTCTACTGGATATAACGTTTCGGGTAATGGCCCTTGAAACCGTAATCAATATTTTAATGATGCGGGGGGGGGGGGGAGCAAAGGGCGGGGCTACCTGAGGAATGGATGGGGCCAGAATCAGAGCTGGAGGCGGGGCTAGCTGCCGAGTGGGCGGGGCGAGTCATCGAGCGGGTGGGACTTGTTACCGAGTGGGTGGGACGAGTTCTGGAGTGGGCGGGGCTAGTTGCCGATTGGGCAGGACTATTCTATGGGTCTTTCAGTAAAAGCCACGTAGAAAGAAAAACAATAAAAATATCACCACGTTTCGATCGCAACACGAGCAATCATCTTCAGGTGAGAGAGGGTCGGGACTAGTTGCTGAGTGGGCGGGGGGTTAGTTGCTGAGTGGGCGGGACTAGTTGCCGAGTAGGCGGGGCGATTGCAAAGTAGGCGGGGCTTGTAGTGTGGTGGGGTAGCAGGGGGGGGGAGCTCACCACGTGTCCTGGTCATGTATCCCAGAAATGTGGTGCTCAGGGTTATGGGGTCGCGGTGTATGGGGTTAGAGGTCTGGGGGCGCTGTCCCCCTCCTCACCCGCTGGAGGCATTCCGTCCGTTCTCGCTTCTTGTTGCGACACTTTGCCGCAGCCATCTTATTCCTCTCCCGTCGCCGCTGCCTCCGTTCCTCCTCCTCAGCCGAGACCTTGACAGTATATGAATACAGTATACAGTAGATATGCATTAACTCACTGACAGTATACATACAGCGCGCACACACTGACAGTATACGTCCAGTTTAACAGGTATGCTTTCGCGACCAATATTATTCATAATCAACGTTTTTTGGGTTTAGATCGCGTTATTTATAAATGTGTCGTAACCCTCCACCACCCGACACGGCCAATCAGTAAAACAGTGTCACGTTGACAAAGGACAAATAGTTCACTACTTTAGCCCACCGGTGTGTTGAAGCGTGAAACCACAACATTTACAATTTGAGTACGACGTTTCGCTGGTAATTGCATCCAGCATCATCGGGCAATTCGCCAGAATGGTGAGGCTCTGCTCTGTCTCCCGTTCTTATATAAGAACGGGAGACAGAGCAGAGCAGAGCCTCACCATTGTAAATGTTGTGGTTTCACGCTTCAACACACCGGTGGGCTAAAGCAGTGAACTAATTGTCCTTTGTCAACGTGACACTTTTTTACTGATTGGCCGTGTCGGGTGGTGGAGGGTTACGACACATTTATAAATAACGCGATCTAAACCCAAAAACGTTGATTATGAGTATACGTCCAGTAGGCACCGACAGTATATGTGCAGTACACACGCAATATACGCAACACATACCCACTGACAGTATACATTCAGTATACACACACCGGGACAGTAAACATTCAGTATATACAGTATAAATACAGTACACACCGACATACATGCATTATACTTATCGACAGGAAATATATACTGTATACATACTGACAAGTATACATACGGTATACACAATACGACAATATACATACAGTATACACACCCACAGACAGTCTACATACAGTATACACACCCCAACAGTAAACATGCGCTATGTACATCGACAGTATACATAGAGTGTACACAACCCAAGTGTGTGCCTGTGTGCACGCTGTAGAGGTGTGTGTGTGCACGCTGTAGAGGTGTGTGTGTGTGCCTGTGTGCACGCTGTAGAGGTGTGTGTGTGCCTGTGTGCACGCTGTAGAGGTGTGTGTGTGTGTGCCTGTGTGCACGCTGTAGAGGTGTGTGTGTGTGTGCCTGTGTGCACGCTGTGCAGGTGTGTGTGTGTGTGCCTGTGTGCACGCTGTAGAGGTGTGTGTGTGTGTGCCTGTGTGCACGCTGTAGAGGTGTGTGTGTGTGTGCCTGTGTGCACGCTGTGCAGGTGTGTGTGTGTGTGCCTGTGTGCACGCTGTAGAGGTGTGTGTGTGCCTGTGTGCACGCTGTAGAGGTGTGTGTGCCTGTGTGCACGCTGTAGAGGTGTGTGTGTGTGCCTGTGTGCACGCTGTAGAGGTGTGCCTGTGTGCACGCTGTAGAGGTGTGTGTGTGCTGTACAGGTGTGTGTGTGTGCACGCTGTGCAGGTGTGTGTGTGTGCACGCTGTAGAGGTGTGTGTGTGTGCCTGTGTGCACGCTGTAGAGGTGTGTGTGTGTGTGCCTGTGTGCACGCTGTAGAGGGGTGTGTGTGCACGCTGTACAGGTGTGTGTGTGTGTGTGCCTGTGTGCACGCTGTAGAGGTGTGTGTGTGCACGCTGTAGAGGTGTGTGTGTGTGTGCTGTACAGGTGTGTGTGTGTGCACGCTGTGCAGGTGTGTGTATGTGTGCTGTACAGGTGTGTGTGTGTGTGCACGCTGTACAGGTGTGTGCCTGTGTGCACGCTGTAGAGGTGTGTGTGTGCACGCTGTACAGGTGCGTGTGTGTGCTGTGCAGGTGTGTGTGTGCATGCTGTACAGGTGACTGTGTGTGTGCTGTACAGGGGAGTATGTGTGCTGTAGAGGTGTGTGTGTGTGTGTGTGCACGCTGTGCAGGTGACTGTGTGTGTGTGCTGTACAGGTGACTGTGTGTGCTGTACAGGGGAGTGTGTGCGCTGTAGAGGTGTGTGTGTGTGTGTGCACGCTGTGCAGGTGTGTGTGTGCTGTACAAGTGTGTGTGTGTGCTGTACAGGTGTGTGTGTGCTGTACAGGTGACTGTGTGTGTGCGCACACTGTACAGGTGTGTGTGTGTGCACGCTGTACAGGTGACTGTGTGTGTGTGTGCGCTGTGCAGGTGTGTATGTTTAATACGTCGGCTTTCGAGAACAATATCCATAATACACGTTTTTTGGTTAGATCTCGTGAATATGTAAATGTGTCGTTAACTCCCCCCCCCCACCACATCACTCAAGAAGTGCTCACAAGTGATGCCATCACATCTACCCCTCTGTTTAAGGAACGAAACAGGAGGATTTATCCACAAATCTGTCTGTCGCCTGATGAAGCTGGTTGTAATTACTGCCGAAACGTCGTACTCAGATTGTAAATGTTGTGGCTTTGCTCTCCAGCACACCGGTGTGCTGTACTAGTGACGAATTGGCACGTTATATTTACGTGACAAACCTTAATAATTGGCTGTGTCGGGTGGTGGCGGGTTTAACGACACATTTATATACGTACGCGATCTAACCCAAAATAACTTTAAGGTGCGTATGTGTGCACACGCTGTATAGGTGTGTTTGTGTGTGCATGCGGTACAGCTTTGTGTGCTGTACAAGTGTGTGAGCGCGATGTTTACAGGTGTATGTGTAAATTTCGATTTAAAGCTTTCGTGACTGCAGGGATTCATCTTCTTGGTTCTTTCGGTAAAGTCACGTAGAAGGGAAATAATAAAATAATAATAAAACATAATAAAATACAATTTGTATTTTATTATGTTTTATTATTATACAATTTTAAATACAATTTGTATTTTATTATGTTTAATTTTTTATTATTTTATTATTTCCCTTCTACGTGACTTTACCGAAAGAACCAAGAAGATGAATCCCTGCAGTCACGAAAGCTTTAAATCGAAATTTACAAGAAGAGGTGTATGTGTAGTATACAAGCGCGTGTCCATATTGTACAGGGGGGCCATATGTATGTGTGCACGTGACCTACCGGCGCGCGGGTCGGGTAGGGTCGAGGCCTCTCCACGGAGCCCACGGTAGGCCCCAGCGATGGCCCAGCCCCGGTGTCCGCGGGCCCTAGACCCTGCGCGGCGCGCTTGCTCTGGATGGCGAGTCGCAGGCCCTCCTTCACCAGGGGGGTCAGACTGCCCAGCTCCTCCATGAGCGAGAACGGAGACACGGGGCCCCCGGCCTGCGCGGCCGCCTCCGGCCACTGGGGGCCACCGGGTTGCCCCTGTGGCATCATGACGACGGCGGAGTCGGGGCACGGGGGAGCGGGGGCCTCGGGATCACGGTGGTGTCGGGGTCCGGAGGTCCTGTGTGCGAGGCCGCGACTCGCCGCAAGGATCGGCGGCAGGTGTTGGGTCGGAGGCGGTTGGATTGGTTGGAGCTCTGCACAAACAACAACAACGACGACATTGACACCAGACACTAAGGGGGTCGGTGACGCAGTGGTTCACACATTGCGATATGAAATCGTCGACCCCCAATTTGCAGTCCCTGGCACGGCTATTGACGACGCCAGCAGTCCCGAGTGATATAGGAACCAGTCCTGATGTTCCCTCGCTTCACCAACACGCATTGGACCAGGGTGGTTAAATTATGGTATGACGAAAGCATTTGTCATCGCAAATTAAAACAACGCGACATGTAAAAAATCGTAACTATTCTATACTCTCGCGTAACGAGAGGGGTTCAGCAGAGTTCGTGTAGTTTTGCTCTTCGTTCTCCTATGAAGGAGCGCAGACTACAGCAGCGTTGAACTCTATCGTCCATGGTTTGGGTTGCATGCCTACACTCGCACTATTGTGGCTTGTCTTAAATAGTCCATTCATTAAGGACTTGTGCGCATCGGCCTGCCGTTGATGTCGCACTGGTTGCGACACTCCTCGAAGACACCGGCGTTCCATCAACCGCATCAGAACATCAACTCGAACTAAAGTGAGGTTGTTCCGGTAAACACCTGAATTCCATGTCATCGAAGCGAACGAGCGTAACCAGGGATATCGTCGAACGATGCCAAGTCTCCGTTTGCACCGCGCGAAATACGCGCGGCGCGCGGCGTTCCGCGCGTAAAGCTCCGGGTGGTCATGCGGCGCTCTGCAAGCGGCGGAGTGGTGCACAAACTAATCAAGTGCACGATCGAGGGAACACGTGCGTGTGTGTATGTATGTGTGTGCGTGTATGTGTGTGCGTGTGTGTATGTGTGTGCGTGTGTATGTGTGTTCGTGTGTGTGTGTGTGCGTGTGTGCGTATGTGTGCGTGTGTGTGTGTATGTGTGCGTGTGTGTATGTGTGTGTGTGTATGTGTGCGTGTGTATATGTGCGTGTGTATGTGTGCGTGTATGTGTGTGTGCTTGTATGTGTGTGTGTGCGTGTATGTGTGTGCGTGTGTATGTTTGTTCGTGTGTGTGTGTGCGTGTGTGCGTGTGTGTGCGTGTGTGTGTGCGTGTGTGTATGTGTGTGCGTGTGTGTGTATATGTGCGTGTGTATGTGTGCGTGTATGTGTGTGCGTGTGTATGTGTGCGTGTGTGCGCGTGTGCGTGTGTGTGTGTGCGTGTGTATGTGTGCGTGTGTGTGCGTGTGTATGTGTGCGCGTGTGCGTGTGTGTATGTGTGCGTGTGTGTATGTATGCATGTGCGTGTGTGTGTGTGTGCGTGTATGTGTGTGCGTGTGTGTGTGTATGTGTGTGTGTGTACGTGTGTGTGCGTATGTGCGCGTGTGTGTGTGCTTGTGTGTGAGTGCGTGTGTGCGTGTGTGCGTGTATGTGTGTGCGTGTGTGTGTGCGTGTGTGTGTGCGTGTGTGCGTGTGTGTGTGCGTGTGTGCGTGTATTTGTGTGCGCGTGTGTGTGCGTGTGTGCGTGTATGTGTGCGTGTATGTGTGCATGCGTGTGTGTGCGTGCGTGTGTGTGCGTGCGTGTATGTGTGCGTGTGTGTGCGTGTGTGTATGTATGTGTGTGCGTGTGCGTGTATGTGTGTGGCTGTGTGTGTGTATGTGTGTGTGTGTGCGTGCGTGTGGGTGTGTGTGCGTATGTGCGTGTGTATGTGTGCGTGTGTGCGTGTGTGTGTTTGTGTGTGCGTGTGTGTGTTTGTGTGTGCGTGTATGTGTGCGTGTATGTATGCGTGCGTGTGTGTGCGTGCGTGTGTATGTGTGCGTGTGTATGTGTGCGTGTGTATGTGTGTGTGTATGTGTGCGTGTGTATGTATGTGCGTGTGTGTATGTGTGCGTGTGAATGTGTGTATGTGTGTGTGTGCGTGTGAATGTGTGTATGTGTGTATGTGTGCGTGTGTTTATGTGTGTGTGCGTGTATATGTGCGTGTGTATGTGTGTATGTATGCGTGTGTGTATGTGTGTGCGTGTGTATGTGTGTGTATGTGTGTGTATGTATTTGTGGGGAGCGGTAGTGTAGCGGTTAGCGCGCTGCGCTATGAACCTGGCGACCCGGGTTCGATTCCCGCTCATGGCTAACACCAGTGACGATTATCTGAACCGGTCCTGGGCCTCCCCTAGGTCGACTCAGCCTTAAATGAGTACCTGGTGCGGTGTGTAAACATCGCCACTAGGGAGACAAAGGCGGTCGGGCGTGGTGCTGGCCACCCACCCCCTCGTGTACCGTTCCGGCCTTCATAGGTGCTCGCTAACAGCACTTGCCCCTACAGTCTGTTCAGGCTATACGGGGGATCTTTGTATGTGTGCGCGTGTGTATGTGTGCGTGTGTGTATGTATGCATGTGCGTGTGTGTGGTGTGTTGTGCGTGTGTATGTGTGCGTGTGTGTATGTGTGTGTGTGTACGTGTGTGTGCGTATCTGCGCGTGTGTATGTATGTTTGTGCGTGTGTGTGTGTGTACATGTGTGTGCGTGCATGTGTGTGCGTGTATGTGTGTGCGCGTGTGTATGTGTGCGTGTGTATGTGTGCGTGTGTATGTGTGCGTGCATGTGTGTGTATGTGTGCGTGTGTATGTGTGTGCGTGTGTGTGTGCGTGTGTGCGCGCATGCGCGCATGCGATGCATGTGGTAGTGTAGCGGTTAGCGCGCTCCACTACGAACCCAGAGACCCGAGTTCGTTCCCCGCTCTCGGCCAACGCCAGTAACGATTATTTGAACCGGTTCTCGACCTCCCCTAGGTCGACCCAGCCTCAAATGAGTACCTGGTGTGGTGCGTAAACATACATTTCCACGAGGGAGACAAAGCGACCGGGCGTTGTGCTGGCCACCCACCCCCTCGTGTGCCGTGTCGGACTTTATAGGTGCTCGCTAACAGCACTTGCCCCAACAGTCTGCCAAGGCTATACGGGGGGTCTTTGTCTTGCATGCCATGCAAACCACAACCACACGTCCTCTATGACGACAGTCCACTTAATAATTGGAGGGGGGGAAATTAACTTAACTCGCTCAAAGCAAAACTGCGCTGTGGTTTTACTTTAAAAAGTTGATCAATGTTTGCCCCGATCTCCATAACGGAATTGTGCCTCTGTGGCTTCTGGAACTTTACATGACACGGGCAACAACGTAACTTAAGCGCTTGATAATATATCGTGAAAAACAATCAGCAATGACCCAGTCCAACACTCGTCACTGAAACCATCGCCACACGCGCCGCTAGTCCTCTACGCGACAGTTCTTATCGTACACATTACAGTATATACACTACAGTATATACACTACAGTATATACACTACAGTATATACTTTACAACTGCTTTTGTGTTTAGTTTGTTAAGTACGTACTGTGCGAATGAGTTGAACATACGACAGTACACTATACTGTATGCGTGCCATGAGGTTGCACACTTTAATGAATGTGTACAGCAACAGGTTCATTACAATAATTGCGGTGAATTCATTCATTAATGGGAAGGTTAACCTGCCGAAACGTCGGCAACTGTGAAATAAACCCTGCAATTTGTTGTACACATTTACTTATAACATGTTTATAAACCGTGGAAATTATTTAAGTTAATCATAAACGGATCGCAATGATGCATCATGCACACCCTATTCTGTGTACGTGTGTGTGTTCATTTGTATGTGAGAGCGGTGCGCTACGAACCCGGCCACCCGAGTTCGATTCCCGCTCAGGGCCAACATCGGTGACGATTATCTGAACCTGTCCTGGGCCTCCCCTGGGTCGACTCAGCCTCAAATGAGTACCTGGTGCGGTGCGTAAAAACATCGCCAATGGGGAGACAAAGGCGGCTGGGCGTGGTGCTGGCCACCCACCCCCTCGTGTGCTGTGCTCGCTAACAGCACTTGCCCCAACAGTCTGTTCAAACGTGTATGGGATAATCTATGTCTTTGTGTATATATATGTGTGTGCTTACGTAGTGTGATGTGTAGTGTTGACCATCCCACCCCTTCGTTCCGACCTTCACATAGGTGCTCGCTAATAGCATCTGCCCCAACAGTCTGATAAAAAGCTGGAAGGGAGATCTTTATCTTTGAATGTCCATGCGTGTCAGTGCTGTACACGTGTGCTCGACCTCTCCCTCCTTCTCACCCGGGCGGCCCCGCAACCGAACGCGACCTGGGCGCGTTAGGTTGCATACGAACGTCGCGTCATGTAAACACGCGCACGGTGAGAGCGCGACTCCTGTCGTGACACAGGGCCTCGCGAAGGATCACCCATTCCTAACCCAACTGACAGCAAATCATCTCTAAATTGAAATTCAGTTCCTAAAGAAACTCCCAGTACGTTGAGTGAAACGTCGGACATCATTATGAGCAACACTCGGATAGCTGTCCTGTTAAACATATTCGTCCATAACAATACCTCTTCGTGTGCTTTCATGAAGGGCCGAAACGTTATTTTCCTGTGAAGGCCGCAGTGTTATTGTTTTTGTTTGTTATTCGTGCCAACGCAGTTATCACCAAATAATAATTAGTTTAACTTTCATTTTAAGGTCGAAAGTCTCAAGCTATTATTCTGTGTGTGCGTATCTCGGGGTCACGACAACTCTCGTGAACGTGACTCAAATCGAGTGAGATTTTAGTCGGAGGTGGTGATGATGTGCCCGATGGGAAAATCGACGAAAGCGGTACAAGAAAACGGTGCTCAATTGACAAGAAACCTGCTCAGTGGGTGAGCAGCCACCTCCAATGGAACCTGCAGAGCTGCGCCGAGTCTCAAGACACATCTCAGGAGGGTCCTGCCCTAAGATGTTGGAGTGCAAATTCGTGTCTTTGTCGAGGAATACTTCTCAATTCATCATCATCAACCATGATTTATCCACTGCTCAGCGAACGTCTCTTCCAGCTCCTACCATCTATCATGGCCCTGCGTTGGTGTAACAATCCACCTAAGCGTCTGCATACGATATTACTTTATCGCTCCTTCTCCGCGGTGGATATAAACCCGGGCGCGTTTTCCTCCCTTGACTGCCACGCCGTCAATCGTCTCGACCAGCGACCATCGTCCATGCTGGCGTTCATTTTACTGTGAGATCGAGGAGGCTGCTAATCTCTGCGTAGCTGCGCTTCTGGTTGTTGCACAAAGTCGCATCTGATGTTTCGCCGCGCTAATTTCAGCCCAGGTCTCCCTTGAGAGAGATGGTTTTAGTGGGATCTCACCTGCTCAATCACACATCTCGTATATCCATTTACCTCTGCACGTGACCACGTCAGATTGTAATCGTTCTCTGTGAGTTGGGTTAAGAATGGATGATCTTTCGCGAGGTTCGGTGTCGCGACAGGTGTCGCGCTCTCTCCGTGCGCATGTTTACATGGCGCGACGTCAGGACGCGACCCCACGCGCCCAGGTCGCGACACGACGGGGCCGCCCGCGTGAGCGAGTAGGAGATGAGCGGGTGAGGAGGAGGAGAGAGGAGGAGGAGACGCGGAAAGGTGAAGTGACGGCGGAACCCCCGTGTAGTCTGAACATACTTTTGGTGTAAGAGCTGTTAGTGAGCACCTATGAAGGACGGCACGGTACAAGAGGTGTGGCCAAAACCGCGCCCGGCCGCCTTTGTCTCCCCAGCGCTGATGTTAACACACCGCACAAGGTGCTCACTTAAGAGTTTACCTAGGTGAGGCCCAGGACCGGTTCAGGTATCAATCAGCACTGTCGTTAGCCGTGGCTGGGAATGGAAATCACACCACCGTTCCCCGTAAACACACAGACTCGCATCGTATACCGAGAGGGAGAACTCCATCAAGCAGTGGATAGACCATGTCTGATCACATAATAAGTGCATGCAATGATGTCCATGTACAGATAGTGACATCAGTGGCGAGAGGGATAGAAGCTGGTCCTGGGGTCCCCTCTTTACAAACCCGCACGGACCAGCGTGGTGAACTACGGTCAAACAACCCCGAGGACCGACAGACATCATCTCGCTGTGAATTGACAAAAAGATGAACAATATTGAATTGTTGCCGAGTTAATAGTTAACAATGACAGCACACACACAATGACAATGGGTGGAGAAGAAGAGAACGCGGACCAGGGCACAGCACGAATCACAGCCTGGCACCACACGTGAGTCTATGAAAAGGACACGGCGAGGCAGAATGATGGCCGGTGGACGAGACTGGTGACAGAATGACAGCTAAAGGAGCGATCGCGTCCACGTGGGATGACCACTGCGGAGGTGGAGCCACGAGATCATCAGTTAATGTGTAGGTGGATGGACTCTGATGATGATACCAAGAATGAAAGTTAGAGGTAATGAACGATCCCTTACCTGCTCCGGGTCCACGTGAACGTGAAGCTTCCGCTTAGTTGAGTCCCACTCTGTTCGATTATTTTTCGGTCCCGTTCGGCTTGGCTCGGCTTGGATTCACTTGTCTCGGCCTGGTTCGGGTTCGATTCTTTTTTTTAAGCAGGTTCGGGTTGGATAGGTACGGTTCGGCTCGGTCCGACTTAGCTGGGTTGGGTTCGACTAGGTTTCATTCGACCCGGCCCGGTCTGGTGTTGTTGTTTTTTTTTTCTCGATCTGGTTCGGCTCGGATCGGTGCCGCTTGTGTTTTTTTTTTCTCACCCCGGCTCGGTTCGGTTCCGTTCCGCCACGTGCCCGCCGCGCTCCCCATGTCTCGCTCGCGCCGCGAGCGCGCCTCTTATACCCGGCACGGCTGGCGGTGACGTCATTCTATTTCAGGCGCGTGCGTGAGCGGCTCTCCCCCCGCTCCCTCACCCACCCTTACCCCCCCACTCTCCCGCCCCTTCATCCCGGGCTCCTTTAGCGCCTGACGCAACCGGGGCGTGGGGAGAGTTTGGGGGGGGGGGGGGGGCTCGCGGATTCCCCAGTAGCGAGGGGGAGCTGGGGTCACATAACCCCGGGTCCCCTGGACGGGCAGGAGCTTCCAGGGGCAGTGGGGGTCCTGTCGGGTAGCTGGAGGGGTTCACTGTGTGCTGGGAGTGGTATCAGTGACAATTATGTGAAACGGTCCTGGACCTCTCCAAGGTCGACTTAGCCGTAAATGATTAAGATGGTGCAGCGTGTAAACACGAGTTCTGGGGATCCCTGCGTTACTGTGACGACTTGTCACCGCTATAGCCAATTACTCGGTTCACCGGCGATGTGAATCGAAATGTTCGCGCGAGACATGGACCAATGTATGATTTAAGGCATTAGCGCAGTGGTGACAGACATAAGTTCGATGTTGTAGCCCCTCCCCCTTCCCCCCTGGTCTGCGTGGGTTTCCCCCGGGCTCTCCAGTTTCCTCCCACAGCTAAACCCACACACACTGTGGAACTGTATTGGCCAAACATTCCCATGCTGAGCGCACACAGCATCTGTGAACTTTTGGCAGGACCATCTTTAAAAAAGAGTCTTGAGACTCTGCGCGGCTTTGCTGGGTAGTAAACGAGCGTCATCGGAATAAACGGCTGAGCCTGCCTGGCCTCAATTGTATTTTCATTGTTGGCTCTCAATTCCCGCAATGTTGATCGTCGGCTTCCCGAGTCTAAAGCACCGGATCTACGGCGTCTGTGTCAATTCTCAGCTGCGTGGCCCTTCCAGACCAGACCCAACAGCCACGACCATCCAGGATCGATCCACTGCTGGACGAAGGCTTTCACCGCAAGCTCTGGAATTATCGCTAGAGGGAGAGAGAGAGAGAGCGAGCAGTAGCGGGCACCCCACGCCAGAGCTCGCACCCCCTAGCGGCACGGCGCCAGCACTCGCGCCGTGGACAGCGGCATGGGGGTGGGCGTTCGTTGCGCGTGGCTGTGATGCCGAGTGGTGCTGCTGGCCGATGGCTCGGGGTGCTGGCTATCACACTGGGTGGTGCTGCTGGCCGATGGCTCGGGGTGCTGGCTATCACACTGGGTGGTGCTGCTGGTTGTGCCGAGTGTTGCAGGGGGAGGCATGATCGTGCTGGCGGGTGCTGGCTGCTGGCTGGTGCAGGGTGGGGCCGGGTGGTGCAGGGTGGTGCACGATGCTTGCCGGTGTCACTCCGCTCGTTGACGTCGCTGTAAATGATTCGCGGGAGATGGCGGAGCGAGAGACACGAGACGGGAGATGGGACGAGGTGGGGGGGAGACGGTAGGAGGTGGCACGAGAGAGGTGACGAGGGCTCGTGGTGGCCCGTGAAGGCCGGGATAATAGCGGGGGCCCCGTGAAGGCCGGACTGGTGGAAGGTGGCGTGGGCCCGCCCGCCCGGCTGGGTGGGTGGGTGGGCCCGAGTGGGGCCGCCCGCGGGCCGCGTAGAACCTTCCCTGGTAAACATCTCGACCATGGCAACAGCGGCGGCGGCTGCTGCTGCTGCTGCTCGCGGAATGGGCTCTTGCCCGCGCCGCTATTTGTGGTCGTGAGGCAATGCCCGGGATGGGGAGGGGTAGGTGAGTGGGACATGCGCGGTTTGGCCTCTCTATGTAATGTGAATAAGGACCATTGCCCGAAACGTCGCCCGAAGCGTCGCCCATTATATACTATTTATACTATTTATTTTTGGGGTCAGGTGGGTGGATAGGTAAATGGGGACGTGGCTAGACGAGCAGGTAGATAGATGAGGGTGATGGTCGCGGGTAGGTGAGTGAGAAGGTGAGTGGGCGGGGAGGTGAGTAGGTAAGTGAGTGCGTAGGTAAGTGGGTATGTGGGTGGGCGGGGGAGGTGAGTGAGTAGGTGAGTGGGCAGGAGGTGAGTGGGTAAGTGAGTGCGTAGGTGAGTGGGTATGTGGGTGGGCGGGGGAGGTGAGTGAGTAGGTGAGTGGGCAGTAAGTGAGTGAGTAGGTGATTGAGTGAGTGAGTGAGTGGGTGAGAGAGTGAGTAGGTGAGTGGGGGTATGTGAGTGGGCGGGGGAGGTGAGATGAGTGAGTGAGTAGGTGAGTGGGCGGGGAGGTGAGTGGGTGGGGAGGTGCGTGAGTGGGTGAGTGAGTGAGTGAGTGGGTGAGTGAGTGGGTGAGTGAGTGAGTGACTAGGTGAGTGAGTGAGTGAGTAGGTGAGTGGGGGTATGTGAGTGGGCGGGGGAGGTGAGTGAGTGGGTGAGTGAGTGAGTAGGTGAGTGAGTAGGTGAGTGGGCGGGGGAGGTGAGTGAGTGAGTGAGTAGGTGATTGAGTGGGTGAGTGAGTGGGTGAGTAAGCGAGTAGGCGAGTGGGGGTATGTGAGTGGGCAGGGGAGGTGAGTGAATGGGTGAGTGAGTAGGTGAGTGGGGGTATGTGAGTGGGCGGCGGAGGTGAGTGAGTGGGTGAGTGAGTGAGTAGGTGAGTGAGTGGGTGAGTGAGTGGGTGAGTGAGTAAGCGAGTAGGTGAGTGGGGGTATGTGAGTGGGCAGGGGAGGTGAGTGAGTGGGTGAGTGGGTGAGTGAGTGAGTAGGTGAGTGAGTGAGTAGGTGAGTGGGGGTATGTGAGTTGGCGGGGGAGGTGAGTGAGTGGGTGAGTGAGTGAGTAGGTGAGTGGGTATGTGAGTGGGCGGCGGAGGTGAGTGAGTAGGTGAGTGAGTGAGTAGGTGAGTGGGGGTATGTGAGTGGGCGGGGGAGGTGAGTGAGTGAGTGAGTAGGTGAGTGGGCGGGGAGGTGAGTGGGTGGGGAGGTGCGTGAGTGGGTGAGGGAGTGAGTGAGTGGGTGAGTGAGTGGGTGAGTGAGTGAGTGACTAGGTGAGTGAGTGAGTGAGTAGGTGAGTGGGGGTATGTGAGTGGGCGGGGGAGGTGAGTGAGTGGGTGAGTGAGTGAGTAGGTGAGTGAGTAGGTGAGTGGGCGGGGGAGGTGAGTGAGTGAGTGAGTAGGTGATTGAGTGGGTGAGTGAGTGGGTGAGTAAGCGAGTAGGCGAGTGGGGGTATGTGAGTGGGCAGGGGAGGTGAGTGAATGGGTGAGTGAGTAGGTGAGTGGGGGTATGTGAGTGGGCGGCGGAGGTGAGTGAGTGGGTGAGTGAGTGAGTAGGTGAGTGAGTGGGTGAGTGAGTGGGTGAGTGAGTAAGCGAGTAGGTGAGTGGGGGTATGTGAGTGGGCAGGGGAGGTGAGTGAGTGGGTGAGTGGGTGAGTGAGTGAGTAGGTGAGTGAGTGAGTAGGTGAGTGGGGGTATGTGAGTTGGCGGGGGAGGTGAGTGAGTGGGTGAGTGAGTGAGTGAGTAGGTGAGTGGGTATGTGAGTGGGCGGCGGAGGTGAGTGAGTAGGTGAGTGAGTGAGTAGGTGAGTTGGGGTATGTGAGTGGGCGGGGGAGGTGAGTGAGTGGGTGAGTGAGTAGGTGAGTGGGCAGGAGGTGAGTGGGTGAGTGAGTGAGCGAGTAGGTGAGTGAGTGGATGAGCGCAGTTTCGGGATCTGCGGCCGAACTTCTGGACCCAGAGACCGGTAGTCGTTTGTATCCATCATTAAGTCTAAGCCAGGTTTGCGAGAAACTTAACAGTGTTGTTGTTAATCCAAAGAGCTCAGGCTGTGTAAGATCAGTGCGCATTCGTGATGGGCTGGGCTCATATGAGTGGGCGATAATTGGGAGTGGGTGGTTGAGTTTATAGGTGAGAGGGTAGGTGAGCGGGTGAGTGGGTAAATGGGTGGGTAGGTGAGTGAGTTGGTAGGTGAGTGAGCTGGTAGGTGAAGGGGTCGATGAGTGGGTAGATGAGTGGGTAGATGAGTGGGTAGGTGAGTGAGTTGGTAGGTGAAGGGGTAGGTGAAAGGGTAGGTGATTGAAATTCGCTTCTGGACCCTTCACCGTGGGCAGTCAGGGGCAGCCACCCTCTACCCATCCATTCGCCCCCTGCCCTCTTGATGTGAAATCTTGAATTAACTCTTGATTTAAACTCTCTATTTAACTCTTTATTTAACTCTCGCTTCCCCTCCGCCTCACGGGGGGCCACATTTAGCCGCGCTGATTTGAGGTTTTAAAAATAGAGTCCGCGCAATGAGTGTCAGTGCGTGTGTGTGCGTGTGTCCGTGTGGTTTTGTCAGTGTGTGAGTGCGGTCAGTGTATGTACATGCGAGTGTGTTTAGTGAGAGTGTGTGTGTATGTCAGTACTGTAGAAGTGTTCGAGAGTATGCCAGTGATAGTCTGGTTGGCTACGTACGGTACGAATAAAGTTCAACATACATACGGTGTGTGAGTGTATGTAGAGTGTGTGTGTGTGAATCAGTGTGTACGTGTTATTGGTGGGTATTAATGTGTGAAGGTGTGTTTGTCACTGGGTGTGTATACGTGTCTATAAATCGGTGTGTGGGTGTATATAAGTGTCTGTATGATTTCTCGAGTGTGTAAGACGGTATTGTAGTGGCTAGCGCACTGCGCTACCAACCAGGCCACCTAAGTTCGATTCCCACTCACAACTAAGAACAATGGCGAATATTTGAACCGGGCCTCCCGAAAGTTGACTGAGCCTAAACTGAAGTATGTGCGAGTGTGAATATCTGTATGAGTGAGTGTGGAGTGTCTGTGTGCGGATATTTTTCCCTTGGGAAGGGCAACACGTGCCAGGAAATCTGTAGTCAAGGAGACGCATACCAACCACACAACTACACAGCCACGCAGTCACCCGCAGAGCCACACACAGTCACACCAAGAGACACACACAACGTCAAGACAAATACAAAGATCCCCCGTATAGCCTTAACAGACTGTTGGGGCAAGTGCTCTTAGGGAGCACCTATGAAGGCCGGCACGGCACATGGGCGGCGATGTTTTACGCACCACACCAGGTACTCATTTGGGGCTAAGTCTACCTAGGGGAGGCCTAGGGCCGGTTCAGATAATCGTCACTGGTGTTGGCCGTGAGCTGGAACTCGGGTCGCTGGGCTCATAGTGCAGCGCGCTAACCGCTACACCGCCGCTCCCCAGTCACACAACGAGACACACTCACACACAGACCCACACAGTCACACACAGACCCACACAGTCACACACAGTCACACACAGACACACACACAGTTACACACAGACCCACACACAGTCACACACAGACACACACAGTCACACAACGAGACACACTCACACACAGACCCACACAGTCACACACACTCACACACAGACCCACACACAGTCACACACAGACCCACACAGTCGCACAAAGAGACACAGTCACACACAGTCACACAACGAGACACAGTCATACACAGACCCACACACAGTCACACACAGTCACACAAAGTCACACACAGTCACACAACGAGACACTCATACACAGATCCACACACAGTCGCACACAGACCCACACAGTCGCACAGAGACACAGTCACACAGTCACACAACGAGACACAGTCATACACAGACCCACACACAGTCACACACAGACCCACACAGTCACACACAGACCATCACACAAAGAGACACATTCACACACATACCCACACACAGTCACACACAGGCCCACACACAGACCCACACAGTCGCACAAAGAGACACAGTCACACACAGACCCACACACAGTCACACACGTATCCACACACAACCAGCGGAGCACGCGTGTACAGCAATGACACGTGTAAACACATTAACATACCAAGACAAAGATCCCCCCCCCCAGTATAGCCTCTAACAGACTGTTGAGGAAAGTGCTGTCAGCCGGTACGGCGCACGGGGGGCAGTCGTGGCTAACACCACGCCCGGTCGGTCGCCTTTGTCCGCCAAACAAACGTTGGTTCCAAACCGCACGAAGTACTCATTTTAGACCGAGTTGACCTAAGGGAGTCCCAGGACCGGTGCGCATGTTCGCCTTGGCCGCGCATCGAACTCGGGTTGGCCAGGTTTGTAGCGCAGCGCGCTGACCACCACCACCACCACCACGCCCGCTGTGAACAATCCCAAACTCACAACCGCACAGGTAGAGGGACAGGGGGGGGGGGCCCTGCCCCCCTCCTCCCCAGGTGAGCGAAACCGTGACGTCATCGCCGGCAGGGTCTCGATCTTGTCATGACGTCACCGCCTACAGCAGCCTTCGTGGAGTGGGGGTTGGGGGGGTGATGGATGGGGGAGGAGAGGGCGGGGATGGGGGTGTGCGTGGTGATGTATGGACATTCGGGGGGGGGGGGGCTCTGTGTGGGGGTGATGACGCCATCTCATTAATTATTCATGAGTGGCATCATCCACTCCGCCAGGGGGGGGGGGGGGGCACTGTGTGCGTGCGGAGGCCCAGGGTCCCCCCGCTTACAGCTCCGGGGGGCTTATCCCTGCTCCGAGTTCGGGAACCACTCAATGCACCCATCGCGAACCGCGTGCCGGGACTAGAGCTGTGTTGTGAGTCAATGTGTCCGAGGATCTCACTCCCCCCCCAACCCCCACCCCCTCCACTGGAGCCCCCGACAAGACACGGATTGTGGGGGGGGAGGGGGCTTGGAGATTGAGTCACCTCCTCCACCGCCCCCCCCCGCCACACCCCGGTTACGGTAAACGATGACCCCGTGCCGGGCAGGGGCGGGGGGCCCTGCCTCATCGCCCCCCACCGCCCGCCAGCCTCCCCGCCCGTGCCCTGCCCGTGTAGGTGACGCTTGGTTTCACGTGATATGGTTGTGCGGCTGTGTGCTGCTCGCGATGATGTCCGACGTTTCGCTCCACGGGCCGGGAGATTTACCGGGAACTGGAACGTCGGACATCGTAAAGGCGGCAAGTGGCGGGCGAGACCTGCGATCGCTCGACTCGGCTCCTTGAGCGCGGCGCGAATTCATTGCTAATTGTTGCTCGCGTTCGTTAATTGGTGCTGCTGGTGGGACCGGTTGTGGTTGTGGTGTTTTTGGTGGTGCTGGTCGTGGTTGTGGTGTTGTTGGTGGTGGCGCTGGCAACGGCGAGGCAACTGATGCGGATCATGCCGCAAGACGAGATGTGTGAGGATCCGCGAGTGATTGTGGTGGTGGTGCTGGTGATGATGTCATCCCATGCAACACAAGATTACCGACCCCGGGCACGTGAATGCGTGGGTTCAGAGCAAGGCAAAACGAGGGTTGAAGCGATGCTCATCCAGCCGTTCACATCTCTGAGCCATTGTTGGAAACTCTACATTCCTATGACAAAAGAGCGACTTTATCCCTCCCCACCACCCTGACACCATCCCTGTAAGGAAGCCCGCGGGGTCGCGTGGCCATCAACCCGAACAGCATGAGATCCGACCCAGGCTGTTCCGGGAACAACGCCTCCGAGTGTGGCTCCCCACCTCCCTCCCCCTCGTCTCGCTGAACCCTCGTGGGATTATGGGCGTCATCCCGCCGGGCGGTGGTGCTGCAAAGTGCGGCGGTGGCTGTGCAGGCGGCCAGGAGTTTGTGGATCACACCGATGTTGTGAGACTCCCTTCCTTCCCAGTGGGCGCTGAGGAGCCATACTCCACTTGATACAGCAAATCTGGCTGTGACGGTCCCACCTGATGACGGAGACTTGTGTTGCCTCCGAAACGTCTTGATTTTTATTATTTTATTATTTATTAATTTAAATTTCATTTTTTTACCTACGTGACTTTACCGAAAAAACTAAGAGTATGAGCCATTAATTCTAGATTTGAAGCTTTTGTGACTGTAAGGATTCATATTCTTAGGTTTTTTCGGTAAAGTCACGTAGGATAAAAATTTAAATTATTTTTATTTTACTTTTATTAATTTAAAATTTTTACCTACGTGACTTTACCGAAAAAACCTAAGAATAAGTATGAGCCATACCCCGGCTCGCCAAGAGAGGGCGGCACAGCAACGGTGGACTCCACCTGTTCGGTCTGTATGTGATGTTCCCCCCTCGTGCGAATGGGGATTCTCTGGGTGATCCGGTATCCTCCCACATGGAAACTCTCATAAACTAGGCCGATCACACCAGCTTCATATAGAGAGGACGGCAGAGCTTGGACAATTGTTGACTGCGGATTCCGCCGCCTATGTGCGACGCTGTGGAAGCTGTCGAGAGAAAAGAGATGCCTGGGACAGAGCCCCGAGCGGCGCATGGCGGAGGCCTGGCCGGTGGAGCTGCGACTCATGGAGCTGCAGGGCACGCGCGGCTCGCGAGACGGGACGGCGGCCTGCGGTGAGCGTCCTCCGGTGGTGGCCAATACACAGCACACACACAGCGCACACAACGCTACACCAGCGCACGCGCGTTACATCGCCATGTGCGACACAGCCCCTGTGCAAGCCACCGCTGGATGAAGCCCTCCCCCACGTCTCGTCAGCCATGGGGTGTTGAAGGGCCACATTTTACCACGCCCGTTCGTGCGGATTTGGCGAAGGGTGGGGGTGCGTGACTATGACCAGTTCAGATATTACTCGGCACAGATGTTCGCCGTGCTCGCGAATGTAATTCTGAGGGCCCAGTTCATAGCGCAACGCTCGCCAACCACTGCGCCACCGCTCTTCATATAAACCCCACCACCACCACACGCACCCACCCAGACCCTACCCACACTACACACCTCGCACACCCACTGCGCCCTGAAGCCGCCAGGTGGCGCTGCAGCTCCACGCGTTTCCATACGGCTCCGGTCACCGTGAGTAGCTCGACAGAGTATATTGCCTTCGATACGGTTTGGTTGTGAGTGCCGTGCTGTGTACGATTATACGTGCGCACTGCTGGGTACTGCTATCGGCGGGGGCTTCATTTCCTAGCGATTATATCCCGGGTCGCTAGCAGATTTGAGTCGGTGTCAACTTGGCGAGTAGTAGCACAGAGATAGATATACTGGATGTGGTGTGCCCAGTTCAAAATGTTTTCCGGGTCAACCCAAATAAACCGCGGCTGACATTAAGCCCAGCACTAAACGCACAGACTCCTATTTCACACCACGTGGGTGTTTGTAACCGATATCAACAGTACCATGGAGGGGTTCTTACGACATAAATATGGCCAGATCACTGCATGACCAAACCCAAAAATCGTTTATGAATCGCACACAAGATACACACACACAACACAAACAATACATGCCTATAAGTCATATGCAGCCGCCTCTGCCAATCCACAGCTGGACAATACAACCACTGTTGTGATCGATACGATTACACAGTCACTGCGCGCACACAAAGCTGAGCTCTGCTATTATCCCTCATGTAGCCATTCGCCCAAACGTGTATTTATCGGTACCCGCCAGCGTGAAAAATAAGAACAAAATTTTTCTTTCAGCGTTTTACCACCGAATCACAAAGACGTGCGATTGAATAATTGTTAAAGGGTTACCAGTGTGTGTTGGAGAGAAGATTATTTTCGAATAAGGAATCTGATTTGAACCCTCTACACAATGTTACAAATATCAAGTGTCAATACTTGAGACCGTATTTGTGCCAAGCTTTCTGCCCATGGTGGACACCGGTCGTGGTGGTGGACGCCTCAGCGCCGCCTGGCGGCTCGAGTGCGCGGGTTGACAGCAGAGCAACATTGTCGAGTTGTAAGATCGTGCTCACCGTCTTTAGCATCCCCTACTCACCAGCGTGGCTAAGTATGGTAAAAAAAAAACCCTGTTACACGCACGGTGTGGACAGGCCCTGATCCAGCAGCAGAGTGACATGTGTGGTTATCGCGCTGCAATTACGTGCGTGGTTATACCGTGCGCGTGGTCATCTCGTTTTCGTAAACTGGTGTTATCACATGAGTGGGGTCCCTAGGGCCGAGTAACGGGGGAGGAAGACATCCCCTCTGGAGCTGGGGTCTCTCCAGGGATACGTGGGGAGGCGCAAGCACACAAAGACACAGACAAACCCAGCGACAGACACAAACACACCGAGATAAAACACATATACTTAAGACACAAACACAGTGACACAGAGGTACACAAGAACAAACACTGGGACACGAGCCCATACAACATAAACGCTGTAACAACAATAACCCAGGTCCACCAGAGAAACACGAACTCGGTCACAAGCCAAGACACAAGTCCAAGCAGAGCCTGGGTGGTGGGGGGGGGGAGACGCACGTGTCACAAACTCCACGTGGGTCACACATGGCCCCCACGGGCGCCAATAGAGACCGCCGTGCCCACGTGCGAGGCAGCTGCGCGCCACACACAGATTGCGTCTCATTTTATTTGATCGTCTTCTAAGAGAGCTACAAATTCCAGGAGGAAACACAAATAATAATAATAAACACAACGCAAATCGATAACTTCTGCTACGCACAGATTATTAAGCTTTTACTTTTAGAAAAAACTCTATTGCAGCACCAAAAAAACATGACAACCAGCGACCTGAATGAGTCAAACGAGTTTAAAACATTGATAGTCACAAACAGCGGACACTTATAAAAACATAATACCTGAATCACGCCGCATAAGGGAAATTAGTAGAAAATGTGATTTCATTGAGATTTATGTCGTTAAGAGCTTGCGCGAGCTTGCGGAGGCAGCCTGCGCAAGCTGCGGTTGGTTTCGTGGCACAGACCCCATGCATAGGACTGCGCCGGGGCGGGGACGTAGGGGGGGGGGCCCAGGGTGCATGACCCCCCCCCCATTCTTCTGCCTCGCCATCTACAAAAATGAGGCCAACGAACGGTTCCAACACTCAACCCCAAAAGATGGGCCCAGGCCCCAGGCCCCAGGCAACAGGCATCCCCACCTCACCAGTATGGCCGGGCTCGCTACACAGTGAACCTCACCAGTACAGCCGGACCGTCTCGCTCGTACAGCCGTACCTGCCTTCCGGTGAGCTGCCTCACTAGGTCCAATGGCCCTTTCTTCAGTCTTGGACACAAGGCCGAATACCCCAAGAACAGGCCGAGGCATTGACTGGAAACATTTTAGGCTGAGGCCAGTGTCTAGGCTGGTTGAAGCCGGAGCCTCTGGGTCGAGGCCAGAGTCCAGGCTGGGTTATTTAAGAGAGCCGAGAAAGTGTACCCAAGCCAGCCACAATGCCAAGGACTCGTCTCGACGACCCAAGAATGCCCATGTTTCACGGCGACAGCTGTGCCTTCCTTACCAGCACCGCAGTACCTGTCTCACAAGGAACACCTGCAGCTGCTGGACAAGCACTGTCCAGCAGCAGAGTGGCTTGTCCCATCTGACGGGGCTGCACAAGTGCGGTTGTAGTGGACCGACCTGACACATTGACCGAACGAGTGCCGTGTCCAGGATTTGGCGCCATACGGCAGCTCCTGCTAGCTCGGCGGCGGCACATGGCAGCGCACCGAGGCCCCAACACAGACGTCGGCTTCACTCGCTCTCACCAGTCCCGAGGTGAGGATCAGCTGCCACGACCCCCCCGATCCGTCTCTCCCCCAACGTGACGCCCCACTCTACCGTGACCCCTCACAAGAAGGAAAACATCGCCGCCCTCCGCTACACGTGTAAATCATCGTCAACACACAACCACACCACCACAATACTGGCTAGAAGGGAACAGCAGGCGACTACAATAGACCGACTACAGTAACACACGCCTCTCGTGCACGCCCCCCCCCTTCCCCCCCTCAACTCCGTGACTTCAGCAGCCCCGGGCGCCACTGCGTTACAGCGCCAACGACTTCCCCCATGCGGCAATAGCCTCCGTGCGCGGGCGATACAACTCCACATGTCTCCATGTGGCGCCACATTGCTCCAGACGGCTCTGCGTAGCCTGCGACAGCTCCTCCTCCGCGTGGTTGCTGCAAGGTTAGGTGAGCGAGAGGTGGAGACCCAGGGACCCCCCGGGCTGCGCGAGGAATCACCAACCCAGGCGGTGGCGACGTCCGACGTGACCGGCAGAGTGCGACGGGGCTGGGGGGAGACCGATGGTGCCACTCCCTCCCACGCAGTCTGCCCCCGCCTCCCCTGCCCAACCCAAACGCTGCTGCTGCCACCGCTTGACATGAGTTGACGCATCCGGGCGCGCGGGGCCGGGGTGCAGAGGTATCCCCCCGCTCGGATGCCATCACCAGTGTGCAAACTTCTTCTTCTCCTCCTCCCTCCTCCCCGCATTCTCCATCTCCTTCTCTCCCTCCTCCTCTGTCCATCCATCCCTCCTCCCTCTCTCCATCCTTTCCTCCATCCCTCCCTTCTCTCACTTGTCCCCACCCCATGGCAGTGCTCTCCTTTAGCTAACTGTCCATGTTGCTGCCTTCATCTGAAAATCACAAACGAGGAACGGTTTGAGGATTGAGGAAAATGCTGCGACTGCTCAAACAGCAGGGGTAGAAGTCGGGGCGTGGTGAAGAGGGGCGGTGATGTATGTATTATGATTAACTTATTTCACATCGTATTTAGCCAACCGTGAAAATCGGAGGTGCAGTGAGGGGTCACAGGTGAATGGCGACTGGTAAAGGGTTGTAATCTATCTTCACCTGTCATTACATCTCAGAACGCACACAAAATTATTCAAACATGTCGACCAAGTGCGCACAGATTCGGAATCACCACAACAACAAAAACACCAATTACTGCGAGAAGCAATAGAAATAAATACAAAAAAACTAAATGAGAATGTGTTGTCTGGGTTCAACGCGTGAGTAATTGTTCACAAATAATTTACAAGTGCCTCGACGTTGCACTCCAATTGATTTCACGCTCAATGCAGCGGTATGGCCAGGCAGGCTGTTCCAGGTAATCAGTGGGGATGACAATGAGGGGCGATGGTTGAGGAGGAACTATTTTATCCCTGCGCATGATGGCAGCAATGTGTTCAGGAGCTCGATGCCAATGTCGAGGTCTGCTGGCAAGGACGAGACGGCTTCAGGAGAGAGAGGCCTCGATTTAAAGCTTTCGTGACTGCAGGGATTCATCTTCTTGGTTCATTCGGTAAAGTCACGTAGAAGGGAAGTAATAAAATAATAAAAATAAAACATAATAAAATATGTTTTATTTTTATTATTTTATTACTTCCCTTCTACGTGACTTTACCGAAAGAACCAATAAGAGAGAAAGCCTGTGTAGTTTTGCTCATCCTCCTCCATGGAAGGAACATAGACGATCGTGGTTCACTATCGGATCACGTTACGACAAACGCGGCATCGTGGCTTGTCTCGGTTGAGGGGCGACAGGCGAGGAGCGTGGTGATGTGAGGGGCGTGGTGATGTGAGGAGCGTGGTGATGCGAGGGGCGTGGTGATGTGAGGGGCGTGGTGATGCGAGGGGCGTGGTGATGTGAGGGGCGTGGTGATGTGAGGAGCGTGGTGATGCGAGGGGCGTGGTGATGTGAGGGGCGTGGTGATGTGAGGGGCGTGGTGATGCGAGGGGCGTGGTGATGTGAGGGGCGTGGTGATGTGAGGGGCGTGGTGATGTGAGGGGCGTGGTGATGCGAGGAGCGTGGTGATGCGAGGGGCGTGGTGATGCGAGGGGCGTGGTGATGCGAGGGGCGTGGTGATGCGAGGGGCGTGGTGATGCGAGGGGCGTGGTGATGCGAGGGGCGTGGTGATGCGAGGGGCGTGGTGATGCGAGGGGCGTGGTGATGCGAGGGGCGTGGTGATGCGAGGGGCGGTGAACATCACCGTGGGAGTCGCTCTCGTCGTGGGCCGCGTGCTCGCCGGGCAGCCGCTCTCCGGCAGGCTGGGTGGGCGGTGCAGGGCCCCAGATGCGCACGGTGCCATCGTCCGAGGCGCTGGCCAGCATGGCGGGTAGGCGCGGGTTCCAGCTCACGCAGTTCACCGTGTGGCTGTGCCCGGCCAACACCGCAATAGGCAGCTCCCCGCGCTTGTGCCATACGTACACCTTGTGGTCTGCGGGGACAAGAGACATGGGCAAGGGCTGTTAGCGACCACCTATGCAGGCCGGCATTGCACACGAAGTGGGTGGGTGGCCAGCTAACAGCACGCTGGCCACCTTCGTCTCCTCAGTGTTGATGTTTACACACCACACCCCAGATACTCATCTATGGCCGAGTCGACCTAGGGGAGGCCCAGGGCCGGGTCATATATTCACCACCGCCTTTTGTCATGAGTAGGAATCGAACTCGGGTCCACAGTACAGTGTGTTAACCACTGCTCTACCACTCTCCCCACACACATACATGTACATACACGTGTACAGACACCCATACGCACACACGTAGACATGTGCACACGTACGCACACTTGTGAATATGCGAGCCTGGACATTTGTGTGCGTGCGAATGAGTACGTGTGTCTGCATTGAATGGAAGTGCATGTGTCTGCACGAGTGTGTACACGAGTGTATCCGTACGCAAGCACGTGGATCTAGGTGTGTATGCTGCTGGAGCAGGTGTGTAGCTGTATATGCGCACGCATGTGTCCGTATGTATTCACCTCTACGAGGTCATTGCCTCGAATGTTTGCGTGTGAGTGTGCGCCTGAACCTTCGCTGCCACTGGCAATGAAGTCTTCGTGTAGGCCCCCGAAGGCCGAGTGGATTGTGTAGAAACCCTGGGTGGCTCCCTGGTACTTCCGCACCAACACACGGTCCTGCAGGTCCCAGAGGTGGACGCCCTGCTCGCCCCAAACCACACACCAAGTGCTGTTAGCGAGCACCTATAAAATCCGGTACAACACACCAAAAAGGGGTGGGGATGTGGCCAAATCCATGCCCGGCTACCTTTGTCTCCACACACAGACCATGCCCACCACAATCCGCAAATTCGCGATCCGCAAACTCAAAGCCAAATGGGAAAACTCGGGTTTTGTTCCCGATACCACCTTTGGTTTTATGTTACCCTACATCAACCCATTAATCACGAAGTATTTTGAATGTAAAATTTGAAATATTTTCGAGTGTTAAATATAACTTGCACGGAATTAGTATAGAAGAAATAAAATAATGTAGTGTACAATACTGTACATTACAGGAAGAACATTTTGTGCGGCTGAACTACACAGCCTCACTAGAGGCTGGGAACACTGCGTGACCTGGGACCCGCGATGGGCCGCTTGGAAGACAAGACGGAGACAAGACGGAGCGCGTGTTCTTCCGCAATGCAGAACATACCCGTTTACACACCACACCAGGTACTCATTGAGACTAAGTGGACCTAGGGGAGGCACAGGACCGGTTCAGATATTCGTCACTGGTGTTGGCCATTAGCGGGAATCAAACTTGGGTCACCGGGTTCATAGCACAGAGTGATTACCACGACACTAGCGCTACACGCATACAGGTGATCTCATCCGCCCACAACCAACTAACAAGCCCCCCCCCCCCGCTTTGTGTGAGAGACTGAGCGAGTTACTCACCTGAGTGAGAGACTCACCTGAGTGGCCACATTGAGCAACGCGAGCCTCCCGTTCCTGGACACAGTGAAGGCCATTATGGGGTGGTCCTCCTGGACACTAGAAGAGGGAGGGGCAGGGTTATTGCGTGGCCATCCTTCCACAGGGCCTTTCCCTACAGAGCCTTCCTTCCACAGGGCCTTGCCTTATAGGGCCTTTCCATACGAAGCCATCCCCTACAGGGCTTTCCTTCCACAGGATCTTCGTCTAGAGCAGTGGTTCGCAACCTCTCTGGACCCCTCCAACCACTGCCAACCCTCAAGGTGAATGTCACGGAGCAGCAAGCTCAAGGGTAGTTGAAACTACTAGTAGTCATCATTGCACCTGGTGTCGGTAGTAACTCCGCGGAGCAATTCCCATGGTCCCGCGCAGCACTGGGCTGCAACCATTGTCCGAGAAGACGCTACTCTCCAGGGCGTTGCTACCATGGGATTCAGGCTCAGTGGAGATTTCAGTTACATTGGCACCATAAATAAAACAACATTTCTTATTGTGTGAATGTGGGAGCGAGGGTGTGAGCGAGTGTGACCGAGCGAGCGTGCCAGTGAGCAGATAAGCACGTGATTACTTGAGCAAGTGAGCAAGCGCGCGAGATGCTTACATGTTGCGGTCCGTGAGCTCCTCGAAGTTGTATCCGCGAATACGCTGGTGTGTGTCGGACGCCAGCACCGTCTTGCCATCACCAACGCAGCACAGGCACTGTACACGCACGCCCTCCCAAGAGTCTAGCACGTTCCCCTCTAGGTCCTGCAAACACGCACACACAGCATGCCACCACGGTTTGACGCGCGATGTACTGCGATGGGCACCGTATGCTGGGCTGCATGCTCGGTTGTGCTGCTCGCCGTGTGGTGCTGCTGGCTCCCGGAGTAATCACACACACCGATAGAACTGCCCGTAGTACTCACACACTGGTAGAACTGCCCGCGCTGGCCGCCTGTGACGAAGCGCTTGCCGTCAGGGTTCCAGGCGGCGCAGGTCAGGCTGTCCTCGTGCGACTGTGACATCTTCACCTTGAGTTCTCCGGTCTGCAGGGGAATCAGCAGCAGCTCCGTCAGTCCAAACACGTTAGTAAACACGAATCAAATCATTTTAGAATTCAACATAAAGCAGAGGCGGTTATTGATGAATGATGCAGAACTCACCGATTCACTCCAGTAACTCTGCTCACTGGTGGTCAGTCGTCTCCTTTTCACTCTTCTATTGCTACTACAATGGTTACTGTTCCTGTGTACTTGTCATTGATTCCATTCCCTCCCATGTTGAGGACTCGGTCTGCCAGACACTGTTTCGTCCCACCCACACTGACTGAAGGTCACAACTCACTCACCCACTCAACCACTCATTCACTCTCTACACTGCAGATTACAACACTTATACTTCGGCTTATTCCCTCTCATTGCTCCCCTGTGGAATTCACTGTCATCATCATCATCTTCTCCCAAGCTCCTATAATAATCTTGCGTGATTACTTGAGATATGCGTTCACTATTATATAATACTTCTCTGATAGTTCATATTTGTTGCTGGCTGCCTGACGCTTTGGGTCTGAGCTCAGCAACAGGCTGAGAGACGGGCATGGCTGCGTACGCACACCTGCACGTTCCACAGCCAAAGCTCGGAGCAGTCGTCGGGCCCGCAGGCGATGAGGTGCGCATCGTCGGGGCTCCAGGCGAGGTAGGAGACTCCATACGTGTGTCCCTCCAGCGTGCGTGCCACCTTGAGCTGCTGGCTCTCCTGCCATGCATCACACCATGCGCATCACGTGACATGTAGCGCAGAGCACGTGCAGCGCGATGCACGCAACACATCCATCACACGCTAAAGTCTACACTGCCGCCTCCTATGGTGCAGCGTGGTGTGTGTGACCGTGCAGTGTGGTGGTGCAGGGTGGCAGGCAGTGCAGTGCAGGGTCGTGTGTAGTGCAGTTCAAAGTGGTACAGGGTGGTGCGCAGTGCGGTATGAAGTGTGGTGCAAGGTGGTGTGTAGGGATGTGTGCTGTGCAAGGCAGTGCAGTGTGGTGTGCGGTGCTCTGACCATGTCCACGTCCCACAAGATGACGGTGGAGTCCTTGGAGCCCGTCGCGAGTTTGCTACCGTCGTTTGAGAATTTGCAGAACCAGACCTCGTTGCAGTGCTCGGTGAGGATCTGCCGCGTGTAGCATGGGAACTGTTTCCTATGCTCACATGGGGTCACACGGGATGGAGAGGGCCAGGCTATGAGCCCTCAATGGAAGTATTTGGGCAGGAGTACGTACGAGCACACAGCGAGAGAACGCACAACAACACGCGCACCTTAAGAGCGTAGATGCCCACTCACTCACCGCCACGAGTACCACCACCACTGAAGCATGCACTCGCTCAGGCACTCTCGTATACCAGCACGGGTGGGGGGCTAATAGTGGGGAAGGCGGAGGGGGGGTGTGGTGCCACGCGGCGCTACCGGCTGCAGGAGTGGTCGGAGTAGAGGGAGACGCTGTCAAGCGAGGGCTCGTGCCGCGTGTTGTGGTAGACGCAGCGGTCGCGCTGCAGCTCTACCGCCTGGCGCAGCAGCGTCTGCAGCCGGTGCGGGGGCAGCATCACGGACGGCGGCAGGTACGCTAGCGACACCAACAGGGGGCAGCACGCACACGGGGAGAGGCGCAGTTAGCACCGTTGCGCTCACTATGCATTTTCCTCCACCTCCCTTTGGTGTCGGGCCGGTAGTAATTCACTTTTATTTCACCGAGAAATGGAACATAACCCGATTGTAGCAATGTGACTCACGGTCTCATTCGCAGCGGTGCCCGGTAAGCCAGAGCACACTGACGGCACCTGCTCTTACAGCAATGTGTAGGATACACGGGATCTTTTATCATTGTTTCGTCTCTGTGCGTTTTTAAACACATCTCCATTTTTTATTTTCAGATCCCTTTCTCGTTAGGTCACTTGGGAAAAGGCGACGTGGGTTTGTGGGTGCGTGCCCGTGTGTTGCGTGTGGACGTGAGCATTTCTGCAAGCGTACTTGTGCGTACACCTTTGTGTGCACAGTTGCGTACCCCTGATGTTTCTGAGTGTACGTGGTTATATTCTTCAGACACGTCACATCGAGGCGGCGCGATTAGTGGTGAGGCCGATAGTTAAATGTTGAAGTGCAGTTTTATTGAGGGACTAAGTGTTGTCTTGGTGTGGTCTGGGACTGTTTTTGTTGTTGTATTGCTGCCTTGTCCAAGATTGCATTTGGTGGAAAAAATTGGCAGGAATTAATGTACTTGTGCAATTGATACTTGTATACATTATTTATTAATATTTAGTGACTTGCTTGGCTTTTCTCTATTTTGCATGCCAATTGTTTTTTAAATTTTTTGCTTTGTAACTTTCTGACCCGCCCCGACTGGACATCTGTGAAAAAAGAGCTTCGTGGCTTGTCGGATTCTTCCAGTTTAAATAAAGATTTTGATTCTGACTCGACTAGACATTGTAACAGACTACGTTGTTCTTGCAGTCAATTACTCGGGCCCCCTTACAAACGGTGCCCCCCCCCCACATCCTGCCTCCTGAAGGTGGGAAACCCCCACCCCCCCCAAAGAGCCACAGCCAACGTGACGCAATGCGGGAGATGTTGCCAATTACGTCACCAAGCCCCGCCCATCACCTTCCGTCCAGTGTCACAACCAGGAACAGAACGGAGAATTTTTTTTCAAAATTATTTTAAAGTTATCCGATTGGACAAATAATCAAATCAATAATCAATATAAGAGTCAATCGCTCAGACCGTGGGATGAGAGCCTAGCATTTGAGAGGGAGAGTGGGATGAGAGTCCAGTTCTACTCGCGAGTGAAACGCACGGTTGTGGGTCGCGGTCTCACTCTGCAGCTTCTCCAGGAGTTTGGAGCGAGAGGCGGAGCCCTTCCCATCCCACGCCGCCTTCTCGCGCAGCCCCGCTGCATCGCTGCACATCATATACCTGCCCGCAAGCACACAAACATCCCCCCAGTAGCCTTTAATAGACTGTTGGGGCAAGTTCCATTAGCGAGCACCTATTCAAGCCGACACGGCACACAAGGGGGTGGGTGGCTAACAGCATGACCGCTGCCTTGGTCTGCACCAGGTATTTGTTTATGGCCGAGTCCACCTAGGGCAGGCCCATAACCGGTTCAAATATTATTAGACACTGTTATTGGTCTTGAGCGGGAATTGAACTCTGGTCGTAGAACATTGCGCTAGCCACTACACTACCGCTTCACACATGGACACATGAGCAAACATGCGTGGGCACACATTTACATGAACACACACACATACGTAACAAGACTGGGACACAATTGGCAAATACGGACGCAGAAAACACGCGCGTGTGAACACACAGCCAACACATAGGGATTCACGCATACATACATACACACATACATACAGCTTTACCAAAATACACATGCGTCATACACACAGACTCACGCACACACCTGCACACACCTACACGTGATCAGATAGGAAAACAATGAGAATATAAAGTGACAAATATATACAGGATTAACAAAACACACAGCCACGCATGCACACCCCAAGCAAAGAGCCACAATAACAAGCACAGGGGAGCACGGCTCGACAAGCCAAGCGCATGACGGTTGAAGCTCCACTGTTGCTTCGCTGCCAAGGACATTAATCAGTAGCGCAATCAGACGGTGCAAATAAAACTCAGCCAGGAAATTAATTGGGCCGACGCCGGCTGCTTCAGCCCCCCCCCACGCCAGCTCCATCAGCTGGAGTCTCGTGGAATCACAAGCGTGTAGCGTCACAACTCCAATTGGCAGCGGAAGCGACACCACGGGAAGGAGATGCCACCTAGGGGCAATGCGCATCATCACGCGTACCAACCTGTCGCGTCACAAACACCCACAAACGCCCATGCACCCTCACGGCGTTGCACAAATGCAGTCAGCGTGGGTTGATGCATTGTGAGATCACTGACAGCGCCCATGGCAAAGTGAACAGTGCCAGCTGCACGTGGCAGATGGCGCCGTGAGCGGTCGTCATTCCGACCTCGCCATCTGTAATGCTGGCCAATGGCTCTCGGCGCTTGCGTGCGGCAGCAGCAGCGCCGTGATTCCAGGACCGTGGCCAGAGTGGAAGGGCGCTGCTTCAAGCATTGCCTGAGATTCTAAGGGCCACATTGATAAGGGCAGCACCGCCTCTTGCGATCACTTTGGCAGAAGGATTCAAACACCTATTTATTACGAACCTATCGATTTGCATTGGCAGCGATTCGATGAATGCCCATGATTTGATTGAAGAATTAATAACATTTATCTAGTTCGGATTTGATGGATGAGCCTCTGCGGCTGTGCTGACGCTCACCATGCACAAAGAGCCAGGCAGGGGAGCCACCTGTGGGTCGCCCTCTCAGCTAGGTCCCAGCATGCACCGGGGCCGTGTGCACATAATCACCATCTAACAACTATCGTCAATAATTCTGCTTTGAAGCAGAGCAATTGCCCAAATCATCACTTACTCTTCAATATTCCCTCCTCAGGGTGATGTAATCGTCGAATGTGTTGAGAGTTTGTTTTTTTGCTTGTGCACTACAGCCAACACAGTATTACTAAATGTTCTGCATAATATTCCCATCCATAATATGTCACCCCATTGTTGGATCAAGGCGACGTTAACAGTGGTGAAAGTTTGACCATCCATCACCAAGACCGGTTCGAGCATCACTCGCCACCGAGTGATATCCAAAGCATGGCCAGGAATTGAACTCGAGTCGCTGGGTTTATAGTGCAGTGCTCTAACCACATTGCCACCACTTCGGTCATAATTTTATTGAGTGGAACTGGGTTTGTTCAGGAGCCACTGTCGAGGTTTTACTCCTGGTTGTGAGTGGAGATCTCAGCTAACCATGCAGCAGCTCAACGTCTCACCCTTTTGAACCCTGGTTAGACCACGCACGCACAGACGACTGTTTCAGTTTCTATGAAACTTAGGCAAGAATAAAAACTAAAAAATAATCCGCACAGGCAAAGCAGGAGGAATCTAAGTTCCCTGGCACGCGCCGCCAGTGGCAATGAGGGGAGGTCGCTATTTGTTATGCGGAGACAGAGAAAGGGGCGAGGGAATGAAATGAATAAATAAGGACGAGCGAATAAATATTAACCAAGGAAACAGAGACAAACGGCTCCACCCGAACGCGGGGAGGGGCTGGCAGGGTAGGGGAGGTAGTTGTGGAGGGAGGGAGGGAATGGCTGGGCGGGTGTGCGGGGAGGGGGGCGAGACTGCATTTTCCTGTTGAGCAGGATGGTCCGCAGGTCAAACCGCAGCCCAAGTAATTGGTCTGGGTTAATGACCGAGCTGCCCCCCCCCCCCCGCGCGTCACATTCACACGACAGAGCCAGTGTACACTCGCTCATTGCAGGGCAGGGGTTGGGGTCAGGTGGGCAATGGGGTCAGGTGGGCAAGGAGGTCGCACACAATCAGGGAAACCAAAGGGTCCAGGCCACAAGGCCTCAGCAGAGCTCATTGGGCCACCATCACCTTCACCATCGACCCTGAAATCCTGGAATCACGGGGGGGCGGCCACAAGGGAGGAAGGGCGAGGGGTCCACGTTCCTGGGTCATCCCAGATAGTGTGGTGCCGTCAAAGTGAGTGACACCGCACCGTTATAACGTTCTCCCCCCAACTCCCCAATATGGCTGCAACTGACTGCAGTGCTCTGCGTATTTAATCTCACACACGAGTTGCCCAGTGAACGCAATCAACGAATGACTGCTGGGCAAGCGCTCTGTGAAGGAGCCTTAACTAGAGTGGGGAGAAACTCGCAAGGTGCGTGCCGCTCTGCAGAGCTATCGCCGGGCAGGGTGTGGGATGGTAGGGGCAGTGTGTGGTGTGCAGTGGAGCGGTGTGTACAGTGGAGTGGTGTGTGTATTGGCACGGTGTGGCCAGGGAGTGTGCGGGGTGCCGTGTGGAGACTTGCGGCACCTGGAGCCGCTTTTGGGGTGGTGTGGTGTGTGCTGCAGTTTCTGCGATGTGTGTGTTGCATGTTGTGGTGTGTGTGGTGCGCAGTTAATTGCAGTATGCATTGCAGTGTTGTACGGCGCATGGGGTGGTTCACAGTGCAACGCGTGTGGTGCGGTGTGCACCCACCGAGTGTGCGGCGCACGCACGGTGCAGCACGTGACAGGTAGTGCAGTGTGCGATGCAGCACGTGACAGGTAGTGCAGTGTGCGGTGCAGCACGTGACAGGTAGTGCAATGTGCGGTGCGGTGCGTGGTGCGTACCCGCTGAGCGCGTGGATGCGCTCCGTGTTGTACTTGAGCGGTGTGAGCTCGTGCCTGAGCACCTGCAGGGCCTCGAGCACGGCACCGTCCTCCAGCCGCTCCAGGTACTTCTGCTCCAGCAGCAGGAAGCGCATGCGCTGCACCGGCACCGCACGTTAGGTGGCACCACACCATTTACCACACTCCGCACTGCACCACATCATACCATACAATGCACCATACCTCGCACCGCATCATGCACGGAACTGCACGTCACACACAAGTGAACACACGTGTGCTCACAGGATAGTATGTAGGTGAATGGTGCAATTCAGCTACTCACCAGCATCCCCCGCGCGGACCGGACGAGAGATTTCAGCTCATTGAGGTCGGCTTCTGCCTGCAGTACAAACAGACAACAGCAGAAGCAGCAAGGAGGAAACATCATCCACAGATTCTCAAGTGCCCTCCAAAATGCGTCGTCCTTGGGCGTATTCAAATCGTGACAATACGGTAACCTTTCCAAGCCGCACAATTAGATGACGCAATACACCGCGCACAAAGTCATGCAATAGTCTCGAGACTCAGCGTGACGTTCTTGGGTAAACGAGGGGAATCATAATAATAAGTGGCGGATATATGCTGGCACCCCGGGGTCTGTGTGAGGCGAGAGCTGAGTGTCATTTGCAAGAAGCCAAATGGATACATTTCCAGAGTCCTGCACCCAGATTCCCAACGGAAACTCCGGGAGGAACCTGCAGCTTCCGACTGATGCCTGGCAGGTGTCTCTTGTCCAACTGGAAGCGTCTCTGATCGTAGATCTGGCTAGAGTTGAGAAACCCTTTCCACACGGGTGACGCTCCTGTGTGTCTCAGTCGAGGGCAAGTGGAAATGAACGCAGAATCTTGAGACAAGCTCACAGCTACGATAAAAAATATATATTAAATGAAAACAGCCTTGGCACTGCCGGGAACATTTATACGCCGGCTTGGCGGGAGAGGGGTAGTGAGCACAAGGCTGGGCTGGGGTCACGACTGGTTTATTGAGGCTAAATTTAGCCCACAGATGTCTCAGCCACTCGCCTACAGCAACAGCACGAAAATATAAAACAAACACTCTCCCTCCGTTACTAGAACGATGAAAAACAATAAACAGCCACAAGGGCTGCTGCAGCTGGGCATCGGTAATCGAACCAGACCAGTAACCGAGCTTGAGAGCCACATTGAGGGTCGCAGAAAATTCCTTTAGAAACTCACGCAGCCATTTCACGGTGCCTGCGTTTCACAGAGCTCCACTCACTCGCGGCATATCCCTTTTGCTGCTCCACCCGCCTCGAGCCGTGCCACGGCACAGGAAGTCTCCATCAAAACCAACAAGCGGCTCGTTCACAACTCGAGCGCTCAGTAAGGACAGGGTGGCGAAAGGCTACCACGGTTACCACAAACGAGCACGTGTGAGAGTGCCCATGTGTGTGTTGGTGTGTACTCTATGTAGGAGGGAGTGGTGGTGTAGCGGTTAGCGCGCTGCGCTATGAACCTGGCGACCCGGGTTCGATTCCCGCTTACGGCCAACACCAGTGACGATTATCTGAACCGGTCCTGAGCCTCCCCTAGGTCGACTCAGCCTGAAATGAGTACCTGGTGTGGTGTGTAAACATCGCCGCTGGGGAGACAAAGACGGTCGGACGTGGTGCTGGCCACCCACCCCCTCGTGTACCGTTCCGGCCTTCATAGGTGCTCGCTAACAGCACTTGCCCTACAGTCTGTTAAGGCTATACAGGGGATCTTTGTCTTTGTATTGTGGTGTAAACATCAGCACTGGGGAGACAAAGGCGCTAGGCGTAATTCTGGCCACACCACATCATCGTGCGTTGTGCCGGCCTTCATGAGGTGCTCACTAACAGCTGCAACAGCCTGTGCAGGTTACACTGGGGATCTTTGTCTTTGTATACACGGGTATTTGCGTGCCGTGTGTGTACTGTACGTTCCGTGTGTGCGTCACCTTCTCCCAGTCACCGTCCATCACGTGGCTGCGGAAGCGTGCGGCGGTTGGGTGCTCCAGCCGGCACCCGGCCTCCTGCATGAGCAGATCCACGGTTTGGCTGGAAACACAAAAGATTGGAGACTAACTCACCCGCTCGCTGAACTCGCCCGTCACACTGCAAACTGGGTGAGAGGGTGGTGCAGCTGTAACACTTGGGTCTCACAGCAAGATAGACCGGGGTTCAATTCATGACGTTAGCACCTTCCTGTGTGGAGTTTGTGTTTTTCCCCCCTGTTGTGCAGTGTGTGTGTAGTCAACATCGCCACCAGGGAGATAAAGGCAGCCGGGCGCGGTGTTGGCCACCCACCCTCCCGTGTGCTGTGCTGGCCTTCATAGGTGCTCGCTAACAGCACTTGCCCCAAGAGTCTATTAAATATATAGGGGATTTTTTTTTTGTGTGGAGTAAGTTTTGTATGGGTTTTCTCCAGTTTTTCTGGTTTCTTCACATAACTAAACACATGTCATGTAATTGGTGTTAGTAAAACATCAAAATACAGGACATTCCTGAAGAAGAGTGCAAGTATATACGATATATACTTGCACTTTAACTTCACTCACTACAACACCGCTCTTACCACACTCACAATTACCATACCTCATACTCATCACCCTCACTCGCCACACTCCTCACCACTGTGCTCGCACTCACCACCGTGGCACCCACGAATTTGGTGACCCACGTCACTCTTGCAAATTATACTTATCCTGGTCTCTTGAGTTATCACCTGGTTAAATAAAATAAACTTGAGACGTGAACTCGAACTACACCCACGGCAACGGCAGTCTCACTCAACTCGCCCACATTGAACTCACCAAAGTCCTTGGCACCTCCCACGTCCCAGAGACAATCCTGCCCCATCACATCCTGACCCCGACTCGAACCTGTTCGGCTTTATATCCCCATTTGCCCCAGGGTATCCAGCTTCCATTCAGCCGTGGTGCACGATTGTCAATAAATTTATTAGTTTTGTCAATCTCACGTCCATGACCCCCGTCTGTGGCTCCCCCACACACTCTCTGCCCAGATCACACAATGAGTGGAAACCAGACTCGAGGTGGGGCTCAATCGGCCCGATTATGGTGGAGGCTCAGAGACTTGTACGTCATAGACGCGACAGCCTCAATGACCCAACCCTCCACCCTGGGGTTCAGCTCGGTTACCCGGACCCCGGGGGCAGTACCTGGAATCTAGGTGGGTGGTGATGCAGCCACTGACACCAAAGGGGGAGGGGAAGGGGACAGTCAAAGGCAAAAGACATAATTTACAGAGGGCAGGGAGATTGACCCATAGCTGCTCATAATGGAGAAATTGCCACCCATGTGCGTCACGCTGCAACACACAGACACGCAGATAGATATAGGTGTTAAATCAGCACAGAGCCACACACACAGGTTGTGGTACAAATATTAAACCCCCCAATATAGTCGACACAGGCTGTTGGGGCAAGTGCTGCTAGTGAGCACCTATGAAGGTCGGTACTGTGTATGTGGCGGTGGTGTGGCCAACGCAATGGCCACCTTTATGCTGATGTTTACACACAACACTTGTTACTCATTTAATTATGAGTCGACCTAGGGGACACACAGGATGGGTTCTTCTATCACTCACCACGGATGTTAACTGTGGCTACGATTTAAATATAGGCGACCTGGTTCTTAGATTATTAGCACAATGTGCTTACCACGGCACCACACAGGAATACAAAGATACATACACACACACAGGTGTACATAGATAATACAGCTACACACATACATGCAAACACAAGTGTACAAATTTACTCCCAGATGTCCACAGAGGTACACACACACTAGGGACGTGCGGTCAGGGGAGGCAGGGGAGGCAGAGCCTCACCTGCCATACTCCAATGAAAAAAGCTGTTACGAAAAGTAAAAAAAAGAATAATGAAATAAAATAAATATAAAGATTTTTCCACTGATCTGTGTTATAAATGTAATTTCTGTACGATTCCAATCATTTTTATAGTCAAATGCACCAAATTTGCGGAGCTCCGCTGCAAATACAGGAAGAGACGAGAGGTGAGGCGAAGACGAGCTCAGCCTCCCCTCTGATTGCGCAACCCCTCAGTAACTGGATGGAGCGCGGGCAATAAGCGTGTGTCTGTTACTATCTCAGTATCTCACCAATGTAATGTTTGTAGACCCCTTCATTTCACGTCCTCGCCTTCCATACTCCAGGTAACTTAATTCACGTATGTGTATAAAGATATTTAGGCTCGCTGGTCTCGTCATGAAACTGCAATGAAAAAGCACCAGGGGAGGCAGCTATCACATCTGCCTCACCTGAGGGGGACGTGTCTAACACGCCCCCTCAGTGTGTGAATCTGGCTCTGACACTCGCCAGTGCCTCCCCAGCCATTTACCTCACCGCACGTCACTGACACACACAAAGGTAAAATAAAGTGTACACACAGGAACACACACGCACAATCGTACTCTCAAGTACACACAGACACGCGAAACTAAACGCAGTACAAAGGCATATACACAATGACTTCACTCGAAATATCTCGCACAAGGAGTAGAAACCGAGACCCAAGGTGGGTTTTATTTGTCCAGATTATGGTGGCGGCTGTTGTTGCTGGCTACTTGGCATTTTGAGCCCTTGGGCCTGTGTTCATCAACCGCGATAAACAACCACATGGAGCGCCACACATATAGGTGTACACATCGGTGTACACCAGCTTGCTAGGCACCCTTGCCAAAGGAACTGTGTCTCATGTTGCCTGAACCGGGTTGTTTTCCATCAACCAGCGATTTAAAAACTGAACTTCTCCCACAACTGGTGCCGGCACTACCACATGCTTTGGGAGCTTGTGGAGAACGCAGGAACCCGGCACCACGGACCCACATCAGGGGAGCTTTAATCCCAGCCTGGGCAGTGAGTGTACAGAGCTGAGGATAGGATCAGCTCTGCTGACACTCACAGGGCCAACACTCATTTGCACGTTTTCCACAGAGCTTAGACAAAGATGTCCTTATAAACAACGTCCGTGCCTATGACCAATTCCCCTGATCTCGTTAGATCTCGGGAACTTATTGGGGTTCGGCTTGGATAGTGTATGGATGAATGGGCAACCGTCCAGTGCATAACGCAGGTGTTATAGGCTGCTGTAGGTCTGCATTGTGGACTGCAGCGGGCAGTGCCACAAGCCAATTGTGCTCTCTGCCTTCACCAATCCACGCTGACCAACACAATGAAGTATGGTCAACACGACCCAAACGAGGTCCTCACCCACCAGTGTAATGACAAGAGGGGCTGTATATAAACATGTCCTGTACCCAGTGTTAACAAAGATTTTTTTTAAAAATCCCTCCTATAGCCTAAACAGACTGTAGGGCAAGTGCTGTTCGTGAGTACCTATGAAGGCCGCCACGGGCACATGAAGGGGTGGGTGGCCAACACCACACTCGGCCGCCTTTGTCTTCCAAGTGGCGATGTTTAAACACTACACCAGGTACTCATTAGAGACTGAGTCGACCTAGGGGAGGCCCAGGACCGGTTTAGATAATCGTCATTGGTGTTCGCCGTGAGCGGGAATCGAACTCGGGATGCCAGGTACACAGCGCAGCACGCTAAGCAATACACTACCGCTCCCCACGCCCAGTTTAGACAAACAGTGTTTACACGAACCTAAAACTCCACCCACAAAGTGTTTACACTCGGATGTACGTATGCACAACGTTAATCACTGACTGCCCGCGAAGGAGCGGACTAATGTATACACGGCCCATCACATGTCATGGCGCTCGGGGGCCTTAGGCTGAGAGCGCACCTAGCCTGGTACCCAGTTGCCTTGTACCAGTTGCTTTGTACCAGGCTTTGGTGAGATCACTGCTACTTGGTGATGAATAACTCTTATAATGCTGCTGCTGTTGTTGTCACGCACTGAATGCACACGTCACTGTTATATAATCACCAGCGTTATCAGAGAAGCAAACAGAAAGATCACCAGCACAATAATCAACATCTTCCTCAACATCCACCGTCATCCGAGCCGTGACTGTAACCCAGGTCCCACGGTGTGGATGATAGGGTTGGAGTCTGGCACAAGGCGAGTGAGACGCTGGATTGCTGTGTGTGGTGGTGATGGTGGTGGTGATGATGATGATACGTCCCCACGGCCTTTAATTAGACTCGCGCACGTGACGTGGTGGGCTGTTTACAGCTGAGAGCACAAAACCAACTCACCACCAACACTCACAATGACCCTCACACTCACCACGACACTCACCCTCATCACGACACTCACTCACCACCTCACAATGATCCTCACCACCGACACTCACCCTCACCAAGACACTCACACTAACCTCAAGCAAACAATGACCCTCACACTCACCACGATACTCACCCTCATCACGACACTCATTCATCACATCACAATGATCCTCACCACCGACACTCACCAAGACACTCACACTAACCTCAAGCACACAATGACCCTCACACTCACCACGACACTCACCCTCATCACGACACTCATTCATCACATCACAATGATCCTCACCACCGACACTCACCAAGACACTCACACTAACCTCAAGCACACAATGACCCTCACACTCACCACGACACTCACCCTCATCACGACACTCACTCACCACCTCACAATGATCCTCACCACCGACACTCACCAAGACACTCACACTAACCTCAAGCACACAATGACCCTCACACTCACCACGACACTCACCCTCATCACGACACTCACTCACCACCTCACAATGATCCTCACCACCGACACTCACCCTCACCAAGACACTCACACCAACCTCAAGCACACAATGACCCTCACACTCACCACGACACTCACCCTCATCACGACACTCACCACTTCACAATGATCCTCACCACCGACACTCACCCTCACCAAGACACTCACACTAACCTCAATCAAGCAATGACCCTCACACTCACCATGATATTCCCCTCATCACGACACTCACTCACCACCTCACAATGATCCTCACCACCGACACTCACCCTCACCAAGACACTCACACTAACCTCAATCACACAATGACCCTCACACTCACCATGATACTCCCCTCCTCACGACACTCACTCACCACCTCACAATGATCCTCACCACCAACACTCACCAAGACACTCACACTAACCTCAAGCACACAATGACCCTCACACTCACCACGACACTCACTCTCATCACGACACTCACTCACCACCTCACAATGATCCTCACCACCGACACTCACCTCACCAAGACACTCACACTAACCTCAAGCACACAATGACCCTCACACTCACCACGACACTCACCCTCATCACGACACTCACTCACCACCTCACAATGAATCCTCACCACCGACACTCACTCACCACCTCACAATGATCCTCACCACCGACACTCACACTAACCTCAAGCACACAATGACCCTCACACTCACCACGATACTCACCCTCATCACGACATTCATTCATCACATCACAATGATCCTCACACTCACCCTCTCCGAGACACTCATCAGGATCTTCACTTACCACAAACCTCAACACAACTGACTTACCACGTCACTCACCCTCACCTCCACGACCCTCACACTCACAACCTCTTCACAATGACCCGAATACTCACCCTCACTCACTACAACGCCATCCTCAATACCTCCAAATGACCATTACATTCGCCCACACCAGGACAATCACCCAGTAAAGTGCAACCCGTCTTATTTACTTGTTTATATTCGAATGTGTGTTAAATTATTGTTCAACACTGTATAGTCTAGATTTGATACATTTAAAATGTTTTAAAATATTATGTTGCATTTGAAGTGACTTTGTGTAACCCATGTTGCCCTTGCAAAAGAGGCCATGTATCAAGTGTCTCAATAGGCATGTGTTTAATCTGCTGGTTTAATAAAGGACGTTAATGCCCTCACCACGACCCTCACTCACCACGACCTTCACACTCAACCACGGCCCTCACCATGACACACTCGTCATCCTCCACCTTAACCACGACCCTAAACCCCTCACTTCAGCCCTCACTACGACACAATCTCACCGAGGGCCTCACCATGACCGTCAAATTAGCATCACTCTCACCACGACTTTCATCGCCACCCTCACCAACACAATGACCGTACTCCTCTCTCAGTTCTAGACTTGAAGCTTTCGTGACTGCAAGGAATCATATTCTTAGGTGTTTTCGGTAAAGTCACGTAGGTAAAACATCATTCCGTCCCTCACCCTTCTTACTCACTCACTACAAGCCCTATGCTGGGCTTTTATTCTCGCGACCCTCACCTCGACCCCGAGCCCGTACCTCATAAGACCCTCCCGTCTACTTCACTCATGATTATAAACAAGGGTGAGTGGTGAGGGTGGCGGGGTGAGTGGTGTGGGTGGCGGGGTGAGTGGTGAGGGTGTCAGGGTGAGTGGTGAGGGTGTCAGGGTGAGTGGTGAGGGTGGTGAGGGTGGCGGGGTGAGTGGTGAGGGTGGTGAGGGTGGCGGGGTGAGTGGTGAGGGTGTCAGGGTGAGTGGTGAGGGTGGTGAGGGTGGCGGGGTGAGTGGTGAGGGTGGCGGGGTGAGGGTGGCGGGGTGAGGGTGGCGGGGTGAGTGGTGAGAGTGTCAGGGTGAGTGGTGAGGGTGGTGAGGGTGGCGGGGTGAAGGTGTCAGGGTGAGTGGTGAGGGTGGTGAGGGTGTCAGGGTGAGCGGTTCGTGGTGAGGTACCGACGTGTCAGCCTGAGCAGTAAAGCCCCGAGCCCCCAGGGGGTGCGTGCCACGCTCCGCTCACCTGAGGCCCAGGCCGTGGAGGTACTGGCCGATGACCCTCACCACGTCCTGCTCCGTCTGCGAGAGCGAGGGCCGCTTCTTCTTGGCCGTCGCCTCCTCTTTGGGGAGCCCATTCGCCACGAGGCCTCCCCCGCCGGCCTCGCCGTTCTGCAGCGGCGCCGCGTCAGGCGCGCCGTTCGCTTGCATCGCGGCCTCCCCGGGCCCCCCTTGGGGTCTCCCCCTCGCTGCCTTTACACAACCCCCCGGGTCCCCTGGGTGCCCTGTGTCCCCACGGTACCCTCCTCCGCCTCCGGCTTCTCTCACCGCCCGCGCCGCCGAGCTCGACAACCCGCGATCAGAGAGCCCGCGACGGCCTCGATCGGCTCGGCTCGGCTCGGTCTCGAACGCGCAACGATTCGGGTTCGGCACGAGGTTCTGGTTCGACTCGTCACGGCTGGAGCTGTTGTTGACTCGTCACGGCTGGGGCTGTTGTTGACTCGTCGCTGGTGCTGATCGCGGCCCCCGGGGGTCTCTGCGGCTCCGGTCACTCGCGGCCGCCTCCTCGCTCCCCTCTCGGCTTTTGTGTTTGCCGAGTGACGTCATCACAACACGGCGAGTCGCGCGCCGCGCGCGGGGCTCGCCGGGAAACACCGCCGCCCCCGTGACTTCCGGGTGCCGGGGCAGGAAGTAAACACGAAGCACGTGGCCTGCGGCGTGGAGGTGCTGTGTGGTGGTGGGGCATTGTGGAGGGGCGGAGGTGGTGGGGTTGGCATCGTGGAGGGGCGGAGGGGGTGGGGCACGTGGAGGGGTAGAGAGGTAGGGGCAGAGAGGGGCACGTGGAGGGGTAGAGAGGTAGGGGCAGAGAGGGGCACGTGGAGGGGTAGAGAGGTAGGGGCAGAGAGGGGCACGTGGAGGGGTAGAGAGGTAGGGGCAGAGAGGGGCACGTGGAGGGGTAGAGAGGTAGGGGCAGAGAGGGGCACGTGGAGGGGTAGAGAGGTAGGGGCAGAGAGGGGCACGTGGAGGGGCAGAGGTGATGGGACACCTGGAGGGGTAGAGGTGATGGGACACCTGGAGGGGTAGAGGTGGTGGGGTACGTGGAGGGGCAGAGGGGTAGGGGCAGAGGGGGGCACGTGGAGGGGTAGAGGGGTAGGGGCAGAGGGGGGCACGTGGAGGGGCAGAGGTGATGGGGCACGTGGAGGGACAAAGGGGTGCGGCACATGGAAGAACAGAGAGGTGGGGCATGTGGAGGGGAAAAGGGGGGGGGAGACGTGGATGGAAAGGAGGACGGGGCTTGTGGAAGAACAGAGGGGTGGGCACATGGAGGGACAGAGGGGGGACGTGGAAGGACAGGGGTGAGGCACGTGGAGGGGTAGAGGGGGCCTCAAGGCTGGACCTCAGTGCAGTGTCAACTGTTACCATTGAAGCATGGAGGCCTACGTTTCGGGAAAGGATAACTTGTCAGTCAGGGCTGTCAATTGAAAGAGCTCAACTCTGAAGGGCCATTTGTGGCGCGTCATCCGTAATGGCGCGTTTACAATGGCGGAGTGAAATAATTTTAACGCTGAGTCATGATAACGGCAAAAGGAAGCTACGATAAATGCCTTAAAATAGTCCCCATGGTATTGACCATCACAACTCCGTGTGACTCACGGGGCGCGGTGATGGGCGTCCCTCCCACTCTTCTCTGGCCTCTATTGTGAATGAGGGCCATTACCAAAACGTCACCTCTTATATACCTGCTATTTTAAAGGAAGTTTTGACGATTGAGTTTTTATTTATGAATTATACATGGGGTAGATAGATGGGTAAGGCGGCAGAAAAAATATTTAAGCTGATGCTGAATACAAATTATGATGAAATAACAGCCTTTATATTGGGCCGATTACATAATGAAATATTTCAGTATTTGTTCATCTTTAGGGGACCCGCAATGACAATTGTCCTTGTGCGGCACAAGGTGTTTCAGCAACGGTGTTCGTGAAAATCCGTCTGCCAGTAGAGGTCGTTGTCGCTATTGTGGTCACTAAAAACACATTCCTGCGGAGGGAGCTGGTAGGAACGTTGGGTTGCTCGGTCAATGGCCAGGGTCAACGGCGGCGTGGTGTATTCCGCAAATATGCCCGACTGTGAGGGCGGGCACAAGCCGGCGTGAGTAGGTTAAATGTTGAGTTTTATAAGGGCACCACAGGGTGACCAGCCCCTCCCCACCCAGCCCCACCCTTCCCACCCACCCAGCCCCTCCCCACCCTCCCCACCCAGCCCTTCCCCACCCTCCCCACCCAGCCCCTCCCTGCACGACGGACACAATAATCCCCTGTGGGTTGGTGTAACCAGGAGGTTCCTACCAGTATTAAGTAACTGTGAAGTGAATTATAAATGGATGTGGCGCCTTTAACACAGTGAAAGGGAATTCCACATTAGTCGTCTTCGCAAGGGAACTTAATTGTTTCAGCAACACAACTTACTCGTAGGAAGCTCTCTCCAGCCAAGCCCCGTGCTCACGTTGCATCCCCTTTTATGCGTCCTCGTTCCTTCTGGGACCATCCACAAGGTTCTCATCACACCCTTTCCACCAACACTGTCGCTTGGTATCTTTCTCTCCCTCTGTCCTCTCTCCCTCGTTCCACTTTCTCAACATATCTCCAAGTCAGCCATTCTCATGGTTCCTCCCCCTTGGCTGTCCTCCCAGGCGTCCTTTATTAGTTATTTAAGGTGTCCTCGCACGACACAGGGAACGGAAGACGACGAAAGTAATCCAGGTTATCTGAAGCCACAAGAAGAAGCAAGCTGCAGGAACGGAGATGTAGAGCAAGTGCGTGAACGTACCAAGTAATACACACAGGAGGAGCACGAGGGATACGACTGTGGCTGTCCTTCACAGCATAGGACGTACGTGTTATACAAACTGAAAAGGAATTTACACTTCGATTTAAAGCTTTCGTGACTGCAGGGATTCATCTTCTTGGTTATTTCGGTAAAGTCACGTAGAAGGGAAATAATAAAATAATAAAAAGAAAACATAAAATTATTCTCACGACGTTTCGGCCACAACAATATTTAAGCTTCCAACCCAGCTTAAATAGACGCTCCAAGCCTGGTGGTGTTTCATTCAGACGCTGTCTCCACGACAGACCTGTTCTTCACCTGAGGACGGCTGCTTGCGTTGTGGCCGAAACGTCGTGAGAATTATTTCGTTATGTTTTATTTTTATTATTTCCCTTCTACGTGACTTTACCGAAAGAACCAAGAAGAGGAGTTTACACGTTTCTTGCCATCAACCACTTTAGCCCATCAACCGAGACCTCAACAACGTTCCTCGTTGCCGCCGGCTCATAGTCCCGACCCCCCTTCTGGGACCGCACTGAAGTCACCATCCTAGAATAGAACCCAGATCACTCTGTGGTGAACAGATTGGAACAACGCGTACGTCCAGAAAAAAACGCCTCGTTCGAGACCCAAACATCGCACGAACACCTGCTGGCTTTGGCTTTCCTCCTCAAAGGTACCGGTGTCATATCAACCGCATCAGAACTTCAACAGGCTGATGTAGCACATCTCCGACATGAATGGAAAATTGAAGACGCAAGTCACAACAAGTGTGACCGGCCATGCAAACCAAACTATGGACCATACAGCAAAAACCACTGTAGTCTGCGCTTCTACATTGGAGGAGGAACAGCAAAACGACACGAACTCTCCTAAAGCCAGCCGACCTCGACATTGCCATTTAACTCCTGCACATATTGCTGCCATCGTACGCAAAGGTGCAATAGAAACGCACTTGTTGTAAGTTACACACTAAACAATACGATCATCGTTGACATACCGTACGATATTTTATCGCGGGGACCTTAGTGGCCACCAAAGCGTCAATGCCACCCAAGTTGCTTTGAGCGGCTTCTGTCTGAGCGATCGACTTCTGCCTGAGCGAGCGACTCCTGTCGGATGACTTCTGTCTGAGCGAGCGACTCCTGTCGGATGACTTCTGTCTGAGCGAGCGACTTCTATCTGAGCGAGCGACTCCTGTCTGAGCGAGCTACTCCTGTCGGATGACTTCTGTCTGAGCCAGCGACTTCTGTCTGAGCGAGCGACTCCTGTCGGATGACTTCTGTCTGAGCGAGCGACTCCTGTCGGATGACTTCTGTCTGAGCGAGTGACTCCTGTCGGATGACTTCTGTCTGAGCGAGCGACTCCTGTCGGATGACTTCTGTCTGAGCGAGCGACTCCTGTCGGATGACTTCTGTCTGAGCGAGCGACTCCTGTTGGATGACTTCTGTCTGAGCGAGCGACTCCTGTCGGATGACTTCTGTCTGAGCGAGCAACTCCTGTCGGATGACTTCTGTCTGACCGTCGAGGAAGCAGGCGCTGCCGGCTCAGCGGGGTGGAACTGCGCATGCGCGGCTGGCGCCCCGTCCGTCAAGATGGCGTTCACGCTCGCCGCCTTCTGCTACATGCTGGCCCTCCTGCTTACGGCCGCGCTCATCTTCTTCGCAATCTGGCATGTGAGTGGCGCCAAACTCCGCGGCCTCCCTCCCCGAGCCAGCGCCCCGTGCCCGCGCGCCCCGGGGCCTCGGCCCGCGCGGTGGGCATTTCGTGGTTGCGCGGGGCCCGGGCCTCGGATTTCCTAGCGCGGATAGGCGCCGCATCGCGTCGCCGCGTTTGGCTGAGGGCGCGCACGTGACCGGTAGGCGGCACGCGATTGGGTGGAGCTGCCAGCTGTGGCCAATGGCGAGCCGCGAGGAGGCCGCGATGCGTGTCCAGTCTGGGGAATGTAGAGGCGGCGGCGGCAGCGCCCCCCAGACACGGGGACACAGGGAAATGAGGATACTGGGACACAGACAGGGGGACATGGGGACAGAGACAGGGGGACATGGGGACATAGACAGGGGGACATGGGGACATAGACAGGGGGACATGGGGACAGAGACATGGGGGCAGAGACAGGGTACATGGGGACACTAGACAGGGGGACATGGGGACAGAGACGCAGGGATAAGGGGATATGGGGACACAGACAAGGGTACATGGGGACACAGACAGGGGGACATGGGGACAGAGGGACTTAGAGACAAGGGGATAGAGGGACTTGGAGACAAGGAGACATGGGGACACAGGGACGTAGAGACATGGGGATATGGGGACAGAGGGACCAGGAGACATGGGGACAGAGGGACGTGGAGACAAGGGGACATGGGGACACGGACGCAGGGACAAGGAGACATGGGACACGGGCATGGGGACATGGACACTAGGACAAGGCGACATGGGGACACGGACGCAAGGACAATGAAAAATGGGGACACGGACACAGGGACGAGGAGACACAGACAAGGAGATATGGGGGCACAGACGCAGGTTCAAGGAGACATGGGAACGGGGACACGGACACGAGGAGACATTGGGACACGGGGAAACAGACACTGGGACAAGGAGACAAGATACGGACGGGAACACAGAAAAAGGAGACATTGGAACAAAGGGACACAGCAACAGGAACATAGGGATTCAGTCTGGCTATCTTAATGAATGAGTTAAGTCTGGAGCTCCCATCTCTCTCTGACCTGGTAAAGCGGCCATTCACTGACAGTGCCAGAAGACTGTAGCAACACTTGTAAGTTGTATGAGCTGTGCTGAAACTACTCGTACGTCTAGTTACACATCGGTAGTGCTATTGCACTAATGCCGTTGAAGCAGTGACATGTGTTCCCGCTCTGTTCTCAGATCATCGCCTTCGATGAACTCAAGACCGACTACAAGAACCCGATAGACCAATGCAACACGCTCAATCCGGTAAGACAGTCTCTTGCACATGCCTACATGAATAGCAACTTATAAGTTTGTTTCGATTTAAAGCTTTCGTGACTGCAGGGATTCATATGCTTGGTTCTTTTGGGTAAAGTCACGTAGAAGGGAAATAATCAAATAAAAAAAAATTAAACAATAACATTCTCACGACGTTTTGATTTCTAACACAAGCAATCATCAGGTGTGAAAACCACAGCAAGAAAATTTGAAAAAGGTGGCGGTCTTTTGCACCGATGTGCTTATTTTAAAAAACCGCCACCTTTTTCAAATTTTCTTGTTGTGGTTTTCACACCTGATGATGATTTCTTGTGTTGCAATCGAAACGTCGTGAGAATTTTATTGTTTTATTTTTATTATTTCCCTTCTACGTGACTTTACCAAAAGAACCAAGAATATTATAAGTTTGTGTTCAGGTTAGTTAAACTGGAAATTACTTTGGCTGAGGTGCGGTTGACTTGCTTCAATACCTTCGTTGAAATTTCGGAGTTTCGCAATGCTCCACTGCCCGATGAGATGTCCGAATTGGAGGCCATCATGGCAGGCAGACACGGGCAGGTCGGGATCGCGGTGACAACTAACATTTATGACGTGGTCGTAACGTAACTAACGTCTCAGCATAAAAGTACAAAGGAGGGGGGAACTGGAGGGAACAGGAGGCACAGGAAAGGAAGCCACTCGAGAGAAGGAGAGAAAATAATCAATGAAGGGTCGAAGGGCATGTGGTTGAAGGTTATTTTTAGCAGAATTGAAAGCAGAGAGAAGGGACCAGGGGGAGTTGCCTGGGGAGGGAGTTTTAAAGAGTGGGCACGTAGTGGCTAATCGAGTGGCCACCAATGATGGAGCAGCGAAGGAGACCAGAGTCCACGGAGCGGAGGGAGCGGCTGGGACATGGGGTCGAATGTTGCAGAGGTATTGAGGGTGAACAATGCCGCGGATGGATTTGAATGCAAGACTGTGAAGCCCTGGTGATGAGGGCCTCGACGAGTCGTAACGAGGTGCTTGTGCTCACCCGCCCCCTGCCCCTGCCCCAGCTGGTGCTGCCCGAGTATTTCATCCACGCGCTCTTCTGCGTCATGTTTCTGTGCGCCACCGAGTGGCTCACGCTGGTGCTCAATGTGCCCCTCTTATCCTACCACATCTGGAGGTGAGCACCTCCCTTGGGGTCTCCATGTCTCAACCCAAATTCCCAGCACCGTGAAAGATGCAACCCAAACAAAACCCTTATTATCGTACATGTGCACCCTGGGTTGTTAAATACAATGAGTTTTCTTCATGCGAAACTGAAAATCAAGGTCAGGCACATCATCAGAGCACTGTAGTGACACGCTTTGCTTTGACCTATTACAATGTGCTTGAAGAATGCGATGATGACGCATGTGACGGACATGCTGTATCCCCCCCTCCTTTTATGCCTCTGATCCCATCAATCACGTTAAGAAGCCATTTAAAAAAAAATAATTCAAATTTCTGTCAGTCTGGGCCCACAGAGACCCAAAACATATGGTGTCTACAAACCCATTGTTTTCATGTTGTCTTTAACACCACTGACATCACGGGCAATGCTAACGCTCAGGAACGCTCCTCACTCTCACCACTAACAATAGTCACGATGATACCAACCTTTATCAATGTGGCAACAAACACTTGCGATAGGTTTATGTTAATGGACACTGTGGGTGTTGTGGTTGGCTGATGGTTCCTGGTTGATGGCTGCCGATGACAGGTACCTGCATCGGCCGGTGATGAGCGTGCCTGGCCTCTATGACCCCACCACCATCATGAACGCCGATGTCTTGGCCTACTGCCAGAAGGAGGGCTGGTGCAAGCTCGCCTTCTACCTGCTGTCCTTCTTCTACTACCTATACAGGTGCAGTCACCGCCCCTCCGCAGGGGCTCCACACCTAGTGTCGTGAAGGTTGCAATTTGTGTGCAGTTGCTGTGGTAGGTTGTGGTTGCTGAGGGTTTGTTGTTGCTGAGGTGTGTGGTTCATTAGGGCATGTTGCTGAAGAGCTGTGTGGTTGGTATGGTGTTTTGATGGAGTGGGGGGGTGTGCCTTGTGTTGTGCGGTTGGTGCGAGTTACCACCCTTGTGTGCTCCATTTGCAGCATGATCTACGTGCTGGTGAGCTACTAGCATGGAGCACAGCTCCACGCCCAGCCTGGCCTCAAGAGATCCAGCACAGGGTGCACTCACTACAGCAAAAGCATGCAGACTGCCTACATGTGCCTAACCTGTACACACACTTCGCGTGCATACACATCCTCACATGTGCACAAATGACACGTGCATTCCGCGTGCGCACTTCCACAGATACAGCACATTCACGTGGATACAACACTTCACATGCACACACTTGTACCACCCGCCACTCCCGCAGCCTGGCGTCACATTCCGCAGACTGCCGATCCCCACTCCGTTGTCCAGAGGCCATTTACGTTTTACCTTTTTACGCAAACCCGTTCGTGAAGGAATGCTCATTAATGTACAAACACAAAGCAGATTGTTTGTCAAGTTTAATTAGAAGCTGCCAGTGAGGCTAGAGCCCGATGTAGTTTACACCAATGATCGGCCTCCTCAGTCACCCCCGCCCCACCAGTGATGGACCCTAATCAGGTGATGACACGGCCTCTGGTGTTAACTTTAAGGTGGGAGGAGGGGGGTGGGTGTGGCGGGGCAGGGCAGGTAAGGAGAGGTGACACTTCAGCAGTAGCGGCATCGGGATTCCTCCAATGAAGCCACGGGGAGCTCTGTAACCGTACCGCACCTAATGCTCACGAACGTTGAATCGGAGTGGCTGCACAGAACCTGCGCGAGGGCTGGGGGGACGGTATGCTGTGTGAATTGGTTTACTAAGAGCGCTTGGACTGAGACCCCCGTTTGGAGTTATTGTTTTAATTGTCAGCCAATCAGTTGTGCAAAAAAAATCACAAATGTGTCGGTTATGTAACCACCTCCCCACAGCACAGACAGGGGGTGGTGAAATCTGCTGGCTGTGGTCAGGGTAGCCACGAGGTGCTGAACTGAGCGCAGGGATCAAACTCTGCATGGCTGCAGCCCCCCCCCCCCCCCCCCCCGTCTGTCTGATGCAATTTGCTCTGTGAGGTTACAGAGGTTTACCTGGGGAGGCACTGTGTTTGTTGGTTAAGAGTGTGCGTTTCCCCCACGACTTACGTGTGCTTTGACCCCAACGATTTCAATTCTTGTTTTTGAGTAAATGTGTACAATTGCATGCCAATAAAACACAGTTTAATATGCTGCGTCGTCTTGTTCTGATGCCATGATGCACAGTCCACCGCAAGTTGGCCAGAGCTGCACCTGCTCAGCACCAGCCTCCATCTCCAGTGGAGGAACAAGCACACGCATGAGGCAGCCACGCAATACAGCTTGGGATGTTTCTCCCGCTACTCTTGGGATTTGTCAAGAGTTATTTTAGCTTGGCGAAAGAATAAAAAATGTGATCTGGTGCGATTTGTGAAATTTACAGGAACGTGCTTAATGTTGGTAGCGAGTGGCATCCAAAGTGGGCCCTGGGCCCATTACTAATCTGCACCTAGTGGCGAGATGAAAATACTGCCCAATGGCAATTCACCGCACAAGCACACAAGAGAATAGTACACAACAGCTCATTCGCACCTCGTGAACATTTCTCATTTAATCTCAGACCAAAGCAGCCCACAAATTAGTTTCCCTGCAACATTTATTCCAGTGAGAAAAGCCAGTGGTGGGTTCTGCTCCCTATCATGAATACAAAATGGGCTCGGGGAAAGCGTTAAGAAGCTGCCTTCGCGTGCATCAGTCGGCCCAGGAGAAATCAAATGGCCATGCCGGCGACCTTCAGCCTCGGCCGAACGTGACCCAGGCAGCGCTAGCACGGACTCCATTCCTCGCTAAGCGGCGAGAATGGCGCTTGCTAATGGCTTGATTACCCGTAAAGCTTTTGGTCCCTTAAGGGTAAAAAGTTAGAAAACGTGCAGCAAGTTAGACAATGGACAGCGGCTGGTGCGGAAGGGGGAATGATGGGGCCCAGCACGAGACCTCTGGGAGGGGCCACTGGGCCCTGCTCTCCCACCCATCTCCCCTCTTGGTCAGCGGAAGAAGCACAACTTCTCCCGGAGCCACTCCTCTGTCAGCTCCTCCGTGTTACGGATCTCAAAGACCTGTGCACACACACACACAAGCATGTTAAATCTTTCATATCACTAATAGACATGGTCCAACTTTCTTCTGGGGCCCAAACCCTCCACCGAGGGCCCCTCTGGGAAGATACCTACGTGACTTTACCGAAAAAACCTAAGAGTATGAATCCTTGCAGTCACGAAAGCTTCAAATCTAGAATTAATACCTTGGAGAGCTTTGATGTCTGCACGAGCTTGTTCTTGCTGCCAGCGTACATCATCTGCTGCTCTGGGTTGCACCCTGCACACACCCATGGCAACACAGACATGTAGTGTGCAGTGGGGTGTATGACGATGTGCTAGTATGTGGTGGTGGTTTACAGAATGTGTTCAGCTGTGTGAGGGTGTTAGTGTGAAGTATGTTCTACTTAGTAAAGTGTGTTTTGGGGTGTTCCACTCCGTGTATGCTGTGCAGTATGTGGTGGTGTGTGGCACGTGTCCCACTGTATGGTCTGTTCCGCTGTGTGGTGGTGTGTTGAGCTGTGTTCTCTGTGTATGTGGCTGCGTGGGGCCTGCCATGCTCACCTTGGGGGCTGATGAAGATGAAGCAGAGTGGGTAAGACACACGCCCGTCATCATGCTGATACTTGTAGCTGTAGAGAAGGTATGTGTCGCGACGCAGTCAAGGATGACTCGTCCGTCAGTGTCGCCAGCGAAATGAAACCGGGGTTCCCATTAGCAGCAGCCCTGCACCACTGAGTGAACGAGCGAGTGGGTGTATGAGATAGTATGGGTGAGTGAACAAGTGTGGGTCATAGAGTGGGGGTGTGTGTAGGTCAGTGGATGTGTGAGAGTGTAGGTGGGTGTGTGAGTGCGTGGAAATGTGCAAGAATGGGAGACTGGGTGTGTGTGTTTATGAGAGAATATTGGTGATTGCGAATGAACATTAGAGGGTGTGGGAGAGCAGGTGTGTGAACGTGTCCTGCTGAGAGTTGTGATGCAGTGGTTCGCTCACTGCGCTAAGAACATGGAAACCGAAGTGCAATCCCTGGCCACAGTTAACACAGGTGGCAAAATATATCAGAACCATGCTTGTGCCTCCCCTAGCATGGCGCAGGCTTAAACACTCTTGTGCGACGTGTAAACATCTGCACAAGGGAGACAGAGGCGAACTGGCCTGGTGCTGGCCACATCACCCCCATGCAGGTCATGCTGGCCTTCATAGGTGCTCGCTAACAGCACGTGACCCAGCAGTCTGTAAGGCTTTGCCCTGGAAGGATATCGAGGTTGCCGCTCTGGCAACTCCTCCCTCAGGTCTTCGGGTGTGATGTCCTGCAGACAGTGCAGCAGAGGAGAGGCTGTAAACCCTCCCCCTCCCAGTGAACACCCGTCGAGGCAACGAAGCGCAATTACAGGGATGGAGAGGGGTGTGGGGACACAGTGCGGGCCGTGTCGCTCACCTCATGCTCCTCATCCAGCACCACCAGCCTCCGCTCCTTGTCAATCTTCACTGGAACAAATCAACACACGTCGTCATCATCCACTCACGAATCAACACACCTCGTTATTATCCATCGACTCAGTAAAGAATCGAGACACCTCGTTATCACCTACTCAATAATCAACACAGATATCCACTCACACCGCTAATGAGGGCGAAGACAGCGACAATATCTCATTGCCGCCGCCGTGAGCGGTAACCGACATACGGAGCGAGGCTGTGTGGGGTCCGATGGATGTGGGGTCAGGCGGGGGTCTCTTGAGATCCTTGGGTGGTGGGGGAGGGGGTGGAGATGGTGGGAGGGGGTGGCCAGCCACTAATGACCTCGCTTGACTGCGCTCGTTTGTCAATGGATTTGCTGTCGTGGTGACGGCGTTAGAGTCTAACAGCCCCCGGCGGCCATCCCTTCACAACTGCTCGCCACGCTCCATCATCCGACCACCGCGTTATCGCAAACATGCATCACCGCCACGCGGACTGGCGCGCGAACAGGTTATTGTTCAGCCGATTTACCACCACCACCCAGCCAGTGGCATTCCCTCCAGCCAGCAGCACTTCCAGCCTAACACAGGGAAGCAGGACAAGAAGACCCCCTTCACGGGTGTTTCCCCAACAATCCTAACACTAACACCCTCTCCATTGGAATGATAGCAGACTTGAGCAGATGACAAAATGGTAGAAAGTGAGACACGCAGACAAATTAACAGGCAGTCAGAAAGATACATGTGCAGACAGAAAGACATGATATGCAGTGAGACAGACTCGATTGACAGTAAAGCAGTCAGACAGAGTGCCGCTTGGACAGGGAGGAGCTGGATGGGCGAGGCACGTACTGATGATGGCGCCATTGGTGGTTTCCTTGCGAAAACGGAATTTCTGGATTTTCCCGTCCAGCTCAGGGTCCACATCGCAGACAACCAGGGATTCTGCCTGGACACACACACACATACACACATTTACAGTCACGCACATCTATACCATAAAAAGATACAAATATTCCTGTATAGCCTTTAACAGACTTGTTCGCGAACACATATGAAGGCTGGCATGAGGTCAGCGGGTGGCCAACACCATGCCCAGACGCTTTTGTGGCAATATTTACACATCGCACCATTCATCATTTTAAGGCTGAGTAGACCTTGGGGATGCCCAGGACCGGTTTAGATATTCGTCACCGATGTTGACCGTGAATGGGAATCGAACTACGTAGAAAGCCCGTGGATATCCTGAAATGCATCCAAAAGCACAAATGTCTACAGCCAGAATTCGCCTTTCAGTGATGGTTCCGTGACCACCGCACGTGTGCCAGGCTAGGTGCACTTTACTTTAAGGCTATCATGTGACATGATAAAGGCTCGCTGCTGATAGGTCACGGGACAGACCCAGGTGTTGTGAAATGACTGGGAGATGAATCAACACCCGTGCTCCCTACCATGCCATGTATACGTACAAGGTACACACCGTAACAACCGTTATACAGACTGTGGGGACAATGAATCAACAATTCAGCGAACTTACTATCTGAGATTTGAAAAACTGTAAAATATGGCAACATAAAACAGGACTGTATTAACAGATAAGTATTGTACGAACAGTTAGCGCCGTTGGATACGTACTGTGCGAAATAATTTAAACGTACAATACATACATGTACACATCTGAATGAAAGGGATGATGAACACTGACCCTAAACGCCGCTGGTTATTTGTGCAATTTTTTCATAGTTTTCACTTGTGCCACTTTTACTGGCCACCATACACTTACAGGCAACACACACCTAGACCACATACATTTATACACATATAGGGGTGTCAGGGGAAGGATTTCCACCAATAGGAGGGTTAGTGGGAGGGGTAATCGAGGAGATATAAGAGGAGAACGGGCGGGAAGAAGGGGTCTTTGGCAGAAACGAGATTGGGACGGCTGGGGACAGGTGTGGATGGGAGAAAATTATTAAAAGACGAACCCCCTGCAACCTTGTGTCGGCTCTCCTTTACACACACATTCCACACTGACAGCTTTCCCCACACACGTGTAATGGCGTAAGTAGCGCAGGAGACGTCGACGGAGGCACCACGTACTTATTAACAATTGCTACTATACAGCACGTAGCGCACCCTAACACTTGAAGGGGTAACGGCCCCTTCACCCGGTTCTATCTGAGGCAGTGTCCCTCAGCTAACGTTTCCCCGTTAGCTCCTACACCCCTCTAACCCAGACCATCCTAGTGGAGGCTAACTGACCTAGCCCAGCTTCGGTTCAGGTCCGACCCTCAGCCACACGAGCCTGGCCCTCACAAGGACACAGACCTCGCTGCTCTGAGGTCGCCCCTGGCTTGCCCTGCTCGGCTCTTATAAGAGCAGCGAGACAGGGTAGTCCCAGGGCTAGCTAGCGAGTCTTCAATCTTCACTTGCTCTTCATTCTCTTCTGCTCCAACGACTGCCTCGAGCTCTCTCGCTCACCGCCTTAAATACCCAACTGCTCCCCGAGGGGCGGGGCTGTATGCGGACGTTGATGTAGACACCCCAACGTAACAGCTTGCTACACCCCGTTATGTAATACCTCTACATACGTATACAAATATATGCAAATATCCCATGTATTGCATGTTCAGGCTGTTGGGCAAGTGTTGTTCGCGAGCATCTATGAAGGGCGGAACGGCGCACGGGGGGCGGTAGGGTGTATGGCCAACACCCCACGCTCAGCCGCCTTTGTCTCCCCAGTCACCAGCCAAGTGCACCAGGGGTGATGTTTATGTACAACCCGCTTACTCGCCCCGTGAGCAAAGCCGCGTGTCGCGTGACCACTTAGCGGATTCTTGACCACAGATGACGCCTCCCTCCTACCGCTCATCACGCACGGCTGATCGAACACCGCTCACCTCCACCCAGTGGGGCGGCGGCGACCACCGGTGGCCAAGATGACCACTCAAGAGCGGTCATCGTGGGTGGTAAACCCGTTAGGGTCAGTGTTCATCATCCCGTAGCGTGTGCTACGTAAATAAACACAATTAGGGCGTCCGTGCGACCGTAGCCACCACTCTCTACCTGGCTCCCTGCACCACCTCCCCACCTCATTCCCTCTTCTACCCACCTCGCTCCACGGGTGCCCGCAACTACCCCATCCCGAGCCTCCCCGGAGCGAGGCATTAACCAAACAATCAGCACTCCCTCGCCTGTGCCCCCCCTCCCCTGTGCCCCCCTCCCCTGTGCCCCCCTCCCCTGTGCCCCCCCCTCCCCTGTGCCCCCCCTCCCCTGTGCCCCCCCCTCCCCTGTGCCCCCCCCTCCCCTGTGCGCCCCTCCAGTGTCCCCCCCTCCCCTGTGTCCCCCCTTTCCCCTGTGCCCCCCCTTTCCCCTGTGCCCCCTTTTCCCCTGTGCCCCCCCCTCCCCTGTGCCCCCCCCCTCCCCTGTGCCCCCCCCTCCCCTGTGCGCCCCTCCAGTGTCCCCCCCTCCCCTGTGTCCCTCCTTTCCCCTGTGCCCCCCCTTTCCCCTGTGCCCCCTTTTCCCCTGTGCCCCCCCCCTCCCCTGTGCCCCCCCCCTCCCCTGTGCGCCCCTCCAGTGTCCCCCCCTCCCCTGTGTCCCCCCTTTCCCCTGTGTCCCCCCTTTCCCCTGTGCCCCCTTTTCCCCTGTGCCCCCCACTGCCCCCCTCCCCCCCTCACCATCACGAGTTTCGTGCCGTTGCCGCCTCCGCCGCCGCTTCCTCCACACTCCTCATTCCCCTCCTGCGCATGCGCGGCGGATCAGCCCGGTATCCCCGAAGGCGCGCAGCTCCTTTGATTGGCTGCTCTCGAAAAAGCCGCTGGGGCCAATCAGCGCGCGGTCACGAGGCGTAGACCACGACTCGAAGTTGCGCGCGCCGCCTACAAAATACGGGTGACGTCAGCGCGCGTGGCGAGTGACGTCACCAATCCGGAACCCGCCCCCTAACTTCCGGGGGAGGGTTTGCGGAGGTCCCGCCCCTCGCCGGGGCTGTCCGGAAGGCACCGCGTTGCAAGCCGGGAGTCTCTTACACGTGGTCACCGCTTCCCCTGCAGCTGCTCCGCACGTGTTCTCCTCAGCAACCCGGGATTCACGATGGGAGACGCCAAGCACTTGAGTTTCCTCTTCGGTGAGTACCTTCCCCCCCCGGGTGCGAGGCTGCGTTAGCACGGACAGGAGGGGCCGCCCGAATTTGGGGGCACCCACCCCCCCTAATCCGACTATTTTTGGGGCTGCGATCGTGTCGTACTTGACTACCTCGGTCCACCCGGACTCAATTGAGTAGTACTGTGTTTGGGTGCGCTGTTTAAAAATCGACACTCGGAAGACAAAGGCGGTCGGGCGTGTATTTATGTTTTGCTTTAACCAGGACTTCGTGGGGTAACAAACCCAAAATCTGAGGCGGCTGCGGCGCACGTGGTCTTGGCCCTGGGGGTTCTCTTTGAGTTCCCACTTGGCTGCCCCCCGGCAATCACTTTGGGGTCCCCCCCCCCCCATCCTGTGCCGTGTTCCCGACCTCCCGGATCCCCCTAGTGCCCCCCAACCTCGGTTCTTCACCCTGGCCCCCCTTTAAGTCCCGCTCGTGTCCGCCCCCCACCCACCCCACCCTCGGGTCCCTCCACGTCTTTCCCGAGTCCCTCCGTGAATCCCAGTCTTGAGTTCCTCCAGGGTCTCTCCCCACCTCGTGGTCCCCCCCACCTCGTGGGCCCTGCCGCTTTCTCCTCCCCTCACCCCGGATCCCTCGTAGATCCGCGCCCTTCGGTGCTGTCCGGAGCGCCGTGACTGAGCCACGCTATGTGCCCCCCCCCCCCACCACCGTGTTACCGCAGGCTGCGAGCTGACGGCGGCAAAAAAGGAGTTCTCGTTCGAGGAGGAGGAGGACCCGAATGTGGAGCATAACCTGCTGCTGCACACGGTGCGGCGCGCACCCACGCCGCCCGCCGGAGGCGCCGCTCGACCGAAGCGAACTTGGCCAGACACTTTAATTTTACCTGGAGAAATCTCATTGAGCTCTGAAGCTTTTTTTTTTGCTTGAGCCAGATATCGAGTCGACATCTCTCGTCGACATCTGGCTAAAGCGGAGGGGTTTCCGAGACATACTCTTAGGTTTTTTCGGTAAAGTCACGAATGTAAAAATAAATAAGAAATAATAGAAATAATACTCACTTAATACAGTAAATTCAGCTATGACGGTCCTACCTGATGAATGGAGACTTGTTGCCTCCGAAACGTGATTTATGATTTTATTTCTAGGATTTTATTATTTATTTATTTTTACCTACGTGACTTTACCGAAAAACACCTAAGAGTATGAATCCTTGCAGTCACGAAAGCTTCAAATCTAGAATTTCTCCGAGACACTCGAGGGGTCCCCGATTCATGATTAATGTATATTGGCGTGCTAAATGTCGCGAATTCACAAACTGACTAACAGAGCTCGTACATTTTTATCACAAAATACTTTTTTAAAAACCCGATATTTTTGGGTAATTATTTCGCACAACCGTTATGCCGTGGGGGGTGATGACGGCAACCACGCGCACAATCACTGCTCAGCGACCCCAGCGGGGCGCAGTCTCACCGCCTGCGTGCCTCCTCCTCCCCACCCACCCTGCTGCTCAGGTATGCCTGGGGGCAGGGGCTCCTGACGAGTTCCACTCGGTAAGCCTGGTGGCGCTGGACCACTCGGGGAAGATGACGACGGTGCCCGTGGCCACGCTCAAGCCCTCCGTGCAGGCCTCGGTACGGGCTTCTCCACGGCGGTGATACGATATTGTGTTGCTGGTGTGGTCATAGTGATGGTGGTGAGATTATGTATTCCTGTGGTGTTGGTTTGGTTATAGTCATGGTGGTGATGTGATGTCCTGTGGTGTGGTCATAGATATGGTGAGGTGATGTATTATTGTAGTGCTAGTGTGGTGATAGCTATGGTGAGGCAATGTATTCCTGTGATCGCCGACAAACACTGATGTGCAGTGGGGTGTTCAATGCATTGTGATGTGTTTGATGATGTGGTGAGATGTTGGTGATTGTGTGGGATGTGCATGATTATTTGTGGTGACGTATGTAATGATGATGATGTATGGTGGAGTTTGATGCTGTGACCCTGGTGATGGTGTTGGTATGGTGGTGTTGGTGAAGTAAGGATGGTGATGATGTCGTGCTGCGTGTGATGTGTTGTGGGTTGTGATAATGTGCTTTGCCATATTGGTAATGATGACGTTTATGACATGGTGTTGCGACGTTGACGAGTTGCTGATGTGTGTGTGTGGTGTGGTGCAGCTGTCCCTCGCGGGGCTCGAGCTGGCCCCCCCCGTGGTCCTCCGCCTGACGGCAGGCGCGGGCCCCGTGCACATCTGTGGCCAGCACGTGCTCAGTGAGTATCCCTGCGCAAGGGCTCACGGGTCCTCGTCGCGCACGAGTCTCTCGGGTCCACATCCTAAAAGGGTTGCATATGGTGGGGTGAGGGTGGTGAAGCTGCAGGTGTTAAGTAAGAAACAACTCCGTGGTGGCTTTGTGGAGCTAGAGCTGAGGGGTTTGGGGCTCGAGGCAGCCTGGTTTAACTCGTGAGCAACATGGACCCCAGCTTGGGCAACGCGTAATGTGAATTGGCTGCCTCTTAACGAGCAGACGCTCACATGTCCTGCACGTTAATACAACCCTGTCAACAGCACCACTGCCGCTCCTCCGTATTCACATTGAGACCATTTGGCTCCTAGCCGCCTCTCCACGGGGAGTTGTTCTTGAAATTTCAGCTGGGACTGTCTGGGCCAGCGACCCGGAAACTACTTCCTCACGTGGCACACCACATCCAGTATACCCCTCGCCATAGCTTAGGCAGTGAGTCACATGTATGTATGTTGAACATCTTTCGCACCATATATAGCCAACCGTACTAATTGGAGGTGTGGGGGAAGAACAACTAACCACAACCAGCAGTTCTAAAAAAATAAATTACGATTTAGATTTAAAAGTGCATGGCTCCAGTGGCTTCCTAATATCCAGACAGCCGAAGTGCATGAACACGCGATGCAGTGACCGTCGTCACCTATGCCAGTTTACTAGCCACCAGGAATCGTTTCTCTAAGAAATTATGCTGTGGGTGGAACAAGTCACTCGTTGCACCCCCTCAACATCATGTTTGTGGGGGTCCACAGTCCCCCACTATTCCCTTGTGGTGCTGAATGGTACTGGCCTTGAACCGAACGTCTCCTCCCTCGTGTGTGCAGCCTCAGAGGAAATGTTCTCTGACATGGAGAGCGACGAAGAGGAGGAGGAGGAACAGGCCGTGGTGCCGGCCAGGAAACGTGTTAATGAGGCATCACCCGTGGGGGGCACGCAGGTATGGGCCCCCCCCCAACTCTTCCGCACCCCCCCTGTCACCTCAAATCATTCCTGTGTTATGGTTTACTCTGAAAATAACTCTATGGCGACTGTTATGCACAACTCACAGCTGATATCTCCGGGCATTTTTATCATTGCAGAAAAAGATGAAGGTGCTTGACAATGAAGGGTACGTGTCATAACTTACACTTGTTGGGTCAACGTTTTGGGGAATTTGGAGGGGTGATGGGGGGGCTGGGTGGGGGTGCCCTAACGAGGGTCAGCTGCTCCTTGAGTCGCTGCTGAAGAAAGAGTTGCTCGTGCGTTGCCACTTAGATTTTCTCTCTCTCTCTTCCAGGCAAGACAAGAAACTAGCGACCGTGACGCCAACCAAGGTGAGGCTAAGGGGAAGGCATTGCTGGTGTTGTGTGCGCTTGTGTACCTGTGTACCTGTGTTAGTGTGGTGAGCGGTAGTGCAGAGGTTTGCGCACCGCGATGTGAACCCCGGCCACCCGAGTTCAATTTCTGCTTGTGGCAAAAACCAGTGAGGATTTTCTGAACTGGTCCTGGGTCTCCCCTAGGTCGACTCGGCTGCAAATGAGTACCCTGTGTGATGTGTAAAAACATTGCACTGGGGAAACAAAGGTGGCTGGGCGTGGTGCTGACCACCCACACCCCGGTGTGCTGTTCTGGCCTTTATAGGTGCTCACTAACAGAGCCTGCGTCAACAGTCTGTTCATCCTTTATTTGGGGGTCTTTGAATAAGTGTGCAGAGTGGTAGAGTGGTGGTGCAGTGATGATTGCACTACGAACCTGGCGATGAGTTTTATTCCTGCTCAAAGCAAACACCAGCGAGGAATAATATAAGTGGTTCTGGGCCTCCCCAAGTCGACTCTTCAAACAAGTACCTGGTATGGTGTGTAAACTGCTGGGGAGACAAAGGTGGCTGGGTGTGGGGCTAGCCACACCAGCCGCTTGTGCACCATTTGCCTTCATTCGGTGCTGGCTAACGACACTTGCCCCAATAGTCGCCATGGATGGTTGGGGGGGGGGGGTCCTTGTGTGGGTATGATTGTGTGCATGTGTGGCCGCCAAGGCTGAGCTGCGTTGCGCTTCTGGTTCTCTATAGAAGGCAGCGCCGAAGAACGGACAGAATGGGGGCACTCCGTCCACCCCATCCACTCCAAGCCAGACCAAGGTGTGGAGCTCGGGAGGCTGTGTGTGGAGCCGCGTGTATGTGGTGCTGGGTGTGTGTGTGGAGATAGTTGTCTAGGGGCTGCGCAGGTGTTAGTCTTTATAAGTAGCCGTGTGGATGTAAATGTATGTGCTAGTGGGTTGTAAATAGCTGTGCTTTCATATTTAATCTTGGGTGTATAGCTGCTAGTGTATAAGTATGTGTTCAATGCTGTGTAATGTATGCTTGGGCGCATGTAGTGGTAGGTGTGTGTGTTGTGTGTTTTGTGCTGTGTCTAATGTGTGTTTGGGGGGT